TTTTGATTTTGCTCATGGTAGTTTTTCCTGGGCAGAAGTTTTTTTGTTTGCTTCTTTTTATGTACTTGAATTATTCAGCTACGTGTGGCTTTCTCCACCATCATGAAAGAATTCTTTAATAGATTTTTCATACTACTTCCTTTGGTTTCATTAATATTTTATGAAATATCCATGCAGAAAGGTATAAATAAAATGTAAGAGAATATCCTCATTCTTAAGAAATGCATGCTGATATTCACAGCAACTTACTTCTAATGGTTTAGTAAAAAAATGGGGAGGAAAGTTGTGTGTGTGTGTATATGTGTGTGTGTGTGCGTATCACTTAGGGAAGAAACCAAATGTTGTTGCAACATGCTGTATCTAGAAGAGGACATATGGGTGTCCATTGTACTATTTTTTCAACTTTTAAAGATTTGTAAATTCAAAAATAAAAAGTCGAGGGAAAAATAATTTAGTATAAAACATAGATAACAATTTTAAAAGTAAAAGGATTATGAGATGAAATAAGCAAATATAACATATGGACCCTGATTGGATCCTGGCTTAAACAAATACATTTGAAACATTTAGGTGAATTTGAATGTGGACAGTATACTAGATAATATTAAGGAATTATTGTTAAGTTTATTAGTTATAAAAATGTTATGATTTTGTGGAGAAATGGCTTTATTTTTTTATTTTTTAATCCTCACCCGAGGATATTTTTTCTATTTATCTTCAGACAGAGAGGGAGGGAGGGAGGGAAGGACAGAGAGAGGGAGAGGGAGAGAGAAACATTGATGTGAGAGAGACACAGCAACTGCATGCCTCCCACATGACCCCGACTAGGGCGGGGACGAACCGCAACCGAGGTGTGTGCCCTCGACCAGAATCGAACCTGCGACTCCCTGCGACTCATTGGTCCACGGGCTGAGGCTCTAAAGGTGGAGCCAAACCAGCCAGGGTGAAAATGGCCTTATTTTTAATGATGTATACTAAAATACTCTATGGAATAGCTAAGTGTCATTATATCTGTAATTTACAACAGCTCACTTAATAAATCAGTGAAGGTGATATGGCAAAATGTTAACAGTTGTTAAATCTCAGTGATAATTTTATATGTGTTTATTGTATAAATCTGCCTACTTTTCTGTTTGAGACTTCTTAGACATTTTCATCATAAACATCTTTTTTCAATTATCTTTTTTTCAATTGCGTTTTTAGAGAGAGAGGAAGGGAGAAAGAGATAGAAATATCAATGTGAAAGAGAAACATCTATCAACTGCACCCTGACTGGGAATCGAACCAGGACTTTTCAGTCCATGGGACAACACTCAGTCCACTGAGCCAAACTGGCTGGGCCATACATTTTTTTTAAAAGAAAAAGAAAAGAATAAAACCAATATGCCTGATTTTCAGGTTGAGAGAGAGGATATTACAGTTATCCTAGATGTCCCTATCAGATCTTCTCACTTTCTTCTCTGTGTCCCAGTACCACTTATTAAATAATCCATCCTTTTTCTACTGATTGACAGTGCTTTTTCCTGTCTCACTGGATTACTTGTCTGTTCTTGTACCTATACAACATGATTTTAATTACAATACTTTATAATAAGTCTTGATATTTGCTAGAACAAGTTGTTTTATTGCTCCTTGTTGATTGTGAAGAGTATCTTGGAGTCAGGGCACATGCCCAGGTTGTGGGCCCAATCCCCAGTGGTGGGCATGCAGGAGGTAGCCAGTTGATGTTCTCTCTCATTGGTGTGTGTGTCTCTCTCTCTCCCTTTCCATTTCTCTCTCTCTCTCAACTCAATAAAGAAAAAAAAAGTATCTTGGGTATTCTTGAATCTTTGTTCTTTAACTGTGTGTGTGTGTGTGTGTGTGTGTGTGTATAATGATGTATTATGTGATTGATATATATTACAATCATATAAAATATATACCTCTAGTGTATGTGTGTGGGGGAGAGTTTATCTTTTTAAAATATCTTTTTAAATTGAATTTTCTAATATTTGCTGCTCCATAGCAATGCAATTTACATTTACAAACTTTTATCAGAAAATTTTGAACATTAAATTAGAGAAAATGGTAAACTGAGTCTCTGTGTAATTATCACCCAGCACCAACATTTTACAGATACTCTTTACTATGTCCCACTTACCTCTTCCCTACTGAATTTGGAGGTAGAGGATAGAGTATTTAAAATAAATCCCGCCCTGGCCGGTTTGGCTCAGCGGTTGGAGCGCCCGCCTGCGGTCCGGAGAGACCCGGGTTCGGTTCCCGCTAAGGGCATGTACCTTGGTTGCAGTTTGTCCCCGGCCCTGGTTGGTCATGCGGGTGGCAGCCACTCGATGCGCCCTTTTCACATCGATGTTTCTCACTCTCTCTTTTCCTCTCTCTCCCTCCCACTCTGTCTGTACAAAAAATGGAAAAATGTCCTCAGGTGAGGAAAAAAATAAATAAATAAAATAAAATAAATCCCAATAAATTGGACAACTTTCTAGAAATTTACAATTTTTCAAAACGGATTCAAGAAGATATATAAATCTAATTAGACCTATAGTAAGGAAATAAACTAGTAATTAAAAATTGCCCACCCACCCCCGAAAAAAAAGAAAAGAGAAAAAGATCAGGTCAAGATGGCTTCATTGGTGAATTTTATCTGACTTTTAAAGAAGAAATAATACCAATACTCCACAAGCTATTCCAGAAAATAAAGACAGATGGAACACTTCCCAACTCATTCTATGAGGCCAGTATCCCCTTAAAACCAAAGCCAGAGAAGCAAAAGATTATAGGTTTTTATAAATGTTAAAAGTCCTCAACAAAATTGTTGCAAACTGAATCCAACAACATATAAAAAGAGAGTATGTGCCTTGACCAAGTGGAATTTATCCTAGGAATGCAAGTTTGGTTTAGCCTCCAATAATCAATTAATGTAATGGGCCATATTAATAGAGCAAAAGACAAAAAACCACATGGTCTTCTCAATAGATGTAGAAAAAGCATATTTAACAAAATTTATATTCATTCATTTTGAAAACTCTTGAAATTGAAGGGAACTTCCACAGTGTAATAAAGGGCATCTATGAAAACCTGTAGTTGTCATCATATTTGTAGTGAAAGACTAACACATTCCCCCTAAAACCAGGAACAAGGCAAGGATGTCCATCCAGTCTTACCTATTCAACTGTCTTGAAAGTTCTGGCCAGTGTAGTCAGGCAATTAAAAGAAATAAAAGGCATCTAGATTGTAAAGGAAGAGCTAAAGCCATCTCTTTGCAGATGACATGATCTTATTTATAGAAAATTCTAAGAAATTTCAAAAGGAATGCCATATGTGTACCCTAAAAATTACCAAAAAATTGCTGAGGGAAATGAAAGATCTAAACAATGGAGAGGTATTCCATGTTCAAGGATGAGAAGACTACTGTTGTTAAAGTAGTTATCCCCAAACTAATCTATATGTTCAGTATAATTCCCCCATCAAAATCTCAGGGACTTTTTTCTTCTGCAGAAAATGACAGGCAGATCCTAAAATTTCTATGGCAATCAAAACACCTAAAATAGCCAAAATGAGTTTGAAAAGGAACAAACATGTAGGCGTTTGACTTTCCTATTTCAAAACTGTCCATAAAGCTAGAGTTATCAAAACAGTGTGGTACTGTCATAAAGCTAGACATATAGAACAATGGAGCAGAATTAAGTCCAGGAATAAATCTTTATTGATTGATTTTTGACAAATGTAGCAAGGCATTCTGGGATTGCTGGATATTGCATGCAAAAAGAGATGAACTTAGACTATACTCACACTATACTCAAATAATGAACTCAAAATAGACTTAAATGTCAGAACTAAGGCAATAAACCTTTTAGAAGGGAGGAGAAAATCTTTGAGACCTTTGGTTAGGCAAACATGTCTTAGATACAGTACCAAAAGCACAGTTAATAAAAGAAAAAGTTGACAAATTGTACCTCACCAAATATCAAAAGTTTGCACTTCACAAGACACTATTAAAAAATAAATGATGAACAACATACTAGGGTAAAATATTTGCAAAACACCATCTGTTAAAGGACTTACATTCAGAATCTAATGAGGAATTCTTACAACTCACTAATACAAAGACAACCCAATTTTAAAATGGGCAAAAATGTAAACATTTCACTAAAGAAGATATAAGAATGGCTCATAAGCCCATGAAAAGATGTTCAACATCATTAGTCATTGGGGAAATGCAAATTAAAACTATAGTGAGATGCCATTCACACTATTATAGCCTAGAATGGCTATAATAAATAAGACAGACAACAACAAATGTTGGCAAGGATGTGGAGAAATTGGAACCCTCACACATTGCTGGTGGGATTGTAAAATGATTCAGCTGCTTTGGAAAAAAGTCTAGCAGTTCCTCAAAAAGTTTAGCATGGAGTTATCATATGATGCAGCGATTTCACTACTAGGTACCTATCCAAGGGAAATCAAAACATGTCTACACAAATATGCATTGCAACATTTTTCATAGTAACCAAAGTAAAAATAATCCAAATATCTATCAGCCTGATGAGTGGATAGATCTGTTCAGTGATAGGATAATTATGATCAGTGATGGGATGATTTTCTGAAAATTATTTTCTTTAATGACTAACATTGAATTTGTAAAAATTTTTTAAAGTAAAAGTGAAGGAGATTGACTGATGACCCATCTGACTAAGGCCTTGGATATGCCCCAAGGGTCCTGCATGGGACACAATGTTACTCTCTGAGTGTAGAGCTGTAATCATCTAAGTTTATACTGTGCTTAGTACAGCCTCCCAACAATTCTATCACCTAGGTAACTATAAATTCATTTTACAGATAAGGAAGATGAATTTTAGGATCACTTAACTAGAAGTAGTGGAGTTAAGTTTTGAATTTAATCATTCTGATTCTGCAATCTATACTCTTAGCCTCCAGGTTATACTACAGTGATACTTTCCTTCAGACATTTTTCTTATGCTTTGTTTTGCTTTCTTACATAGGGGTCCAGATTTTATGGAAATGAACTCAAGAAAGAAAAGCAAGTCAACCAACGAATTGAAAATATTATGCAACAAAAAGCTCAAATTACCAGTCAGCAGCTAAGGAAGGCACAATTACAGGTATTAATTTATTTGCTAAAGAAAGTGGAAGCTGATAGAACAGTAATTGAAACTACAAACATGAGCAAGCAGAACAGAAACAGATTCAGATAACTTTTTTTTAAAATTAATTCTTTATTTTTGTTACAGATGTTTCTCCTTTCTCCCCCACTGATTCCCCTCTCCCCCTCCCTCTCTGCCCTGTCCCCAGCTTTGTTTGCCAGATGGGGGGGGGGGGGGCTGGGGAGATGGGTGAAAAAGGTGAAGGAATTAAGAAGTACAAATTGGTTGTTAGATTGATGAACCTCAAAGAGAAGGTGGGAGGGAGGATAGGAAGAGATAAACCAAAGAACTTATAAACATGTATTCATAACCAGTGGATACAGACAATAATGTGGGAAAAAGGGGGTCAATGGGAGAAAAAAAGGGAGGACATCTATATTACATTCAACAATAAAGATAAGTTTAAAAATAAAAAATAAGCCCTGGCCAGTTTGGCTCAGCGGTTAGAGCGTCGGCCTGCGGTACAGAGAGACCTGGGTTCGGTTCCCGCTAAGGGCACGTACTTCGGTTGCAGTTTGTCCCCGGCCCTGGTTGGTCGTGTGGGTGGCAGCCACTCGATGTGTCCCTTCACGTCGATGTTTCTCTCTCTCTCCCCTTCCTCTCTCTCCCTCCCACTCTATCTGTACAAAAAATGGAAAAATATCCTCGGGTGAGGATAAAAAAATAAATAAATAAATAAAAATAAAAATAAAAATAAAAAATAAAATAAAAATTTAACAAATATGTATACTTTAGTTAAAATTGTTCTACTTTAAGATGAATGAATAAAAAAACTGTGGTACCTATACACAATGCAGTACTATGCAGCTGTAAGAAAGAAAGATCTCTTATCCTTTGAGATAACTTGGAGGGACCTGGAAAGTATTATCCTAAGCGAAATAAGCCAAACAGAGAAAGACAAATATCATGTGATCTCACTTATTTGTAGACTGTAATGAACATAACAGTCTGAGTAACAGGGTAGACCCAGAGACGTGGAAGTAGGGTACAGACTGACAAGCCTCAGAAGAGGGGGTGGGGGAGAAAGATAAACCACAGAACTTATATGCATGTATACATGAACAACAGACATGGACAACAAAGCTGGGGACAGGGCGGGGAGTGGGGGGAGGGGAGAATCAGTGGGAGAAAAAGGAGAAACATCTGTAACAAAAATTAATTAATTAAAAAAATAAATAAAATAAAATTGTTCTACTTTATATAAAGATCCTACACCTAGACATTATCACCTTCATTATACAAAAAAAGTAAAAGAAACCTTAATTAGGTTAAGTAACTTGCCTAGCTTCATATGACAAGTAGTTGGCAAAGTCAGAGCTTATGTTCTTTTTATTATATGCATACTTAGCAGCTACAGGGGCCACAGGATTAATGTGACATTTTCTGCATGTTCCTCAGTTGCAGTTTGTCCCCTGCCCCAGTTGGGGTCCTGTGGGTGGCAACCACTCAATGTGTCTCTCTCAAGTAGATATCCCTCTCTTTCTCTCTTCCTCCCTCTCCCCCTTTTGCACTATCTGAAAATAAAAATGCAAAAATGTCCTTGGGTGAGGATTAAAAAATAATAATAATAAAAATAAATAAAAAGTTTTATTTGTTTTTTCTCATGCGTTCTTTAAATAAATTTAAGCATCATTTTGTCAAGTTTTTAAAAAATTCCATTCTGTCCACAATAAACTCATTTTTAAATTGATATCAATCTTTAGGCAATTTACTCTCTAGACCTTTTTTTGCTAAGTTTTATTGATCTATAGTCTACAAATATCTTTAAGTTTTAAAGGTATAATATATATGAGTAGTGCAATATAACAACTTTTTGCTGTTCATACTATTTTTAAATATGCTAACAGTCTGGAGAAACAGAGAATACCTTTACATTGTGCAGTAGAACTTCAGATTTTGTTACAGTTTTAGTTATTTCATGGGAGGATCGCTGGCATCTTTTGCAAGGGGAATGGCAGGAAATGTGTTTTATGTTGATTGTTAAATTATTTTGTTTCTTAAACTTCCTTTAAAAGAAGTATAAATGGGAGGGAATTGAGAAAGTCCTAAGAATTCTAGAAGTTTTAAGTGAACAGAGAGGTTTTCATAGGAAATAATGTTTCTATTTTAGAGTCATAAAATTTCCAAATAGTATATTTTATTATGTGTGATAAGATAGTATTAACTATTGTCAGTGAAGCTGAGGTAAGTCATCTCTGTAGGCATGAACTCCCATAATGTTTATCAGAACCTCTCTACATATTCCCCACCCCATCCCATCCTCATTAGATTTTTTAAAGGCACATATTTGTACCTTGGAAAACATCTTATTACAACATGGGTTCATAAATTAAATAGACAAACATCCATTGTATAGTAAATGGCATCTACATAGCAAATCAGTGCATTGTGACCATTTTCACAATTGATTCTGTGAACTCAAATTTACTTAACAATTCTTAGAGTTATACTAATTAAGAAAATGAAAAGCAGTATTTCTGAAATAGTCTCCTAGATGTAAAAGAAAAAGAGGATTTTTAAAAAGTAAGACATAATATGGATATAAAATATAGCATTAGAGTTTAGTTTGAGTTTATTTCAGTGATAAAAACTTTTTAAAATATATTTTAGGGGAGCATACAATAATGGAAAGAGCACAGACTTTGAAGTAACCTGATTTCTAGGTCTAATTCTAACATTTACTAGCTGTATGATTTAGGGCAAATTACTTAATTTTACTGAGTTTTCAATTCCTTATCTATAAAATGGGAATGATAATCATTATCTCAGAATCATTTTGGTCATTAAATGCATTGACATAAAAAGCACTTATAATATACACATGTCATATAATTAGTCAGTAAATGTCACTTCTACTTTTATAGGTAATATCATTAAATCCTTACCATATTCCTGGATAGGTACACTACATGGGTATGTCTTTTAATTCTTCCAACCTTTTGAGGTTGGTTTAGTTCCACTTTATAAATCAGGGAAATGAGGAGGAGAGGATAGTTATACTATTATGTAACTTATTGGTGGTAGAGCTGAGACCCAAACAAAAATCATTATTCTTAACTACTGTGACACATATTGGATTTCAATTGTAGCAAAAGGGATTAACTACATGTTAGAGACTAAGATAAAAATTTGAGTCATTTGGAAAGAAAGATGGAAGAAAACATGAATGAGGGTTTCACTAGAAGAAACTTGAAAAAAGCAGTGGTGGACATTTGGTAGATTTTGAAAGGAAAGAATTTGGAGAAGGGTGACTAATGAGAGATAGTAAAGGAAAATGGAATGTGTGAGTCATCAGTGGGGAGGTTTCCTTTTGGCAACTGTATACTTGCTATAAGCCCAGAAAAGTCAATAGATTGCTGAGGAAACTGCCATAGCTTTAATATATGAGTCTAAGGAGAATTTTTTCCCACTTAGTTTGCTTTTTATTTATTACCCTTTTCTTTTCCAAAGATTCTGGGTTCAAATATATCAGATGCTGCTCTCTTATTCACAATTGACTCATATCTGAGGCATATTTTCTGGATTAATATAGAGTAGTTTTCAAACTCTTGTTTTTATTAGTTTTCATGATTTGCTTATATAATTTTTTCTGTCAAGATTGCTAGTCTGTAGTGTAAAAATGAACTGGAAGAATAGTTGTTTTAAAATCTGGATAATAAAGTGGATTAATGTTGAAAAATTTCATTTATTAGGCGTGGTGTCTCACTGCATGAGATCAGCCTTCTCCAAAATTTTTCTACGAATACTACTTTCTCTTTTTAACCAGAAATGTGTGTGTGTGTGTGTGTGTGTAAATTGTATTCCTTTTCTCCCCTCCCTTTCTCTCATAAGGAAAGAATTTAAAGGCAGATAAGTTCTTTCTCCTCCTTATCTGAGATAAGGTCTCTTCTTAGGTATTGAACTCACAATTTAGTGTCTAATACAATAAATGTCATAGTAAGAACAGGAAAACAAATAAGGGAACATTAAATTCTGTGGTGCAGAGGACAGAGATTCGATTAAGTTTCAGAGACATATCTGAACTGATACTTGAAGGCTTATGACAGAACTAGGAAGGACACCCTCGACAGAGAAACAGCCTGAAAAAAGCACACAGCACCCCAGGTTGTTCAGTGAGTTGCAACCTAAGTAACAGCAGACTCTCTAGACTCAGAGTCTTACTGTGGCTGCCAGAGACAAATGTAATTCAGTGTGATTGTTGCTAAAAGAGAAGTTGCAGTCTTAACTTGAAACTAGCGGGCAGCTTGTGGGCAGCCAGTGTCACTGTGTTGCTAAGAAGCAATGCTAATAGCAAGGTTGAAGTTCAGTGACGGTGGAAGCTAAAATATACCTTTGCAACTCTCCACCATTTAGGAAACCTGCTATGGGAATTTCCACGTGATAGAAATTGCTTTTATTTCAGAGATTACCCCACTTAACATATTCCTGGCTGTTTTTCCCTCAATTTTTGTTTGTTTTGTTTTACATCTAGACATTGATCCTTTTAGTAATAGAGTTCATTTACTGAATTTGTACCATGTGCCAGCCACTCTTCCCTGTTCTTTGTCTTCCATTTCACTCAATAGCTTTCTAATCTCTTTTCTCATAATTCTACTGGTTTTATTGACTTCTTCATGTGTGTCGTAGCCAACCCCAGCTGGAGGGACACTGAGAAAGTGCATATTTAGCTTTTTCAGTCTCTATAGTAGAGGCCACAAAAAAGGAACACTTGGGAATGGATATTTCTGCTACATAAACTCTTTTTCTTACTGCCTTACTTTGCTTATTTCTACCCATTTCATTTCTTTCTTATTGATCCAACTCTTTCTCTCTCAAGAAACAAAAAAATTCTTTAAAGGTTAAGATTCTCTACTGTAATATTTGACATATATATTGAAATTTTATAAAAGAATAAATTACATCTTAAATTTTCAATTTGATTTGTATAGACTAACAATTATCAAATTTTAGCCTTATGAAAGCAATTCTACACAGGGAATGTTTATATGTGCTTTGGTGTAATCTTTTGTTGTTCATTTCCTTTGTTGCTATTTTAAGACATGAATATTATGAGTCAGATGGGAGTAGTTGTTTATTTTACCTAAACTGAAAATTTTAGTTGCAGTAAGTTCTCCAACTTCATAAAGCAGTAGACTCATTTGCTATAAGCAGTTGGAATAGTTTATTCATTCAATAAATACTTATTAAGTATCTCTTATACTTATGGGTATTGAGAAATGTAAAAGTTGACAGGAACTGATATTTAAGAACAGACTTCCTATGTTTATGAAAATTAAAGCAATTATCAGACTTAATAAAAAATAAGCAAATAGCCCTGGCCGGTTTGGCTCAGCGGTTAGCTTGTCGGCCCGCGGACCAGAGTCCCGGATTCAGTTCCCTCTAAGGGCACGTACCTCGGTTGCAGTTTGTCCCCGCCCTGGTTGGGGTCATGTGGGTGGCAACCACTCGATGTGTCTATCTCATGTCGATGTTTCTCTCTCTCTCTTCCCTCTCTCCTTCCTGCTCTAAAAGAAATAAATTTTAAAAATAAGCAAATATACATAGATAGATAGGTGGGTGAGTGGGTGGATGGGTGGGCAGATGAATGGATAGATGAACAGAGACAGATAGATAATTAGTAAAAGATTAATGTTGTGATTAGTAGTGTTACAATATGATGTCAAAAGTATGTTATATGTTAACTTTTTAAAAAATTAAGGTTGACAGATTCGCAATGGAATTGGAACAGAGCCGGGATCTGAACAATACCATAGTGCATATTGACATGGATGCTTTCTATGCAGCTGTAGAAATGAGGGACAATCCAGAATTGAAGGATAAACCCATTGCTGTAGGATCATCAAGTATGTTGGTAAGTAGGTAAAGACAAACAGAAATTTCATAATGTATTTAAGTAAGCCTTACTGGTTTATACAGAGAAAAGACTTCATTGAATTCTACCTGTTTGCTGAGTATTTTTCTGGTTGCTTTATGTGTTCAGTTACTAAATCCTTTCAGTATCCTCTGAGACACAAATTGTTGTTTCCATTTGACAGATAAGAAAACAAACTCAGAGAGTGTTTAATAACTTCCATAAATTTCCACACCTGGTAAATGGTAGAGTGGCATCGTATCTTTCTGTTCAAAGTGTGTGTGTGTGTGTGTGTGTGTGTGTGTGTGAATCCTTACCCGAGGGTATTTTTTCCATTAATTTTTAGAGAGAATGGAAGGGAGGGAGGAAGGAAGTGGTGGGGAGAGAGATAAAGAAAGACTTAGATTGATTGCTTCCTGCATGCACCCCAACCGGGGTTGGGGATCAAATGTGCCCTTGACTGGGAATCAAACCCTTGACCCTTCGTTGCACAGGCTGACACTTTAACCACTGAGCAACACTGGCCAAGACTAAATTATGCATATTTTAAATAACTGTCCTAGTGTAAGAAATTTTGAAGAAAAAAATAAAAATACTATTCTAAAGCTGGGGTTTGCAAACAATGGCTTGCTGCCTTTTTTGTAAATAAAATTTTACTGGAACACAGTCACACCCATTCATTTATTATTGTTGCACTAAAAGAACATAGTTGAGTACTTGCAACAGAGACCACACAAACCGCAAATCCTAAGTAATTACTATCTGGACCTTTACAGAAAAGGTTTGCCAACCCATTCTAGAGTAATATATTTCATTAATATAGTACTGTAATTAAGTAGTTTTTCCCATGACTTGGAACCTTTGCTTTTCTAATTACTATGCTTCTCTTCCTTATTTCCATCCTAACCATAGGAGGTAAAGATGACCAGGATAGCTATATGTAGTTAAAAATGTGTTGGGAATTAAAAATAGCAACTGGAATAGATGAGTTTTGGTATTAAAGAAACGTACAAGAGAAACAAGGAGAGTTCTTCCCTGTTCCCTATTTCCTTCCAATGCCTTAGATAGCTATAAACCTAATTCCTACTAAGTTGTTATTTATTACAAAATTATAATCTATTCATTATCTCTGCTCCCATGAGTATGCAGCAACTAACAGTTCTGGTCCCAGAACAGTGTTTATTGAGAGGATACTTCTCTTTCCTATAAATCATCAACTAATATTTGAAAAAATATTTAATTTTATTAAGAACATAAAATACTGCCCTGACTGGTTTGGCTCAGTGGTTAGAGAGTCGGCCTGTGGACCAAAGAGTCACTGGTTTGATTCCCGTCAGGGGCATGTACCTCGGTTTCGGTTCGGTCCCCAGCCCTGGTAGGGGTCATGCAGGAAGCAACCAATCAATGTGTCTCTCTCACCTCAATTTCTCTCTCTCCCTCCCTTCCTTTCTCCTCCCTCCCTCCCACTCTATCTGAAGATAAAATTGAAAAGTATCCTTGGGTGAGGATTTTAAACAAAGAGAGGACAGAAAATATTATATCATGTATATGTGTGTATGTATATATGCCATAGTGATGTTAAAGCTAACCCCACTGTTAAATTCGTGAAATATTTTCTTTCCTATAATTTCTGTCCTCCTACAAATTGCTTATTGTTTCTACATTCAAAATGATTATCTGTTATATTTAAACAGAGATTACTCCCCTTGTATGCTGACCTAATAGAGTTCCTTTCTAATGAGATTTGAAGCATAATTGTTTTTGTCCTGTTAAACTCATAAAAATGTATCTACAGTAGTGGTAGTGATGATACATTTTTTATTATTACAGTCTGTTACAGTTAGAATTCTTTTTTAATGAATTTGATAGATTCAGGAAATGTTTATTAGCCACTCACAGTTAGAACTTAGACCCTGCTGCATAATGAACCTCTTCAGTACTTAGTGGATAACCATTTATTTGCTCATGATTATATAATTTGAGCAGAGTACAATAGGGATGGCTAATCTCTACTGTACCGGGGGTTCGCTAGAGCTATTTAGCTGGGGCTAAAGGGTCCAAAATGGGTTCACTAACATGTTTAGCACTTTGAATGATTGGCATGGTGGGAATGGCTTATACCCATTCAGTTTTCCCCTCTCTTGGTGAATTTTACTTATTTAATTAGTTAATTAATTTATTTTTTTAATCTTTACCTGAGAATATGTTTTTTATTGATTTTTAGAGAGAGAGGGAGAAGAGAGAGAGAGAGGAAGAGAGAGAAACATCAATGTGAGAGAGAAACATCAATCGGTTGCCTCTGGTACGTGCCCTGACTGAGGATGGACCCTGCAACCTAGGTTATGTGTCCTGACTGGAAATTGAACCAGCAACCTTTTGGTGTATGGAATGATACAGTCAACTGAGCCACCCAGCCAGGGCTTATGGTGCATTATTATTTAGTAATCTAACCCAAATTCTTTAAATAGTTGCCGGATCCCTAAAATGTATAGGCAGACGCTGCTGACTTCATAATGTGTAGGCTTCATGACTCACATAATGTCACTCCCTCGCATTTTTTTGGTCAAAGCATGTCCAAATGCACGTCACTTGGCATGAGGAAGTACAACCCACCTTTTGATAGGAGGAACTGTAAAATACGGTGGCTATGATTTACAATCTAAAAGTTAAAGGAAGTCATATCTAAAATTTTGTTTCTGCTCTAGTATAGATCTAGCTTTTATATTGATTCCATTAGACTTATTTAGATTTAAAGCATTAGTCTGTCTTTTAGTGCTATCTGCATTTTCTGTTCCAGAATACTGACCATCTAAAGATCAGCATAGTTTTGAGTACTGTCAAGATTTTTTAAATGCCATTTAAAAAACCATTAATGGAAATTTAATGTTATTGTTCTGAAATAATTACTCCATTTGATAGATTCTGTTTTGCATTTCTTTGACTTTTACTTAAGATTCCCCCAAAAAAGATTTCATTTGTCATAAAAATTTTTATGTGGTACTATACCCTACCACATTGACAAGAGACTATTGTCAGATATCATCTATAGGATTTAGTAAGTAATATTCTCCTTTTTATTCTCAGTTTTTTATTTCTATCTCCTAATCAAAGTGTTTTCACCAAAAATCATATTTAAGCCTTAAGAAATAAAACTTTAAAGTTTTATTACTTAATTTTGGAGTCTTATTTTGGTGACCATATATTAGACCTTTAATTTTTGTTCCAGATGAAGTTTCCAAAATCCCAAATAGACCAAATTCCAAATCCAGTATTATACCATACTGTTACTTTCTATACTGTTATTTTCATGTAACACCTATACTATTTGTATGGTAATATTACTTTATACTTTACTGTTATTATTACTGTACTCTTACTTTTCTGTAACATCACCCACTATCATCCATACTTTGATATAGAGTACTATATTATGGGTATGCCTTGATATGAGAGAGAAACATCGATTGGTTGCCCACTGTATGCACTCCAACCAGGGACTAAACCTACAACCTATGTGGCCTGACCAGAAATCAAACATATAACCCTTTGGCGTACAGGATGACGCTCCAACCAACTGAGCCACAACTTATTATCATGCCTCCAAAATTAAAACTTTAAGTACTATATTGTGGGTATGCCTTAAAACAAATGAAGTTTAGTTACTAGAAATGTAAGGGAACCTTTTTATTAGCACAGTCTTGCTTATTACCTCGTGTCATATTATAAAATATGGGGATAGCAATGGGAGAAGGTCATGGTATTGTAATACCTTGATAAGATAAAATTAAAGCTTGATTTGAGGCAGTGGCCTATAAAAGAAATGTCCTTGAGCCCTGGCCGAGTGGCTCAGTTGGAGTGTCGTCCTGTACGCCAAAGGATTGTGGGTTTGATTTCTGGTCAGGGCACATAGTTAGGTTGTGGGTTTAGTCCCTGGTTGGAGTGCATACAGTGGGCAACCAATCGATGTTTCTCTCTCATATCAGTGTTTCTTTTCTCTCTCTCCCTAAAATCAATAAACATATCCTCAAGTGAGGTTTTTTTTTTTAAAAAAGTAATGTCCTTGAATTGAAAATGCACATCAGTAATGTGTTTCTTTTGAATGCATTGATCAGTATGTTCATTTAGGTTTGTGTATTTCTTCCCCTGTGGTCCATTTTCTTTCAGACTACTTCAAATTACCATGCAAGGAGGTTTGGAGTTCGTGCAGCCATGCCAGGATTTATTGCTAAACGGCTCTGCCCACAACTTATTATAGTGCCTCCAAACTTTGACAAATACCGAGCTGTGAGTAAAGAGGTAAGTTTGATGTCTCACCTCTACTTATACATAGCCTTTCACTGATTTCCTATCACCTACACAAAGTCAAGTCCACATGCCTTCACACATCAGAATTTGGCCTTAGTTCATCCCTTTAGTCTCACCTCTTACCTCTTCTTCAGCCTATATATTAAATACTGAGCTGTATGTGGTTTCTGGAATCCACCCTTCTGTTTCCCAATTTTATGCTTTTCCACACATTTTTCATCTGCTTAGAAAACGTCATCTCCCCAGAAAACTTTGAATTGCCTTAATAATATCCTAAATTAACTTTATCTTTTTTTCTTAATGTGCACTATACATTTTCTTTTGGAAACACCTGATATTGAATTTACAGAATCTACTCAAATCATTAATTTCAACTTATTTTCTGAATAATTTTTTTTATTAATGTTTTTAAACAGTAACAGAATTCACTTATTTTGATTAGCTGCTTTCCTTGGCCTGCAATCTAGTAAAGATGCTTATAAGCATTTAATGTCTAAGAGACTGATAAAGAAAAAAGAGGAATAATCTATTGCTTTGAAAAGGATCTTTGAATTGTAAATATTTGATTATACAATAAAATTGCCTAAACGATCACATATGGAAAACTGTCATTTTCTTTTTTTTTTTTTTTTTTTATCCTCACCAGAGGACATTTTTCCATTTTTTGTTCAGGTACAGTGGGAGGGAGAGAGAGGAACAGAGAGAGAGAGAGAGAGAGAGAAACATCGATGTGAAAGGAACACATTGAGTGGCTGCCACCCGCACAACCGACCAGGGCCGGGGACAAACTGAAACCGAGGTACGCGCCCTTAGCGGGAACCGAACCCGGGTCTCTCAGGACCACAGGCCGACGCTCTAACCGCTGAGCCAAACCGGCCAGGGCTGGAAAACTGTCATTTTCTCTATTTTTGATAATTGGACCATCATACCAGTACTGGGAACTTAAGTTATAAATTAAAATTTTGGAATGCCACATCAAACACTTTTAGACAACTGTGGCAAAATGCAATGTGTTAAAGACTACTATCTGAACTGAAACATTTAATAAACTATGGCCTGCCTGGCCAGTGTGGCTCAGTAGATTGAGCATTGTCATGGACTGAGGTCCTGGTTTGATTTCCCATCAGGGCATTTGCCTGGGTTGTGGACTCCATCCTCAATGGGGAGCGTGCAGGAGGCACCCAGTTGATATGTCTCTCTCACATCGATGTTTCTATCTCTTTCCCTTTCTCTCTCTCAAAAAAAATCTATGGCCTAGTACTTAGTATATTTTACTCAGAAAATGGTCTTTAGATCCACTCCTCTTATTTGCAGTCTACCGTATTTCCCCCAGAAATGACTCCCCACCAATGAAAATGATATCCCACACAAAATTTTAAAATTTAACAATTTTCAAAAACAGTCTGTGACAGCAAGTACTATTGTGCCTACCTCTGAAAAGGAAGTGTATGTGGGAGTAACACATTCACATTTGGTAACTGCTTATCTGTTTTACTATATTCTTTTTTTTAATAGTTTTTCTTTATTGATTTTAGAGAGAGAGGAAGGGAGAGGGAGAGAGAGAGAGAAACATCAATGAGAGAGAACATCGATTGGCCGCCTCCTGCATGCTCACTGGGGATTGGGCCCACAACCTGGGCACGTGCCCTGACCAGGAATCAAACCGGCAACTTCTTGGTGCTCAACCAGTGACACCAGCTGGGCTGTTTTACTATATTCTTGATTAGAAAATCCTTCAAAGACTATAAGAAAGAATGTTTTAAGTCCTACTTTAATTCAGTAAAACTTTGGACGTATGACAATGAGAACTAAATTGTTTTTAGTTATTTTTAGTCTAGTTATTTATATAAGTTGGAGACATCTTTCTTCACATTCGAGCAGGATCTAGATAGTTTATTTGCAGATAACAAATGGATTTTAATGTGGAAATGAACTATAGCATAAATTTACTGACTATAAATACATTAATATTTATGACTTGGTTTAAAAGTTTAAGAAAAAGCCATTTTTGTTTTATCCAAAAGAATGGGATAGCTTTAACTATTCTCATAGCCTAAGTACTTGTTTATTACTGGAACGTGTCCATTCTCGTTCTTAAAGCAGTATCCTATGTAAAGGAAGTTAGTGAGTACTCAGTGCCTCTTGGGAGTACTTCTCATTCAGAATAATCTTAGTTGGCTGCCAACTACAGACTTTCCAGAGTTTCATTTTCACTAGAAAGGTTCTATTTGAGTACATCATAAAAATCGTTTCTTCTACAAGAACAGAGCTAATTAAGGCACTCTGAGCAAAACTTGGCCAAGTTTTATGTCACTATTTTCTAAAATTACCTTTCACTCAGCTGTTCATAATTATATTAAGCTAAAAAGCTTTCTTTTTATAAATCATCAAGAAAGGCTTTCTCATGATGCAGCAGACAGCTTTCAAATACTAGATGGAACCATAACATAATTTAGCAAGTATGTTTTTCTAACATACATATTATTTTGACAACCATTTCCTCTAGTTTCAGCTAATACTTCAATGGTTAAAAAATTTGGTTTCATGTAATAAACCAAATATATAAAAGGCATTTCTGTAATAATACAGAGATTCTGATCTCTTTATGTGTTTCTTTTATCCCAAGATGCAACTCCAGACTATTCTCCATCATTTATTATAGTTACAGACATTACAGATTTTGTCATCTTTCCCATTATAAATCCTGTTAATTGAGCTTTGTTTTCTTGAATGGATACATGCATGAATGTGTGTATTGAGTGGACTTTTATGTGCATGTTATAATTAATTGAAATTTTACTTTCTAAAGCATCATGGTACCTTTATGTAAGATTATCCTTTTTAAAATGTACAAAAACCATCATAAAAGGTGATGGGGAGAAGGATTCTATTGTTCCCACTTTTACTTTTGATCAACTACTTAAAATTGCATTCCATTTTTTCTGTGCCTACCAGAATGATGATGTCTGAGATTTATTTGAGTCACTTACTATTTCTAGATACAGGTGGCTAAATAGAGATTGTATCAAATAAAGCTACTTCATGGTCGTCTGCCTTCATGATCTATTTTAATAAGAAAGAGAATTTGAACAAATTTGCCCTGGTGATAAATTATTTATTCCCTAAATTCATGAGTTATTGATTGCAGATCGTTACTGTAGTTACAAAGTAAGAATATTAGTTTTTCTTATAAGCTGTATGTGACAGATTTTGCTATAGCAGCAAAACTTAAACTATTTTGTTCCTTTTGAAGGTTAAGGAAATACTTGCTGATTATGATCCCAATTTTATGGCCATGAGTCTTGATGAAGCCTACTTGAATATAACAAAGCACTTACAGGAAAGAAAAAATTGGCCTGAGGACAAAAGAAAGTATTTCATCAAAACAGGGAACTCTCTAGAAAATGGTAAGCAATTTATTAGAATAATCAAACAAACAAATAAACAAAAAAATGCTTTGAATATGAATTAACCCATTTAACTTATTAGCATGCATAGGTTGTAGGACTAGCTATACCTTTATTACGAAAAATTATTAAAAATGAAAAATTAGCCCTGGCTGGTTTTGTTCAGTGGTTAGAGCGGTAGCCTGTGCACCACAGGGTCAAGGGCATGTCCTGGGTTGCAGGTTCAATCCCCTCCTTCCTCTAAAGTCCAAGACAGTTTTGTGCTGTCTGCCACTTTTCTAAAAAATGTGGTCTTTGGAAAAGTATTGCTAATTACTATGTGTATATACAAATGAAATAATAATTATTTTTTGTTTATTCTGCCTTATAAATCTAAATAGTGAGTGCCAAGGAATGTATGAAACTAAAATACTGTACATTTTTAGCACTTGCCATCAAATGGATGCTTTAATCCTAGTGTTTCAGATTAAAGAAACCTTAGTTTTATACTCTGATCATCTCAGTTATGGGGATTATAAAGATATTTCTGTCAGCCCAGCCGGTGTGGCTCAGTGGTTGAGCATTGACCCCTGCACCAAGAGGTTGCCGGTTCAATTCTTGGTCAGGGCACATGCCCATGTTGTGGGTCAAATCCCCAGTGGGGGGCATGCAGGAGATAGCCAGTCGATATTCTCTCTCATCAGTGTTTCTATCTTTCTCTACCTCTCCCTTCCTCTCTCTCTAAAATCAATAAAGGAAAAAAAAGATACTTCTTTCAGAAAGCAAGTAAGAAACTGCTTCAGCATTTAGTTGCTAACCCAGGTTTAACAGAAGTAGAAAGACTTAATAGGCAACTATGCTATTCAGCAGCAGCTCTAACAGAACCGAAAGGCAGTGTGCTTTGCTTCTCACTGTAGTGTTCTATCAGAGTAACTCACCTAAGGGCAGGGTGATAGAGCCATGAGGAACATAAACATGGCATAAGGAACTCTGCAGAAGGGGCTTATGAGCATGATAGGTACCTTACCTGAGCTGCAGTTTTTCTGTTCTTTTTTCCTTGACTTCATGCATCCAGATGGGGACAGGGGGGGTCTAGGTAAATACCATTTCAACCGTGCCACAGTCTTAATCCCCTCTTAATTATTAACCAGAATATGGGAAATGAAAGGAACTGAAGCACATAACAGCTAATGTAAGTTTGAAAGTAAGGCTTATTTTGTAGATGGCCTGGGAATTCAGATTTGGAAAAACATCTGTCTGTAACTTAATTTATACATTATACTTTAAAATTTGAAACGAATCAGGTGTTTGTCATATTATCTTTAGAAAATCTTGCTAAAAAGCCAAGTTCATTGTTAAAGTAATATGCATTGATGTGTGTCTTGAAATTAGAAATTTAATTTTTGCTTCTGCATTTACCTTAATTTGGAAAACATTTGTATCTAATTAAATTATGAAATGGGATCAGAAAGCTCTGTTGTTAATCTTAGTTGTTATAAGTATATTTAAACTGCATTTCTTCTCCATTAAGCCTAGAAAGAAAGTCTTTAATGGATTTGTTCATGAGGACTTTTTTAGTACCAGTATAGATTTAAGTGTATTTTACAGTCCATTTGTGAAAAATGCAAATGAAATGAGGTAATAACCAGATTGATGTTTTTACTCTACTTTTTAATAATGTTAGTTTATAACCTATTGATAAAAATAAAAGCTTCTTTCCCTTAACCTTGGACGATGGTTAATCTGATCAGACATTAAGAATTTGGATATTTTAGTCCTGGCCGATTTGGCTCACTGGTTGGAGCATCGGCCTGCAGTCCCTAGAGACCCAGGTTCGGTTCCCACTAGGGGTGCGTGCCTCGGTTGTGGTTTGTCCCCAGCCCTGGTTGGTTGTGCTGGTGGCAGCCACTTGATGTGTCCCTTTTATGTTGATGTTTCTCTCTCTCTCTCTCTGTTCCTCTCTCTCCCTCCCACAAAAGAAAAAAAAAAAGCTAAAGAATTTGGATATTTTAATGGGTATGCATATGCAGATATATAGACTATATGTTTTAAAAACAGAATTTGTATATTTTAAAAAGTGTAGCACCCTGAAGTAATTTATATTTATTTTAAATATGCCTTTAGTAAAAGTGATGCTTTATGAACAGACAAGTCAAAATTAAAATCAACATTTGAAAGAAGAAAATTCAAATTATGTTAACATTTGAAAAGTTTCTTCCATGAATGAAGAAACTTTACGTCCCCCCCCCCTCTAAAAACAAAACTTATTTTTCAAGACTTTATTTTGGATTGCTTAATGCCTTTTGTCCTGATTACTAAATTCTATTTAAGAAAGTTATTTTTCCCCCTAGAGATGAATAAACAACAACAACAAAGCTTGCATTTTTTAAGAAAAAAGTAATGTGAATCCAAACCCAGTTCTGGGTTTCAATTAACTTAGGTAGAAAAGTTAGTGAATTTTACTTAGGATGTTTTCTTTTAAAATGTATACTATGGAAATGGGTAATATATTCTTTTTAAGAAAAACTTAGAATCGTTTTCTTTTTAAAACAGTTATAAGATATAAATGATGACATTTCTGATTTTGGTTCTTAGAAACAAAACTAAACTAGATTTACTTTGTCTTTAGAAAGAATATAGTGAAAGCTGACTTATGAAGTATATGCTTCTTAAAATGAAGATGAATTACTGTTCCTATTTATAATTTAGATAAACCAGGAAAGGAAGTTAATAAACTGAGTGAGCATGAACGATCCATCTCTCCATTACTTTTTGAAGATAGTCCTCCTGATTTGCAGCCTCCAGGAAATACTTCCCAGGTGAACAGTGAAGAACAAAATAATTCTCAAATACTTCAAAACTCAGTTGTTTTTGGAACATCCGCCGAGGAAGTGGTAAAGGAAATTCGTTTCAGAATTGAGCAAAAAACAACACTGACAGCCAGTGCAGGTACTTAAACAAGATATTGATGGCTACAATAGTTATAATTTTCAGACTGGCTAATTTGAATGTTATATTAGTAGTTTCTCATTATAAAGTATAGAGTAACATTTTACTTATCAATTCTTTATCAATTCTTTTATTCAACTTTTAAGAACTTAACCTATTTAGAATGCCTAGAACATATAGGTAAGTTGAAATTAAGCCAAAAAGCCTTTGAGCTCCAGGAAAAAACTATTATAAATCTCATGTAGCTTTTTTTTTTTTAAGCAAAAATATTTTTAAATTATTTTTAGACATAGTATAGTAGTTTTCCCCTGGAAGACTACAACCCTTCCAAGGATGCAGTGCAGGAGGGGCCCCAGATGGCTACGAGGCAGTGGACGAAAGAATAACCAACTAGCAACATAGCAATCTAGGACCATCCAATGAAGGGGAAAAGAGCTGTACATACATCGGTAACCCGTAGGGTAACACTGCTTAGCAAAGAGACTGATATTCATCCTAAGTACCCTAAGTTATCTTATAAAAGTCATGTTATGGTGAAGTTAGTCTTTTTTTTCTATGCCAAAGCATGAGAATAAGAATAAAATTTAAAACCAAAGAACTTACATGCATAACCAGTGGACACAGACAATAGTGTGGGAAAAGGCGGGAGTGGGGAGGAGGGGGTCAATGGGGGAAAAATGAGGAACATCTGTAATACATTCTACATTCAACAATAAAGATTTTTTTAAAAAAGTAATAAAATTTAGGAAGATGTGTATAAACAATGAAATGAACTATATAATAATTATATTAGAATATTCCAATTTCAATTTATCTTAATCATTAAGAATCCTAGAAATTATAAAACACCTTTCTTAAAAGTAGTAATTTACTTTGTGAGTAACATAAAAATGATGCACACATTTCATTATCATTGTTTTAAATATACTACTACCCAGAATCTTTGATTTTTTTAAATGTGGATAATCTATACAAAGTACCTTTTTAAGAGTAAACATAGATTCTAGTTTACATTCTGGGTCATTTCTTTTTTTTCTTTTTTTTTTTTATCCTCACCAGAGGACATTTTTTCATTTTTTGTTCAGATAGAGTGGAAGGGAGAGAGAGAGAGAGAAACATCGACGTGAAAGGTACACATCGAGTGGCTGCCACCCACACGACCCAACCAGGGCCGGGGACAATCTGCAACCGAGGTACGTGCCCTTAGCGGGAACCGAACCCGGGTCTCTCTGGACCGCAGGCCGACGCTCTAACCGCTGAGCCAAACTGGCCAGGGTACATTCTGGGTCATTTCCATAAGATAGCCCTGTCTTTCTACTACAGATAATAAGTAAATTAGCAATATCGCTTAAATAAACTCAGAAATTACTCCTATACTTTAAAATACCATGGAGATTTAAATAGTCCTCATTTATGCTATAAAAATAAGTAACATAATTCTTTTTCCTAAAACCATAGGAAGCCCTGGAGAGATAGATCATAATCCACTGTTATTTTATTTATTTATTTATTTATTTATTTATTTATTTATTTATTTATTTATTTAACAAGGCATATAATTATGATTTATTGCTACTGTCTGAATATTCTCTTTCATAGATATGCATTTTTTTATTTAATGAATTTATTGGGCTAATAAAATTATATGGGTTTAAAGTGTACAATTCTATAATACATCATCTGTATTTTATATTGTGTGTTCACCACCCAAAGTCAAGTCTCTTTCCATCAACATTTATTGCCCCTTTATCCTTTTCTACCTCCCCTCTACCTTTTTCTTTCTAGTAATCTGTGACGATGAGGTTGTTTTGTTTGTTTGTATTTTGCTTCAATCCTTCACCTTCTTCACCCATTGTTATGTTTAAAGTAGCATTTCACATCATTTCAGATTTTTTGCACTTAACATTATTTTTTTATATTGCCATCACATATTTTAAAATTGTATATATTAACTTCTTTGAGTCATTTGTGTTCTTCTTTTAAGGCATTGCCCCAAATACAATGTTAGCAAAAGTATGCAGTGATAAGAATAAACCAAATGGACAATACCAAATTCTCCCCAATAGACAAGCCGTGATGGACTTCATCAAGGACTTACCCATTAGAAAGGTAAGATTGTATATAGCCCTGGCCGGTTTGGCTCAGCGGTTAGAGCGTCGGCCTGCGGTCCTGAGAGACCCGGGTTCGGTTCCCACTAAGGGCATGTACCTCGGTTGCAGTTTGTCCCCGGCCCTGGTTGGTTGTGCGGGTGGCAGCCACTCGATGTGTTCCTTTCACGTCGATGTTTCTCTCTCTCTCTCTGTTCCTCTCTCTCCCTCCCACTCTACCTGAACAAAAAAAAAAAAATGGAAAAATATCCTCGGGTGAGGATAAAAAAAAAAAAAAAGGTAAGATTGTATATAAAATTCATCGTGTGTGTGTGTGTGTGTGTGTGTGTGTGTGTGTGTATTCTGAGATCTGAAGAGATACTATTTAGGATGATAATAATTGTTATCTGTAAAATTTTAAAACAGTAGGTAACAAGCAAGAACTATAATGAATGATTGAATTTAGATTTGAAGAAATCTTTCTATTAAACCTTTAAAGTGAGGTTTAGGAATCTTGTTTGCTGAAAAGTTTTAAGAATGTAATAGATGAAAGACTTTTAAGTGTACCTCTAACAAGGAGAACAAGAATAAAAGAATACTGGTAAGAATCCTTTCAGCTGTAACTCAATATACAATCTTAGTTCTAAAGTACAGATTGCTGCCTGATTAATAGGTGTTACACTTCAAAGAGATTTAGAATTTTAATTGTTTTGACAAAAAATAAATCAAAACTCTTTACCATCTTTTAAATGGTAAAATGATCTCTTAGTTATAGGAAGGAGGGTATATTTTATTATTTTTAAAGCTTCTAGATTTTTCTGCATATATATGCTTTTTAAACAATAATTGTACTATATACTCTTTGATGTCCTAGGACTTGCTTTTCTCAATATAATGTATATAAGTGAATTTAAATAAAACATTTCTCAGTGCGCAGAGGAGAGGCTATATCAAAATATATAATGTATAATGATTACTGAATAGTTTAGTATGTAAGATGTAGCTATAAAGTAGTGTTTTCCAGTATGTTTTTTAAGGTATGAATGGGTGTTCTATAAAAAACGTTCTGGGCCCTGGCCGGTTTGGCTCAGCGGTTAGAGCATCGGCCTGCGGTCCAGAGAGACCCGGGTTCGGTTCCCGCTAAGGGCACGTACCTTGGTTGCAGTTTGTCCCCGGCCCTGGTTGGGTCGTGTGGGTGGCAGCCACTCGATGTGTCCCTTTCACATCGATGTTTCTCTCTCTCTCTCTTCCTCTCTCTCCCTCCCACTCTATCTGAACAAAAAAATGGAAAAATGTCCTCGGGTGAGGGAAAAACAAAAACAAAAACAAAAAAAAAACGTTCTGGGGTCAAATAACCTTGGAATCTACCACCCTTGTGAGTCACAATGATACTAGTATTTTAAAGATTCATAAGTCTGGCAGTGAAAAGTTCAACTTAAATTTGTTTATCCCACCATCCCTCAGGTTTGTCTGACCACAGAACTCTTTTTTTTCTTTTTAATGCTTTTAAAGTTTTCATGGAATTTTACATTTAAGTTTTCCATGGAATACTAGTTTAGGAAATATGGCCAAAAAGAAATTAAAAGAGTTCTCTTATAAAGATAGTCACATTATTCATGCCTTTTATTGATTATAAAAGATGTAATAAGATTATAATATCAGTTCTTAATTTTAAAATGTATTAATAATAAATATTGATTCTCTTCTAGGTTTCTGGAATAGGAAAAGTTACAGAGAAAATGTTAAAGGCTCTTGGAATTATTACTTGTACAGAACTCTACCAACAGAGGGCATTACTTTCTCTTCTTTTCTCTGAAACATCTTGGCATTATTTTCTTCGTATTTCTATGGGTCTAGGTTCAACACATCTGACAAGGTAGCCATATGTATATTCATTTTGCGTTTTCTTTATTTTTATTGTTGATGCTATTACAGATATCCCTATTTCCCCCACCCCTTTGTCCACTTCCACCCAGCCCCCACCATCCCTTTCCCTCTGGCCATCATCACACTGTTGTCTTTGTGGGCCATTCTGCTTTTTCTTTATCATTTGCTGAAATAACAGTTTTAAGCATTAAAATGGAGCCTATAAGAATAATATGTTTTGAAGTTATTTTAGGCTGGTTCAATTTGGAATATATAATTTTTAAATTATTCAAAAGATTGTATGTGGGAGAAAAGGGAAAGAGGAATAAAGAATCACTTCTAGGTTGTTGGTACAGCAATTGGATAGATGAACAAGAGGAATAAAAGGTACTTTCTTTTCTGAACCTGCCTTGTTCTTTGTTTAGAAGGTAAGAATACTGGAACACTGGTGGTCAGATTTTTGAGAAAAACAAGATGGCTTATATTCCAGCATTCACCTTTTAAGCGAGGAAATTTAATGATTCTTTGAAGCCTTCAAACTAAATTTATTTTATATATATATATTCCCCCCTTCCCCAAGAATTGTAAATGATTCATTCATTCAATACTGAGCACTTACTTTGTGTTAGGCACTGTTCTAGGCCCTAGGGATAGTAGCAGTAAACAAGACAAAGTCCAGCCTTCATGGAGTTTACAGACATGTGGGAGATAGAAAGTGACAAATAAATAAACAAATGAAGACCTGGCCGGTTTGGCTCAGCGGTTAGAGCGTCGGCCTGCAGTCCTGAGAGACCCAGGTTCGGTGTCCGCTAAGGGCGTGTACTTAGGTTGCAGTTTGTCCCCGGCCCTGGTTGGGTTGTATGGGTGGCAGCCACTTGATATACGTTGATGTTTCTCTCTCTCTCTCTTCCCCTCTCTCCCTCCCACTCTATGTGAACAAAAAGTGAAAAAATGTCCTTAGGTGAGGATAAAAATAAATAAACAAACAAACAAATGAAGAAAGTGAGGCAGAATGAGGACATAACAAATGACTTGGGGTTGTGTGGGGGTGGGAGGCAAGAATTGGGGTTGGCTGTGGTCAGCCAGAGAGAGAGAAGACCTAAAGGGGCCAGCTGATCTTGAAGAACAGCTAGCGGAGAAGCCCTGTGTTTTCTTTCTTGCCACTCTTTCATCTAGGTCTTAAAAAGAAGTATCCTAGAGCTAGAAGGGTACACTTTTGGAGGTGGCTGAAAGAAGGGACTAAAAGAATGGGAATTAACACAGCACTATTTTTATAGTTTTGTCATCGTTCTATCAACCTGCCCTCAAAATAACTCCTTATACAGTATTCTTATACTCACACTAAAGGAGTACAAGATTACTGAGGGAGCATATAAAATAAATTTTGTTAACAAACCTGCTAAACGTTACAGAGATTGTAAGACTGGTATTGTTTTCTTGTTTCCGTGCTTCTCAATCATTTGAGTCCACAGTTAGCTGACATTGATTTTGAATGGATATAATGAAAAATAAGAAAAAGACTTCATAGTACTATAAATAATCTAGTATTTTGAAGGTAATGGGAAATTAAACTTTCTCCTTTAATTCAAAATTAACCTCTTTTTATCTCCACAGTGCTTGAACACAATAGAATTCTTGATAAAACAGCACATAATAACCTGGGGTATTTAGAGATGTAGGTAATGGTTATTTTAAGTGAAATTCGTAGGTAATTTATAATATAAAATAGCAAACCTACCTTTCCTTCTGTCCACATTCTCTAAGTTCCCTACTGTGCTTTATTTTTAAATTTGTGGTACTTCTCCCCTTCTAACATATTCCACATTTACTTTTTATTCATTTATTTGTCTCCTCTCACTAAGATACAAGTTTCTTAGGGGCAGGCACTTGGTCTATTTTGTTCATAACTGTATCCCCAAAGCCTAGAACAGTGCTCCATTCATAACAGATTAATTAAATCTTTGGAAAATGAATAACCTTAATGTCATTTCAGCCTTTTGGTATCAACTGCTGCTATCAGAGCAGGTAGAATCCAGCCAAACCAGATGTTTTAGATTTCCAGTCTTCATCCTGTTGCTGTGTGCCAAATTTTGACTGAGGTTCTATAGAGTGGTTTAAATGAATAATGAATAGGCTATATAAGGGAGAGGTTAATGTACTAAGTGAAAAACTAGATAATTTATATTAAATTATTTAACATTTAATTATATCCTATAACTGCAAGCCATTACACTACCACCTGCTATTGGTTTCTATAAGTTGTGGTTTTGATATTCAGGCTTTTAATAGAAGCAATTCATAATATCAAACTATTTTAAAATTTGTTCTGTTCAATAGATACAGACTTGATTCATGACATGTGTAATCATAATAGCATCTTATCTATCTACATTATTTGGGTGATAGTTTTATTTTTGGATTTTAAAAACTTACTGTTTTTCATGATGTAAAAATTTGAGTCAAAAACATTGAAATGTCTAAAGAGTAATTGATATATTAAATCCTCATGGTTGACTAAAAGGAACTCAGTCTTTGAGAAAACAAATAAAAAAACTTTTTTTTTTTCATTTCAAGGGATGGAGACAGGAAAAGCATGAGTGTTGAGAGGTAATATTTTGATATTATTGTTCATAATTTATGCTGTTTTAAACTAATTTTTAATTTTTAGGACAGTATCACTGAAATTTAAAAATCAGTTTTCAAACCACAGAACAATTCTCAGCATGTCATACTCCTGAAGTAAATAGCTCAGTATAATGCTTTATCATCTTCAGTTGCTATGCCCTCAATGGAAAAAAAATTAACTGCAATTATTTTTTTAAATATTGGTTTGGTTCCTATTCAATGAAAAACAAGCATTAAGAAAAATTATACTGAGAGGTTATTTAGGAAATTTAAGAAGTGACGATGGAAATTCTTCCTAAAACTCTTCAAGTATTGGTGAATGAGCAGAGGTTCAAATAATAAGATATTGATGAAAGAGAGCTTACAGGTGATCTATTTCATTGGTTCCCAGTCTTATTTAGAAGTCAAATGAAATCTTGATAGAAACCTTATTGTTTTGGGAAATAGGTCACTGTTTGAAAAGTGCCCAAGTTCCACTGAGACATTTAAGAACCACTGACCTAGTAAGTACATGGTTGTGTTCAGAAAAGATGAATGACTTTTACAAGATGACACACTCAATAAATGACTGATAAAAACTGCTTTGAGGCTGTGATCTTAAATGTTTGAACATATTGCGAGTCTCCTTTATAATCTAAGAAATATAATCTAAGATTGAAAGTTCTCTGAAGTAGTATTTTTCACTGATCAGGTTGGCAAAGATTCTAACATATGCTATTGGCAAGACTATGGGAGTGAAAAAGCTGTAAACTCTAGGAGGGGATGTATTAATTTCTTATTGGTACTATAACAAATCATCACAAATTTAGTGGCTTAAAACAACACACATTTATTTTCTTATAGTTCTGAAGGTCAGAAGTCCTAATATTAAGGTGTTGGCCGGGGTGCATTCCTTCTAGAGGCTCCAGAGAGAATCCATTGATGTTTGTCTCTCTCTCTCTTTCCCCTCCTCTCCCTTCCCTTATCTCTCTAAAATCAATAAAAACATATCCTCAGCCCTGGCTGGTTTTGTCAGTGGTTAGAGTGTTGACCCATGGACCAAAGGGTTGCGGGTTTGATTCCAGTCAAGGGCACATAACTGGGTTGCAGGTTCAATCCCCGACCCCAGTCAGGGTCTTTCGGGCGGCAACCAATCGATGTGTCTCTCTCACATTGATGCCCTCCCCCTCTTCACTCTATCTAAAAATCAATGGGAAAATGTCCTCAGGCAAGAATTAACAGAAACACAAACAAACAAAAAATTCCTCAGGTGAGGATTTAAAAAAAAAAGTACCTTTGCTAATCAGTTTAACTAACTGATCTTCAATTATTGAGTAGATCTTGAATGTTTTTCACATAATTATATCTTAATTCATCTGAAACTTTATTCTTTACTGCAGAAAATATCATTATTGTTAAGCCATTTAGACATACTATATTATCATTCCTAAATTATCCTAAATTGTATTTTACTTTGTGCATCAAAATTATTTTTGTCTTTCTAGGACATTCAGTGAGATAAGTAAAGCAGAGGAACAGTACAGCTTGTGCCAGGAACTTTGCAGTGAACTTGCTCAAGATCTGCAGAAAGAAGGACTTAAGGTACTTTATTTTAAGGTGGTATTCTTAGTTTAAAAATTTTCTAGTAATAAAATGCACTTTAATGCAATACTTAGATTTTACATTTGAATAGAAAATGGGGAATGTCAGATAAGAGTATTCTCATCACCAGCTAAGAAATTTAATTCTGACCCTTATTTGAGACCTATGATGAGGTCATTCTGTGAAGAAGCAACTTATAGGGTGGAGTGGTTCCAATGTAACTCCAGAGGTGTTGATACTACCTTGGGGGTACATTCGAATAAGTTCAAAATCAGAGCTGTGTTGGTATTAGAGAATAAAGCAAAGGGGGAAGGATTTTCCTAGAACTGTATTTACATATTACAAACGTTTTTCCAATCACCCTGTAATGTTTTTCTCCTGTAGACAGTGATTTTCTAGAATAAGTATTTTGTTTCCAGGCTCTAATGCAGGTTGTTAAACACATGAGAACAAAATCTGGAAGGCTTTGAATTTTGAATTTTATAATTTTCACTCACAACAATCCATACTTAGTGTTCTTCTAACTCTCAAACCAAGAGTTATTACAAAATGTAATGGTGATAACCAGAGGGAAAGGTGAGGTGGGAGGAGGTAAAAGAGGGTAAAGGGGGGGGGTAAATGGTGATGGAAGGAGACTTGACTTGGGATGGTGAACACACAATACAATATATAGATGATGTATTATAGAACTGTACACCTGAAACCTATACAATTTTATTAATCAATGTCACCCCAATAAATTCAATAAAAATTCTTTAATGTTCAATGGATTGAACATTGGCCCATGGACTGAGAAGTTTCAGTTCAATTCACAGTCAGGGCATATGCCCAGGTTGCGGGCTCAACTCCTAGTAGGGAAGTGAGTCAATAAGTCTAATCCACTCTCACTACCTCTGGAGGTAGTAAAATATATATAAGTTACTGTTTTAACTTTCTTTTTTTTTATCCTCACCTGAGGACATTTTTTTTTCCATTTTTTGTTTAGATAGAGTGGGAAGGAGAGAGAGAGAGAGAAACATTGATGTGAAAGGGACACATCGAGTGGCCGCCACCCGCACGGCCAACCAGGGCCGGGGACAAACCGCAACCGAGATATGCGCTCTTTGCGGGAACTGAACCCAGGTCTCTCTGGACCACAGGCCGATGCTCCAACCACTGAGCCAAACCGGCCAGGGCTGCTTTAACCATTTTTAAGTGTACATTTCAGTGGCACTAATACATTCATACTGTGTAACCATCAACACTTGTCAATCTCCAGAAATTTTCATTATCCCAAACTCTATACCCGTTAAACAGTAACTGTAAAGGGAGTTCTTACATGTAAGTTATTTAGCATAGTATCTCTTGTATAATAGGCACTCAGTAAGTACAAGACCTTTTCACTGAGGCTCTGTAGAAAGATTTTTTTTTCCCTTCCTTTTTAGGTACTGCATTGACTTCTAAAAGAGGTTCATAAAAAAGAAAAACAGTTAACTTTGCCCTTTATATAAAAGCCTTTTTTAAAGATTCATTTGGAGAGGAGAGTAATAATTATTGGCTAAATGGGATTATTTTTATTACTTTTAGATTTCAGTTATTCTTCATGTCAATTTTATTACTATGTTTTAGAAATAATTGATTATACCTTCATATTATAAGTACATAAAGAGGGCTTTATGAATTTTTCTTATCTGTAAACTTTTTTCTAGAAGTTAGCAAGCCATATATAATAATGTATTCTGTTTATTATAGGGTAGAACTGTTACCATTAAGCTGAAGAATGTGAATTTTGAAGTAAAAACTCGTGCATCTACAGTTTCATCTGTTGTGTCTACTGCAGAAGAAATATTTGCTATTGCTAAAGAATTGCTAAGAACAGAAATTAATGCTGATTTTCCACATCCCTTGAAATTAAGACTCATGGGTATGACTTTTCTTTTGTTGCTTTTCCTTAAATCTGCTAGACTTTCTCAAAGAATCAACTTTGGAAATATTCTCACCTCCAATTTATTTCTTAAAATTGCTTAGGAATTTCTGCTAGTCTTAGACCCTGATACATGTGAAGCTATGGTTATTAGTTTAATTCCAGTAAGAACCAATTAAAGTTGTTCTTGTCCTTACAAATACTGAAATCCTTGGGGCTAGGTTTGTTTCAAATTTTTTAATTTTTCAGATTTTAGAAAGCATACTGAGTATGTTTTGGAATACTCCTTTGGGATCTGAGGAAGCACTGCATGATCAAACACATTAATATTTCTGTAGCTAAACAAAAAAATATTCACACTGAGTTGTAAAATCTCCAGAGAGCTTCGCATCAATTCAGTTATCAATTACCATATGTTGCTTACAATTATCAGGGCTTTATGGGTTTCAGAATTACAGGTGAGGGACTATGGCACTACAAAATGACATCTTTAACCACCACATGGTAAAAAACCACAACAACAACCACGTTTCTAAACACGGGTAAGAGAATGTTTATGGATAAGCACCCCAAATGCCAACTTAGTATACTACTAAGAGTGGGTCATTAGCCATACTTCTGTAAATGAAAGATAGCACATGCTGAGATCAGTTGAATAAAGTATGTTAACTAAAAAGAACTAAAGAATAGATGTTAATGGCAGCTCTATGCGTAATTGCTAAAACTGGGAAGCAACGAAAATGTCCCTCAGTAGTAGGTCAATGGAGACTCTGGTACATCCAGACAATAGAATATATTTAGCCCTAAAAGAAATGAGCTATCAAATCATGAAAAGACATGGAGGAACCTTAAGTGTATATTTTTAATTGAAAGAAACCAATTTGAAAAGCCTACATACTTTAGTATTCCAACCATATAACATTCTGGAAAAGATATGGAGACACTAAAAATATCAGTGGTTATCAAGGGTTGGCAGGGAGGGAGGAATGAACAGGCAGAACACTGAGGATTTTTAGGGCAGTAAAACTATTCTGTATGATGCTATAAGGGTAGATAAATATTATACATCTGTCAAAACCTGTAGAATGTATAACACCCAAAGTGAATCCTAATATAAACTATGGACTTTGAGTGATATGTTGTGTCAGTGTAGATTTATTGGTTGTAACTCTGGTGGGGGATGTTGATAGTGGAGGAGCCTGTATATGTGTGGGGGCAGGAGATATGGGAACTCTGTACTTACTGCTCAGTTTTGCTGTCAACCTAAAATTGCTCTAAAAAATAAAACCTATTAAAAAAAAGGAGCTAAAGTATCTATGTAGTTGATTCCAGTTAGTTACTTGGTATTTATTAAATGGTATTTATTGAAAGATCTGTATAATCATGCTAACTCCAATAGATACTTACTAATTAGTGATACCAGTTTTATAAAGGAGAGTATAAATTTCAACTCAAACTACCAGCTTTGGAAAAACATCCTTTAATTCAGAAAATATATAGTGTTGCTTATTATTTTTTTCTAAGCAGCCTTTTTTATATGTCACAACAGTGTTTGCAAAATGTTTTTTGAATTATGAGTGAATTCACTTTGTTGAATTTGAAATTGATTAATTGTTGTTTTAATTTAGGTGTGCGACTATCTAGTTTTCCCAATGAAGAAGATAAGAAACACCAACAACAGAGTATTGTTGGTTTCTTACAGGCTGGAAACCAAACCCTGTCAGCCACTGGGTGTATGGAGAAAACTGACAAAGATCAGTTTTTAAAACCTGTAGAAATTTCTGATAAGAAGAGTTTCTTTGATAAAAAACGATCGGAAAGGAAATGGAGCCACCAAGACACATTTAAATGTGAAACTATGAATAGGAAAGGTATACAGACATCACAATCATTCCAAGTTTTAAAGAAGAAAATGGGTGAGAATTTGGAAACATCAGAAAATTCAGATAACAATCAGATATTTACCTGTCCTGTTTGCTTTAGGGAGCAAGGAAGCATCAATCTGGAAGCTTTTAATAAACATGTAGATACATGTCTCGATGGACCTTCGATGAATGAAATATTCCCATGTTTACGTGCTTCCTCTACAGAAGTTAACAAGAAAGAAAATGTACATCATTCTTTTTCACTCTGTAAAAATCAGGATTATGAAACCCATCAGAATAATACAGAAGTCACGTCAGCAGATTGTGTCAAATTGGTAGAGACTACAGGTAATCCATCTAAAACAGAAAGTATAGATGCTTTAACTAATAAGCACAGCAAAGAGGAATGTTCTAGTCTTCCAAACACATCCTTTAATATTGAACACTGTCATCAGAATTCTTCTTGTATTGTTTCATTGGAAAATGAAGATGCCGGGTCATTGAGAAGGCAAGAACCCCTCCAGCCTTATTCACATGATGTGATAACAGGCCAGGCTCTAATTTGTCCTGTTTGTAACCTAGAACAAAAGACTTCAGATCTTACTCAGTTCAATGTGCATGTGGATATTTGCTTAAATAAAGGCATTATCCAGGAACTGAAAAAGGATAAAGTTAATCCAGTAAACCAACCCAAAGAAAGCACCAAAAGTACTGGTAAGTTTGCAGTTATTTTAAAGAGCTTGATTTTCTAGGAATGTTTTATTAAAATTGAGATCTTGTTAAACCTGAAACACATACTTTAAAGGGACAATTTGTGTATGTTGCCATTTAGGCGAATGTTAGTGTTAGTTACTTTTTTTATTAGAATGAACTGAAACCAGCAGATTTTAAATTTTGGGAAAACTTTGGTTTGGGCTTGATTTAGCACAGAGTGAACTAAAAGGTTTAGGGAGCTGAGTGATGTCATAAAAAAAATAGTTTCAGAGAACATTGTCAAGGCATAGTGGTAAATTAACAATAGTTACATTGCCAGAAAGCCTCTTTAACTTGGTTTTTTTTTTAGTAGTTCTGACTCTGGCCAATTTTTAAAAATAAAATTAAGTGTAATACTAATAAAATAATTATAAAGAAATTATTAATTTCTGGTATGCATAATATGAACTATGTAGTACTAAGGAACTTTTTATTATCTTTATATCAGTAAGCTTTAACTTTTTAAATTTTCACATAACCCTTTAATTATTTCTTATTATTCATTATGGAATTTCTTCATTTTTCTTCCTTCTAAAGGTAACTCAGGCAGAGTACAGAAGACTGTAACAAAACCCAAAAGGTATGGCTAATTTGAGCTCTGATAAAGCTAGCTATAAAATTCATATTTTGAGGTTGAATTTTTAGATGTTAAAATTTGCTTTACTACAAGTCAAATTTTGAAATATCAGTTATTTGTGAAATTATTTTTTAAAATATCTTCCTGCATTTTAATTGTTGTTGTTTTTTTTTTAATTCTAGGTCAGGATTGATGTACTCAGCATCAAAGAAAATAAAACCAAACAATCCCAGACACACCCTTGATATATTTTTTAAATGAACATTGAACATTTTATCATTAATTTTTAATTGAAACTTGTTTTTTATAATCACTGAAGCTATTCTTCCTCATTTTAAGTTTACAGATTCATTTAGTGAAAGGCCAATGCAGTAATCCCTCCCCAGTGGTATGTCCCTTACATGAATTTGGGATATATGTTAATTTGCTTCTGTATACTTTTTTGATACCATAAGAATTGCACTTAGAGGTATTTTTAAAATGAGAAATTAGGAATGGGATCAAGAAGTGATTTCTTTATTATGTTTTATAGTTAATATGAAACCGTATATATAAGGGCTCTCAGAGGTTTCCAGAAACCTTTTTTAGCATAAGAACTTTTCAGTACTTAACCATTTTGTTGTCACTGGTCTGCCATATTTGATCTTAATATCTTTTACAATTTTGTATATTTGTATTTTAGCTCCTAGTACCTTCAGATACCTCGTGAGCATTCATAATTCATATTTATTATGCATTCTATGTAGAATATTAGCTTAACAGAACTAGCATGAGTGGTTCTCTTCCTCAGGATAATAATATCACAGTATTATTTTGTGTTAAAAGAATGTTGCTTAACTATGATTATTCATTTGATTTTTTTAATTTAAATTTCTTCTTATGACTATGCACTTGGTCCACTTTAAAAAAATTTTAGTCTAAGATATAAGGTAATTATTTTCTTTTCTTTTGCTTTTATTTATTTATTTTATTATTATTATTTTTTATCAAGGTAATTATCTTCTTATCTAGGACTTTAGTAGTATTTTATTTCTGGCTGTTATGTTTGTACTCTACACAGATCTATAAAGAATAAATTGTACACTCTATTTTTATATAACCTTCTAGAGAAAAATGTATAATTCAAAAGATTAATGTGTATTACAATAGTTCATTTATCTTAGTTCTTACATCTGTCATGTTTTTATTAATATTTATGAAAGAAGACAAACTTAACAGTAAGTAGTTAGCTTAAGTAGTTGCTCCAGATAAGTTTGTGGCATCATTAAGAGTTTTTATTAGAAACAATTACTTAAGTGAAACATGAAGATGGTATTCATTTTGTACTTCTTTAAAGAACCAAATCTTTTGTTCTATTTTTGTTTTCTTTTTTTAAATTGAATTTAGAGAGAGAGAAAACATGGATTTGTTGTTCCACAACACAGTTGTTGTGCTATGTTCTTGATTGTGTGATTTACTTATGTAAATTCTATAAAAAATTAAGTTCCATGAGACACTGATTTAATGTATTGAAAAGTAGATAGCACCATATTTGTTCTCTGTCTTGCTTCAAGTTTATTTTTATTGTGTTTTCAACATTAAATACTAAATTATTTTCATTTAGATGATTTATGGAATGTTATTCAGTCATATTTAATAATTCAAAATAAAATTTTAAATATTTAGTTGATCTTTTAGCCAATGGAAATGGTTTCCTTCCTTTCCAATCTTTTACCACCTCAGTGCTTTTACTCTTATTTTCTTTGCCCAGAATTCTCTTCACATCCTTTTCTATCTGTTTTATCTAATACATCCAACTTATTTTCTTTTCATTGTAATTTCCCTTTAGGAGTATTTTTAGAAAATACAGCAAAGCTACAAAGTATAAGCACCCATCATCTTATCTACTTACAGGGTCAAAATATAAAGAAGCACCTTATTGTAACAATAACTGTGGGGAAATCTAGTATCCAGAGTATATAATTCAGAATACATAAATGACTTCAATGAATCAGTAAAAAGACAGACAGCCAGTGGAGATTTGGATAAAAGACTTTCACTTGACATAAAAAGAAATATAAATGGCCAAGAAACATGCAAATACTCTCAGTCACATTAGTAATAGGGAAATTAAAAGTAAAAACACAAAGAGGTATCATTACATTCCTACCAGATGCACAAAAAGGAAAGGGTCCATTGATGATATTAAGTTCTAGTCATGATGTGGAGCAACATAAACTCTTACTTTGAAAACAATCACTTTGGAAAACAGTTTGCCCTTCTTTAGTAAGTTTGAAGATGTACACACTCAACAACCCAGCAACTGTACTCCTGAATATGCGCACCTCTGCTAGTATTTTCTATTTGTCCTCCAGATGATTCTTTGCCCTTTAGTACTCTGCTTTATGTCCAGCAAGGTATCATAGCAGTGGGAGAGCACAGCAGAAGATTTGAAGGAAGAAGAAACATGAAGTTGGGTATTTATTTCTTCATATTTATATTTATATTTACATTTAATATGGCCCAGCCAGTGAGGCTCAGTGGTTGAATGTCCACCCATGTACCACGAGGTCACTGGTTCAATTCCCAGTCAGGGCACATGCCCAGGTTATGGGCCAGATCTCCACTGGGGAGCATGCAGGAGGAGGTCAGTTTATGTTCTCTCTCATCGATGTTTCTAACTCTCCCTCTTCCTTCCTCTCTCTCTAAAATCAATAAAGAAAAAAATGAAATTGGATATGTTTTTAAATGTCTAATAGATATATTTCTTTCATTATAAAGCAGAATCAGTACATGTTATACTTTCAACAATAAAGATAAAATTTTTAAAATCAGTTAAAAAGGAAATGCCATCCTACACCAACATTTTGAGTTTTTCTCCTAATACTCTAATGCTACAGCTTTCATCAGCATTTGGCTTTCCCACATCCAGGTAGGAAGACAAAGAAGTGAAAATTATAAAAGGGCAACAAATTTGTCCCATTTTAAGGAGCTTTCCTGGAAGCCCCACATACCTTCCACTATAAGGTAACTGATAAGGCTTCCTCATATTAGAGGGAGCCTGGAAATGTAGTTTTTAGTTGGGTACATTTCTATCCTAAACAGAATTGGTTATGTTACTAATTCTGCCTGACCCATAAAAATTCCTATAGAAAACTATAAATTATCATATTTAATGGTGAAATTTTAGAAGCCTGTTTTAGGAATAACACAAGGGTGCCTTCTATTAGTTTGTTGGATATCCTAGCCAATTTAATAAATAATATGAATGAAAACTGGAAACAGCCCAGCCAATGTGGCTCAGTGGATTGAGCATCACCCCATAGATTGAGAGGTCCCGGTATTTGAGGTCAGGGCACATGCCCAGGTTGAGGGCACGATCCCCACTAGGGGGCATGCAGGAGGCAGCCAATCAATGTTTCTCTCACGCTGATGTTTCTATTTCTCCCTTCCTGTCTCTAAAAAAAATCAATAAAAACTTATTTAAAGAAAACTGGAAACAAAAATAAAACTGTCAGATGGTGTGCTTTTCTACAATTTAAAGTATATATATATATAATCAGCCCAGTTGGTGTGGCTTCTTGGATTGAGCGTCATCCCAGGACTGAGTTCCCAGTTCGATTCCAGATCAGAGCACATACCTGGGTTGTGGGCTCCATCTCCGGGGGGAGGGGGGGAGGGGGCATGCAGGAGGCAGCCGATCGATGTCTCTCTCACACATCAATGCTTCTATCTCTCCCTCTCTCTCTAAAAAATAAAAAACATTTAAAAAAATTTTAATCTATATTTCATAAAAAAGTTCAACAAGGTTATGACTACAGGATCAACATACAGAATGAGTAGAATTCCTATACCACCACAATCAATTAGAAGATATAATAAAAATAATCTTTTACATGACAGCAATCTACAAGGTACCTAAAGGGCAGGTGGGGAATCTATTAAAATAAGTGCAAGAACTTGAGAACTACAAAATATTACTGAAAATTGAACAGTACATCTGAATTAAATGAAAAGAGTAACCCTGTTCATGATAGGAAAGATGGCTACCTTAAATCTCTTCTCCCAAATTATTCTATAAATTCAGTGAAATTCAAAGAAAAGAATCCCTGATGGATTTTCTTGGAAGTTAAATAGATCCTATATATTGTATGGAGGAGCTAAGACCCAAGAATAAGGTAGGACAGATCCTATTACATATCAAGATTTATTATAAAGCTATAGTAATAAGTATTGGCATGGGTATGGACATTTTAGATAACGCAGTACAAAAAGTACTGGCAAATAAATGGTGCTTGCATGCTTGGTTACCCATAGAGAAAATATAAAATTTGATCTCTACCTTACTATGTGATGAGCCAGAGACTACCCTCAGGCCAGATAAGTTGTTAGAAGGTCTTGCAGAAGTCAAAACAGCTGTTATACTCATGGTTACAGTTTGTTACAATGAATGAAGATACATATAATCAGCAAAGGGAAAGGCAAGTGGGCAAAGTCCAGGAGAGATCGGACACAACACATGCAGTAAAGTGTTGCCACCCAGGGAACCCCACCCAACCCTGGAGTCCAGAGTTTTTACTCAGCCATCTATTGTTGGATTCTGTCTACCCCTTATAGAGCCTCCTGAAAACATTTCTTTCCATTCCTTTTTCAAGCCCTATCAGTTGCCTAAACTCTGGCCTTACATCCGATTTCTCAGCTTTCCCTCTCTCAGCCATCTTGTGCATTTTTTGCAGACTAGCCATAAACAGCACTTTCATAATGTCACTCGTATTTCAGAAACAAAAAAAGATTTCAAAATCTCTCTACTCTCTCCAGGATCAGTAGGGAGGTGAGAAAAGGAGAGCTGCCCTGACTGGTTTCACTCAGCAGTTAGAGCTCTGGCCGTGGAACCAAAGTCTTGGGTTTGATTCTAGTCAAGGGCACATACTCCGTTGTGGTTTCAGTCCTGGCCCTGGTTGAGATCATGTGGGAGGCAACCAACCGAAGTGTCTCTCTCATGTTCATGTTTCTCTCTCTCTGTCCCCCCCAGCCCCACCCCACTCTATCTGAAGATAAATGGAAAAATATCCTCGGGTAAGGATTAATAATAATAATAATAATAATAAAGAGAAATGAATGGAGAGTTGATTTTCACTGAATGATGAATTCTGTGGTGTAAATACCATGACTGATTTTAAGCTGTGGACATGCAACCTGTTCTCACAAAATTCCTGAAAATTCACCAATCTGTTCTTGCAAACCAGTACAAACTAGCTTCCACATATCACTGTCCATGATGCACACTGGGCTTGGCATTCAAGACCAATCAAATTATACTGTATAGCTTGTAGTTTCCTGAATAGAACAAGCTATTCCTCCCTTCTGGAATTATGCTCAAGTGTTCCCTCTGCCCAGAATGTGCTTCCTGAATGCCCCTTTGGCCTCTCCAACTATACACAGCTACTCTTCTTTCCACCTTCAGGAAAGGGTCTCTACCCTCCAGAAAAACTGACCAGACACTCCTTTGTGTTCTTGTTTCTCTGTGAAGACCCTGAAACATTCTTGGCTGTGGTCTCTCCCTACCAGATCCTGGGCTGTCTTACACTATCTCTGAATTCCAAGCGTGAAGTGTAAGGCCTGGCACTTAATAGGTGTTAACAATCATTTTGTTGATGCATAAATGAATGATGTGTGCCCAAAAAGTGGTTGTCTATTACTATCTTACTATTTTTTCCTCGGAAGATGTAGGTGAATGTACTCAAGCTGGGCCCTAAGAGACAGGTATTTCAGAAAGAGGGAATTGCATTTCTTTTTCTTTTTTGGATAATGGCTTGCTTTATAAATGTTTTATTACTTTTCCTTTTGGGGTGGCTTGGAACTACTTGGGAGAAGGCTCAAAATATGACAATTAACCTAAAGCTAAAAAGTGCTTTTTGAGGAAATATTCCATTTTGGAAACCGTATCTGGTGCCTGGTGCTGATTTTTTTTTTTTTTTAAGTAACACTCCATTTAACAGCAGTAATATGTTTGAACATACCTGCCAGGATTTTGGTGAACTTCACAGAGAGGTGGTGTTTATTTCCCTGGAGCACAAAATGTTCTTTTGCTTTGTAATATAATTGGGTTAACAGTTCAAGAAAACCTCAAATGACATGGTGAGTATTGGAAACATGATTTCATTTTTTAAACAAACCACAATATTGAACTGTCCCCCTTACAAGTGTGAGTTAATTTATGACAGTCTTAGTATCTCATTGTTGCTGTCTACAGGAGGCTCAGAGAGACAAGATAATTCAGAGGTGCTACCCTTTCTTTCTCACTACAGTCTCCTAAATTTATTATAATTTCAAACGCTCACATGCATATACATAAATCACACACACGCACACACACATACACCTCTGCCAAACCCATATCTACTAATGAATTCTATTTTTGTGGTGCCTCTTGAAAACATCCACCACATTCCATCCTTTTGTCAAGCCTTTAGCAGTTGCCTTATCTCCGACCTTCCAACTCATTTTTCAACTTTCATCAGTTTCTTTGCCTTTCTAAACCATTGTGTATATTTTTATAGGCAACGCTCCCCTAATATCACTATGTCCGCCCGCGCGTGCGCATGTGTGTGTACACATACGAAAAAGGTGGGTTAGTTCTGGAGCCAAATCTAGTTTTGTTACGAGGGCTCAATTTTTTTTTCTCTCCTAGAATGTGCTAAACTTCCCGTTTGACCCCTGAACCCATCCCTCAGGTGTGAGATGGTTTTATTTGGTTTTGTTGTAATTATTGTACACAATATGGGATGCAGGGCAGAGATCCTGGTTGTCCTTCGATATTCTACTTTTCTGGTACATTATTAGAATGTTAGCTAGGCACGCAATTGCCCAAAATAGATGACTGTATTTAGTCTTTATTTTATAAACCACTAAGAAAGGGATAATCCCGAAGATGAGGAGTCCAATAAGTTGCAACTGCATTAAGGTGTACTGAGAGTGTCACTGAATCCAAAAGAAAATTGTGGAAGCCCATGCAGAAAGCGTTCACTATTGAGGTTCCAGTAGTGTCGGTGTGAGTTCAGCCTCCGCAGTTCTCCGGGTACGAGGAGCCGCTGAGGAAGGAGCTGGGAGTCTCCTCACAAGGCTCGACTTCAGGTGAAACCGAAGCGGTCACGCGCCCGCCACACCTGAAGGCGGACCTCGCGCCCGCCCGGCCGCTGCCCGGACACCGCCGGACTCGGAGCGGCCGCCCGCCGCCTCCGCCGCGCGCTCTGAGCCCGCGGGGCACATGGACCCCGCGGCGCGCACCCCGGGGCGCAGGGCGGCAGTCAGGGCGCTGCTGCTCGCCGCGGCCGCCACCGCGAAGGGCGTCCGGGCAGACGTGAGGGGCGCGGCGGCCCGGCCCCGGGGGGACCCGTGCGGGAGCCCTAAGCAGGAGCGGCCTCGAGAGGAGGAGGCGGCGGCCGGACACGAGCTCCGTGAGTCCCCCCACGAGGTCTGGGGCACCTGGCGGGGCAGGGCGGTGGGGCAGCCCGCGGAGGGGATTCGTCCCCAAGGGGCGGGCGCAGCGCCTCGGGTTCCGAAGGGAGGCCGCCGGCGCGCACGCTACCCTGCAGACCCCTGTCCTGTACCCCCAGCCCCACACCCGCCAGCCCCAGCCCTGCACCCCCAGCCCTGCACCCGCCAGCCCCAGCCCAGCACCCCCAGCCCTGCACCCGCCAGCCCCAGCCCAGCACCCGCCAGCCCCAGCCCTGCACCCCCAGCCCTGCACCCCCAGCCCTGCACCAGCCAGCACCCGCAGCCCTGCACCCCTAGCCCAGCACCCCCAGCCCCACACCCGCCAGCCCCAGCCCAGCACCCCTAGCCCTGCACCCCAGCCCCGCACCCCCAGCCCCAGCCCAGCACCCCAGCTCTGCACCCCAGCCCCTCACCCCCCAGCCCAGCACCCCCAGCCTTGCACCCCCCAGCTCCAGTTCCCCCGCCCCAGGCTGAGCCTTGCACCCCAATGCGCGGCACACCCTTGAGCGCTCGGACTCAGCCTCGGAATCCACCCCCGCCCACGTTTCGGTTAAATCTGTACTGTGCATGGACGGAAAGTGTTCCTCTTCCCATGAAAGGAAGAGGGTTTTTAGAGAAATGATTCAACTCTTACAAATGAGAGTTTCATGTGCTGTTATCTCATATCCTGACTCACGTACTGATTTACTGTGTGACTTTAAAGAAGTCATTTAATTTTCTGTACTTAAGTTTTCAAAGCATGGAACAGATCAGCTATGCCATGGGAATACGTTTATATCATAAATCAGCAGTTCTCAACCTGTGGGTCGTGACCCCTTTGGGAGTCCAGTGACCCTTTCACAGGGGCTGCCTAAGACATAACAGTAGTAAAATTACAGTTATGAAGTAGCAACGAAAATAATTTTATGGTTGGGGGTCACCACAACAGGAGAAACTGTATCAAAGGGTCATGGCATTAGGAAGGTCTGAGGCACCTTGTTGGAGAGTTTTCAGAAGCTAAGAATATTCCTCTTTGGTCCATTTAAGACTTTTCCCTATTTGGGTTGTTTTTCTACTGTTGGTTTTTGAGAGTTCTTTATATATTGTGAATACAGTTCATTTACCAGATGTGTGACTTGCAAGTATATTCTTCCAGACTATAGCTTTTCTTTTTATTCTCTTAATAGTGCTTTTCACAGAGCAAAGTTTTAACTTTTGGTGAAGTCCTCTTCATCACTGTGTTCTTTTCTGGTCATGCTGTTGATAGTATGTGTAAGAACTCTTTTTTTTTTTTTTTAATTGTTGACAGTATTACAAATGCCTCCCATTCCCATTTTCTCCCTTTTTGCCCCCTATGTGTAAGAACTATTTGTCTATCCCCAGCTTGTGAAATTTTTCTCCTATGTTTTACATTTACATCTATGATCCATTTTCATTTAATTTTGGTATGAAGTTTACATCAAGATTTATATTTTTTTCATTTGGATGTCCAGTTGTTCAAATACATTTTGTTGAAATAATTATCATTTCTGCATTATCAAGGCCTTCAAACCTTTGTCAGAAATCAACAGGCTATATGTTGAGTTTATTTTTAGACTGTATTTTATTCCATTATCATGTGGTATTGATTATTGTTGATTTATGAGAAAATGAAGTAATGTGACTCCAACTTTATTTTATTTATTCAGAATTGTTTGGCTACTCTGTTTCCTTGGCTTTTCACATAAATTTTAGAATCAGCTTGTCTATAGCTACAGAATATCCATCTGGCATTTGATTGAATTGCATTAAATCTATAGATCAATTTGGGAAGAACTGATATCTTTGCAATGTTAAGTCTTCCAACCCATGACATAACATATCTTTTAATTTATTTAGGTATTTTTAAATTTCTTTTATCAGTGTTTTGTATCTTTTTTGTTTTTGTTCTTTTACTTGTTTTGTTGGATTTATACTAAGAATTAAAATATCTAGCCCTGGCCGGTTTGGTTCAGTGGTTAGAGCGTCGGCCTGCGGTCCTGAGAGACCTGGGTTCGGTTCCCGCTAAGGGCACATACCTCGGTTGCAGTTTGTCCCCGACCCTAGTCGGTTGTGCGGGTGGCAGCCACTCGATGTGTTCCTTTCACATCGATGTTTCTCTCTCTCTCTCTGTTCCTCTCTCTCCCTCCCACTCTACCTGAACAAAAAATGGAAAAATGTCCTCAGGTGAGGATAAAAAAAAATAATAATAAAATAAAAAATCTATTGTAACTGGCATTGTTTTTCATAATTTGGTTTCAGTGTGTTGATTGCCAGTATAGAGAAATATATTTTAATTTTAAGTGTTAAGCTTGTACCCTGCAACTTTGCTAAACTCACTTATTAGTTCTAGAGCTATTTTGTACATTCCGTTGGATTTTATATGGAGAAAATCAAGTTGTCTACAACTAGACTAGAGACAGTTTGATTTCTTGCCAATCTGTATGCCTTCTTACTTACCTTTACTGCTTTATTGCATTGGATTTTCAGCACAAAGTTTAAAAGGAAGAGTAACCGTAAACATCTCTATTCCTGATCTTAGAGGCAAAGAAAGTGTTCAGTCTTTTATGATTAAGCATAGTATTAGCTGTCAGTTTTTTGTGGATGCCCTTTATCAGGTTGACAGAGTTCTCTTCCATGCCGAGGTCGGAGGGGTCTTGATTTGTTCTGGGACATACCAAAGAGGGACAAGGAACTGAAACTGGAACTTCCCTACCAGTGGATTAATACATAGGGTCAAGGAGCTGGGATCAGCAGAATAAGCTAAGACAAGTCTAGCCTAACTGGCAGAATGCATTAGCTAAAGCACATGACAGAGTGGGCAGTTTGGATCTCTACTTCATCAGTCTACTCTCCTGCTGACACCCTGGGCACATGCAATGACTGAAAGCTTGGAGTTTTGATTCAGACTTCCTGGAATGATATATCATTTATTATCTTTAAGATGTGAGCAAGTGGCTCTCTCCCTCTCTATGTGTAGGTGCACGCGTGTGCACGTGTACGCACACACACAGGTTATGTGAACACACAGCAAGATGGAAGCTGCCTACAAACCAAGAGAAGAGGCCTCATAATGAATCTACCTTGCTAGTACCTTGATTACAGACTTCCCAGCCTCCAAAACTGTGAGAAATAAATTTCTGTTGTAAGCCACCCTATCTATGGTATTTTGTTATGGCAGCTCAAGCTATGACAGTGTAATTTTCATCATGTAATACATACCTTTAAATAGAACTCTTTGGACACATGTCCATAGAATAAATTCCTTGAACTGAAACTGTGCGCATGTTTTCTATGCTGCTCACTCTGGGACCAAGGGACTAACCCAGAGTCCTGTTTCATGATCCTTCTCCTTCATGCTCACCAACATTTTTAAAAAAAAATATTTTTTATTGATTTTTAGACAGGGAGAGAGAAAGAGAAGTATCCCAAATGGAACAACCATTAGCTGCCTCCAGCACACCCCCTACTGGGGATTGAGCCGGGCATGTGCCCTGACCGGAAATCGAACCAGCAACCTTTTGGTTCATGGGAGACTCAACCAACTGAACCACACCAGCCAGGGCTTGCTCACCGACATTTTGAGTTACTATTTTTTAAATTACTACCATTTTGAAAGTGATAATTCCATCCTACCAACTATTCTATTTGCATTTCTTTGCTTACTAATTTTAAACTTTTTTTGAAGTCTCAGTTTTTCTTATCTATAAGATGGGAGTGATAATGCCTACTCCATCAGATTGTCAATTTTATAAAAACCCTAGGGTTCTCCAACAGGTGGAAATCAAGCAGAGGAGAAGAGCCAATAAAAGAGACTGGGAAGCAGCAAGTGGTCTAACAGAAGTCTGGAGAGGAACATGTTACAAATAGAGTGTGGTCCTCTGTGTCAAATCTGCCATCAGTTCAATGCACAAGACAGATAGCAATGACTGGATTTTGACAAATCTTGATCTTGACCCTAACAAGAGCAATTTCAGTAGAGTGATGAGAACAAAGTCTGATTAGCATGGGTGGAGACAAGACGGTGAGATGAGGAAGTAGAGTCAGCAATTATAGAACACTTGTAGTTTGGGGATTATAGGAGGTTGAGAAGTGGAGTGGCTGTTGGAAAGCAATGTGAAGGTAAGAGACAATTTGGGTTTTTCTCTTTTACACTGAAGGTATTATATAGCATTGCTGTGTATTTTGAGGTGAATGATTAAATGATGCAGAGGAGAAAGGAGATACAGTGAAACCTTGATATAATGGACTAATTTAGGCAAGGCAAGGGGGTGTTCATTAAAGCTGAAACTCTGTTATATAATAAAATATGTTTCCCGAATGCATAGGTTAAAAAATTGACAAACTAATTTACCTGTAGACATGTTTGTGTAATTAAAGTTGAGTATGTATGAAGAGTTTAATTTCACAGAAAAGTTTTCTATATGTATTACAGTAATTTGAAATTTATACTGAATAGGTCTAATAAGTGCATGCATTCACCAGTCACTGAGAGTAAACAAATACCCACATTAAAACTGCTGCAGAAAGTCACACCATGCAACAACAGAATTGATTACTGTGTGCAATTCGGGGTGAACATGTGCTGATCATTTGCTGAACACTGTTTACAAGCAGTGACTCTTGGATTTAAATATGTAGACTATAGTTGTAGATATGTAATATTTATTTATGTCGGTGAAAACTACATTGTTTTTTCCAACATATGGCATATTCGCTAAAATTTGATAACAGTAACAGTGAAGCCTGGCCAGTGTGGCTCAGTGGATTGAGCATTGTCCCATAGACTGAGAGGTCCTGATTCAGTTCCTGGTTAGGGCACATGCTGGGGTTGTGGACTTGATCCTCAGTAGGGGGTGTGCAGGAGGCAGCCAACCGATGTCTCATAATTTAATTTAATTATAAGCAAATCTTGCTTAAAAGCATTTTAAAGCCTAGCCGGTGTAGCTCAGTGGTTGAGTATCGACCCATGCACCGAGAGGTCACCAGTTCAATTCCTGGTCAATGCACATGCCCATGTTGTGGGCCAAATCCCCAGCGGGGGGCATGCAGGTGGCGCCCAATCGATGTTCTCTCTCATCGATGTTTCTGTCTCTCTCTCCTGTCCTCGCTAAAATCAATAAAGAAAAAATAATTAAAAAGAAAAAGCGTTTTAAAAATAACAGGGTATCAATTTTTACATATGATTTGACCAGAATTTTGGTCCATTAAATCCGAAATTTGTTAAATTAAGGTTTGCAAAATCAGGGTTTACTATGGTGTCTAGGAAAACTGATATATGAAATAATTGATGAGAATGGGTGGGATTTAGAGCCCAACTGGAGGGGTTGGCCTTGGGTAGGTACAGGGATGCTTCATTGGTTGTAACAATAATACAAGCAGAGAGTGTGTACATAGGTAGGTAGACATGTGGGAAGATGTAGGAATTCCTATCTGATTGCTTATACTTTCTCTATGCAGTGTTATAAACTGAGACTTAGATGATGGTAATGGTAGACAATAAGGTAAATTAGTAGATTGGGTATTTGAAGAGAAAGAAAAGGGCATGAAACTTTGGGGAATGGAAGACTAGGGAAATGTGGTAGGATAGCTGTGCTGAGATCCTACTTGAGATTAGTGGGTAAAAAAATTAGGAATTTGTTAGTTATCTGTTGCATGTTAATATGTGTATTAGTCAGGATTGACTAGCTTTATCTCACAGTTCTTGAGGCTAGAAGTCCAAGATCAATGTATGAGCAGGGTTAATTTCTATTGAGACATCTCTCCTTGGCATGTAGATGTTCTCTTCTCCTTGTGTCGTCAAATAGTCTTACCTCTGTTGTGTCTGTATCCAATTTCTTCTCTTATAAGGATAGTTAGTCATATTGGATTAGGGCCCATCTTAATGACCTCATTTTTACTTAATTACCTCTTTGAAAAACCTCCAAATACAGTCACATTTTGAGGTACTGGGGGTTAAGACTTACTTCAAATTATGAATTTGCCCTGGCCAATTTGGCTCAGTGGTTGGAGCATCGGCCTAGGGACCAGAGAGTCCCAGGTTCAGTTCCTGCTAGGGACACATACCAAAAAAATAAATAAAAAAAAGACAAATTATGAATTTTGAGGGAACACAATTCAGTCATAATTTAAACACATGGTTTCCAGGGTTGACAAGACAGGGCAAGAGAGACCTGGAGGGTGACACAGGAGCTTTGCACTGACTCAGCCCCAAAGTGACACACCATCATTTCTGCTCCCAGTTCATTGGGCATACCTCACCTAACTGCATCTAGGGTGGGATGTGTACTCATCCATGTGTTCAGAAAGGATAGGAGAACCAGATATTGATGAATACTAGCAGTGTCTACCACAGCATGGTTGTGTATTTTATTCCAGTACTAGTTAGCTGTTCAGGTGCAAAAATGGAGGACATAGCAGTGGGGTTTAACCTCAGAATTAGGATTCTGACTAGCTAATCTGACGAAGGAAGAGAGTGGTGAGGGAGGTTAGGGTGTTTGCATGGATGTAATTTCAAAGATAGACTGTGGAATCCAAACTAGGTAAGGAGGGAAGTAAGAACATTGGGGATGACTAATATGAAACGATGGTGAGAACAGTAGATTGCAGTACGTGATGAAATTGCAGAATTTCTGGAGTGGGAGAACTAGAGCTGAATGGATGAGGTGGTGTTCAGAGAATGGGATTATTGCAGATGTCAGAGGTAGTGTGTTGAGGATGCTCAGGTCAAGCGTATACCCCTGAAATTGGGTGGCTAAGGTCAGATAGAGGGAAAGATTATACGAGTCAGGGGAGTCAGGGAACTGAGAGAGTAAGGTGCTGAATTAATCATATTTACGAATGTTGAAGTCACAGAGTGGTAACAAGAGTAGGGGTGGAAAGGAAGAGAGGGATCCAGGTGATAGAAAGAATGAAGATACTCCCTGGTCTTTGAATGGACTTGATGGCATTCTAAAGAATCTTTGGCAGATATAGGAAAACTACTTGGTAACACATCTATGAAACCTCTGTTAGAGCCCTTTCTTTTTGGAGATGATCTATTGTTGATTTCACATTGTTCTGATTCTGACTGTATCCTTCCATGTTGAGGTTATCCCGTGAGCCCTCTAGCTCCCCTTCATGACGATAAATTAGTAAATCGCGAATCTTCTCTATGCTAGGTAATGAAACCGACCCTCTGAATGTGTATATGTGTGTGATATGTAATGTTTATAGTGGGTGTGAATCTACTTTTATCTCCTTTCATATAAATGAGAATAAAACATGTTCATCCCTTTTAGCCTTTGTATACATTTTTATGATGTGCTATATATTATCTTATTTTTAATTGAATTTATTGGGGTGACATTGAGTAATACAATTATACAGATTTCAGATATATAATTCTACGATACATCCTCTGTATATTATATTGTGTGTTTACCATCCCAAGCTAAATCTCCTTCCATCACCATTTATCCTCCTTTTACCTTCTCTCTTCCCCACCCTCCACACACACCCCCTTACCTCTGGCAATCACCATGCTGTTGTCTGTGTCCATGAGTCTTTCTCTTTTTCTTTGCTTAATCCTTTCACCCTTCTTACCCAGTCCCCAACCCCTTCCCCTCTGACAGGTGTCAGTCTGTTCTCTGTATTCATGAGTCTGTCTCCACTTTTTAAATTGATTTTGATAATTAGATTCCACATATAAGGGAAATCCTATGGTACTTATCTTTCTCTGACTGGCTTAATACTCTCCAGGTTCATCCATGCTGTCACAAAAGGTAAGATTTCTTTCTTTTTTACAGCCTAGTAGTATTCTATTGTGTAAATGTACCACAGCTTTTTTATCTACTTATCTACTGATGGGCACTTGGGCTGCTTCCAAATCTTGGCTATTGTAAATAACAAAGCAGTGAACATAGGGATGCATATATTCTTTCAAATTTTCCTTTCAGGATGTGCTGCATTTTAAAGTTTTGTTTTGGCAGGCCTGGCATCTGCACAAGGTACTGCAGACAACAATTTTATCTCTGTATGGAGCATTTGGGCTCCTCCCAGTCTAATCTTGTACAAACATTTTACAAACAACACCCCTGGGAAGTCCTTGGCCGCCCTCCAACCTCCTAAAGCTTGATACATTGTGGACTTCAGGGTGGTCCTCGGGAACAATGTTTTGTTTGGGACCAGGAATATTTTAAGTGTGTAAAAACACTTGTAGAGCAAGGAGAAAGTGCAATCTTAACACCACAGCTTTAGAAAATATTGAAGGAGAGTTCAGAATGGCAGAAGGAGAAAGGCTCAAGGCTGTTGTTTCAAGTCTTGAGAGTTAAAAGTTTTATCAAATGAGGTTTGCGTTTTCTTCATCCCCCTTAAAATTCCCTCATTCATACTTGCTTGTTTGCTTTCAGTATTGCCAAATGAGAGAAGCTTCCAGAATGCGGCTAAAAGCAATAATTTGGATCTTATGGAGAAGCTGTTTGAAAAGAAGGTTAACATTGATGCTGTGAACAATGTGAGTAGAATTCACAGATGTGACAGTGCCTACTCGAAAGGTGGCTTGGGTTTACACAGGTCAACTGAAATATAATGGAAATAAAAACGATTATGCTGGATGAGATAAGGGAGATCTCCTCTGTTGGTAATTCCAGAGTGTTTATGCTAAAGGTAAAATTAAGCACTGAAATAGGCTCTGGGTGTTTTAATTTATCTTAGTAGAGGTAAAGTGCACGAGGTCTTTGTGCAAAGTCTGTGAGTGGGCAGTAAAGCCAACCATCAATGTTGTGGGCCTGGACTTGGTCTAGATTATGGCTTGTGGATGACTTTGGCCTCACACATTCTGGAAAGGCAAAACATCTTTTGCTATACAATCTGGGTTGTTTTCTCTCCAGTTGTGTCCTTTTATTGCTTCTTCCAAATTTAAAATCTAAAGGATAGTATGGGTTTTCATTCTGCTGCTTTTGAAATATAGTACACATGCATGCATGTTGGATTATGGAGCCCTTTCTGAAACCTCGCTCTTACTTAGTTATTCTTCACATGCTTGGGTTTGGAGGAGAAACCCACTGCCAGAATATGAATTTTCTACTACTTGGTTTTGTGGAGATTTCCTGACAGCCCCTCAGAGCAGGGTTTATTAAAGTGAACTGGTTAGGGGTTGTGTCGATTGCTTAGGACAATTTGTGGAGTAGTTCAAGATAGGGATGGCAGAGGTAGATTTAATGTTAAATGAAACAGAAGTTTTAGGGCCCCTACTAAATAGGCCCCTTTCAAGGCACTCAGAGAGTTCTAGCAATATGTTCCCATGGTTATATAATTTTGTAAAATTTGAAAGAGTGAGAAATTTTAACTGTAATTAGTTGAGTTTTTTTGACTCTGGTGTTAAAGAGGGTTCCCTAAAGAGTGTAAACTTCATGCCCTAGCTGGTTTGGCTCAGCGGTTAGAGCGTCGCCAGAGAGACCTGGGTTTGGTTTCCGCTAAGGGCGCGTGCCTCGGTTGCAGTTTGTCCCCAGCCCTGGTTGGTCGTGCAGGTGGCAGCCACTCGATATGTTCTTTTCATGTCGGTGTTTCTCTCTCTCTCCCTCTCTTCCTCTCTCTCCCTCCCACTCTGAACAAAAAATGGAAAAGGTGAGGATAAAAAAAAAAAAGAGTTGTAAACTTCAGGTTCCACAAAACCTGATCTGTCTCAGGCATTGAAGTCATAGAAACTGAAGTCTTTTTTCTTAAGTTCTCATCTGAGGTTACTTTTCCATCGATTTTCAGATAGAGTGGGAGGGAGAGAGAGAGAGAGAGAAACATGAATGTGAGAGAGACACATCGATTGGTCGCCTCCATTATGAGCCCGACCAGGGCCAGGGATCTAACCACAGCCAAGGCACTGCCTTTGACCAGAATTGAACGTGACACTTTTTGGTCCGCGGGCCGATGCTCTAACCGCTGAGCTAAACTAACCAGGGCTATAATTGAAGTCTTGCATCATCTGCAGTGGAAGGATGTTTAGCAGTTGTTCATGAGTGTGTGTGAGGGGGTATGTGTTTATGTGAATGTGGTAATTTATGTATCTATGTGTACATTATGTGCGTGTGTGTGTGTCTGATGTGTTACAAATGTATATAGTATTCGTTGTCTATAGACCTATCCTAGAAAGAAGAAATATAGCAAAGTTTTGTAGCATAACAATTTTAGGGAAAAAAAAAAAAAGGTAAGGAAGAAAGGGAGAAAAAAAATAAGGAAGGATCTTTGAAGCTATCGTTTAGATTAATTATTAAATATATAAAGCAATAATCATTTATCCAAATAGCAGGAAATAGATTCTTCAGTATAATTTTATAACCATTTAAAATGTTTACATACAACTTCCTGATATTTTAAGCCATATTTTTATATTAAAGTACTTGGAGAAATAGTATAACCTAGGCTACTTTAACTTCCATTCACTATGGCGAGTTATTATAAATTCCTGACGAAGTGTATTATACTTTCTAATGACATCTCTTTCAGGCCTTTTTATAGCAAATTGTTGACATGGTTACTTGTAATGTTCCTTAAAATCTGTGATGATAGAGATGAAAAAATGTAGGTGGTTTTATTGAATTATGTTGTTTTGACTTGCATTTTTATTCACAAATAAAGGCAATAGGGGATTATATAAGCCCAAATTTGTGGGAAATGTCAAGATAACTAATGTTTTGTCAGACTTATTTTATCACTAGTTCAGCTACCAAGGAAATCAAATGTTCAATTTAAACAGTTCTCATATTTTTACAATAAATTATTTATGTGAAACATAGGATAGTAAATCAATGCTCAGGAAGCAAAAACTGTCTAAAATATGGGAAATATAACACGAGTTTTACTTATAAGCAAAACATCCATTGTTTGAAACACATTAGACTGTCTCTGGAATCTCGGGAGCACCATGGTGGCTTTCCTTTGCCGCAAACGATATCCATAGCTTTCTTTCTCTTTATCTGGTTCTTTTTCCTCTCTCCCTACCTTCCTTCCTTTCGGAAACAGTTTGTATCAGTAAAATTTACAGTCGAAAAAAATTACCGAAGAAAGACCATAAATGTATTGAAAATCTAGGAAAATTTGTTATACATTATCAGTATATTCTAACCAGAAAACATTTACTGTTATTAATGATTGCATATGGGGAAAAATACAACTTTTACTCTCTAATTGAAATCCATTATATTGTTACAAGCAATGATAGGTTATGCAATGGATTTCAGCTTGGGGCATATCCTCCAGTGGATTGCCAAATTCTCTGATATTATCTGATAATAGAGGTCTAGCAAGATCATGCTAGCCACAATTCTTACTCTTGCAAAGACAAAAACAAAGAGTAGATAAATAATAAAAATTCAAGCACCCTGATAGAAAATTATGGTCGTTCAAGAAACAGGAATCTTAAAAAGGCTAAATAACAATCAGATGACTGAAAACACAAAATATGTTTCCTCAGATGAACCGCACAGCCCTGCATTTTGCAGTGGGAGCAAATCATTTATCTGCGGTGGATTTCTTGCTTAATCATAAGGCCAGGGTGGATGTTGCTGATAAGGTAAGTTCATCTTCCTTTAGTGGAATGAACTGGAACAGAACAAATGTGTGCAGAAATCTGGTCACTTTGTACATTTTTTCTGCAGTGTTCATTTTGGAAAGGTCTCTTTGAGAATATACGTATTATGTGCTCTTTGTATTTGGTGACTGAATTGTTTACCCATTACCTATTGGACTTAGGGTTTTACTTGTTTTCCCATATTAACCTTATGGCCACAATTTCTCTGGTCAGAGAAAAGGAGTCCCATTGTCAGAGTTTTAGATGCTTGCCCAGTCACTGCTGCTATCCTTCCTACCATAGGGTTTCAGCTTTTGGAGTGAGGTTTGCCTGGGGCAGGGCCAGAAGAGAAAAAAGAAACAGGATTTCCCTTCCATCCTCTGTCCTGTAAGGTTCCTCACCCTCTCTGCTTCTTAGACCAGAGAGGGCTTCTCTTGGAGCTCTTTCTGTCTATGCCTTTATCTAGGTGATGAGCCCTGAGTTTGACATGGCAGATCTGCCTTGTGAGTTCTAACACCTATTTGCAAGGAGTCAACAATTGAAACCCTTCACCATCAGGATTTATTCAGTGCCTGTTGTTGGTAGGTCTCAATGCCAGCTCCTGGGGATTCAACTAGATTTAAGTTCTTGCTACTGAAAGTGTGGTCCTCAGACCAGAAGCACTGATATTACCTGGGAGATTCTTAGAAATGCAGACTACTGGGCCCACCTCTGACCTCCTGAATTAGAATCTGCAATTTAACAGGATCCCCAAGTGATTGTGTCTGGAAATACTGGCATGAGATACAGTCTCTGCTTTGAGGGACCTATAATCTACTGGGGGAGCAAGGACCAGGACTGTAACAGATGTGTACCATTCAAGGTACTTGTATGATAAGGATCAAATGCATAGCCCAGATGCTGAGGACTCCAGGTTCAAAGTAGGCAGCATCCTCAAATCTTGGTAACAGACAGACTAGGTAAAAGGAGGCACTTCCTCCAGATGTGAACAAAGGATCCCAGGTGAAGTGCATATGATGCTCAGAGAATAATGACAAGCATCTGCTCTCAGAGTTTCTTATTTCTGGGAAACTCCTCAACTGCCAATGTTCCCAAGGGGAAGTTATTGACCTTATCACCAATGACTAGACTGGTAATGAGGACAGGTTGTCAGTGGTGGTGGGCATTTTACACTTTACGGAGCATCGTGTACCAACCGTGAGTGTAATCCATGACACATGCTCATAAACTGTCTCAGGCGTGTCAGTTTGATATCAGAAGACTTCGTTTGATGACAGTTCTCGTGGGAGAATTGACATCTGTGAACAACGATTCTTTGCCTCTGAGAAACAATGACTCCACTCCAAATTTATGGCTCCAGAGACTCAAGTTGTTTGCAGGTTGAATTCCTGGCCTTTGGGTTTTATGTTCAGTGTTTGAAATCTTTAAGTGTTGGTGGCTTTGAAATTAGGAATGACCTCTTAGGGAAATTTTGAGCTGCTATCAAAACATGATTTATCCTCTATTCCAAATTTGTCTGACCTCTTTTTTGACCATATGTGAAACTGGATTTAGTTATTACTGAATACAGAGCATTAATTGTAAATTAATGGGTGGAACTGTGTTTAGGACATACTTTTTTTTTTATCCTCACCCATTTTTCCATTTTTTATTCGGCTAGAGTGGGGGGGGGGGAGAGAGAGAGAGAGAAACATTGACGTGAAAGGGACACATCGAGTGGTTGCCACCCACGCAACCCAACCAGGGCTGGGGATAAACTGCAACCGAGGTACGTGCCCTTAGCGGGAACCGAACCCGGGTCTCTCTGGACCACAGGCCAATGCTCCAACCGCTGAGCCAAACCGGCCAAGGCAGGACACACTTCTTGAAGAACCTCAAGTAGTTATTGTATATTGTTGTTCCCTGGGGAAAAGAGTACAGAAATGGTGAACATTTTCTGTACACTGGAATTGTATATATTTAAATAGACAATGTAGGCCTAACTGCATAGTATACATCAGCAACAATGCAACATTCCCCACCCCACCCCCACCCCGCCCCAAACATTTTCAATTTACAGTTGGTTGAATGCACAAATGTGGAACCTGCAGATATAGAGGGCTGACTGTGTGTGTGTGTGTGTGTGTGTGTGTGTGTGTATGAGTTTTTTTAGTCATTGCTTGTTTTATTAAAATTGGATTATGTTATATTTTGTCTGCATCCTATTTTCTACATTTTGATAGCTACCTTATGAAAATCGCTCCAGGTTGATTGTTATAGCTCTAATTTGTGATTTTTTTTAATGACTGAATGATGTGTTCCCTAATTTGTTCAGCATTCCGATATTGATGGACATTTACCTTGCTCCCAGTTTTAAGGGTTAAAATTAATACCTTTATTTATATAACATTAGGTCTTAAAACTTATTTTCATGGGATAGATTTCCAGGAGTGGGATTGCTGGTTGTATTTAAAATTTTAATAGAGATTGCCAGATTGCTTCAACTATAATGATTTTATTTCCACTGATACCTTTTTTTGGTACATATTTCAATTGGTTTAATTGCCTTTTTCTTGTTGATTTGGAAGAGTGCTTCATATATTAGAGAAAGTAACCATTTATCTTGATTAAGAAACAGTTAAAGAAATGATCCTTTGTTTATTGACTTTATCATCAGTCTTTCCTTTTATAACTTTTGGATTAAGATACTGTACATTGCAGTCTAGATTTTCTTCTAATATATTTATTGTTTATTTGCTTTTGTGTGTTTGTGGTATGATATAGGACTTAATTTTATTTTCTTCCAGATGGAGAATAACTTGTGTCTGCACCATTTATTTGTTTTCTCCATAGAATTGAAATGTCACCTTTCTTGTATATGAAATTCTTTCCCTATTTCTTAATTTTCAACAGTTGATTATTAACCTGGCTTTTGGTGACTTGAGATCATGTGTTGTGGCTCATCCAAATGATGGATTCTTTTCTTCTCTCTTCTTGGAAAAGCATGGCTTGACAGTAATTCACCTTGCAGCCTGGTCTGGAAGCCTCGAGATCATGCTCATGCTGGTGAGAGCTGGAGCAGACCGGAGAGCCAAGAATCAGGTAGCTATGGGTCACCTCATAAGCTCTCACCTCACAGTGTGGGAAGGGGAGGTCCTGAGATCACTATGTAATTGCCTCTTCTACTCTGCCCTCTTCAGGATGGAATGAATGCCCTCCACTTTGCAGCTCAGAGCAATAATGTGCGCATTGTAGAGTACCTCATTCAAGACCTGCACCTGAAGGACCTGGACCAGCCTGATGAGGTGTGCTTGTTGTGGCAGGACAGGTCTTGCATACACCTCCCCAAATTCCACTTTCTTTCTGCCCCTGCTGAAGATGCCAAGGCAGCCAGCACACACCTGCAGCAAGCTCCTCCGTTGCCCCAGCAGACCATGAGGCTGAAGGGAACTGTGCGTGTTGGCAGTGGCCCTGGCACCTGTATGCGGGAGGGCAGGAAGCAGCAGGGAAGCCACCAGATTCCTTCTTCCTTCTCTACTCCCTCATCCTGGACAGTATCCACCATGTTTGGTATTCAGAATTGGTGACCTCATTTTACTGTAGTATGTCTGATCTTTTTGGAATGTATTTGACCCAAGACTCTGCAGTAATGAGCCATGGAATATAATGCAATTTTACTGTATTTGTCTATATTCCTTTTCTTTTTATAAGGAGATATATAATAACAGCTGCCACTTTTGAGTATTTGTTAGTGTGCTGGGTACAGAGGAAAGCTACTTACATTCATTATATCAGTGAGAGTCTAGGGCCTGGCACACATGGATATTAAATAAATCATTGCTGTATGAATGAATTGTCCTATTCATCTTCACAATAATTCTACAAAGAAGAAAATAGTTTGTTCTTTTTTTTTTTTTTTGGTTAATTCTCACCTGAGGATGTTTTTCCATTAACTTTTAGATAGAGTAGAAGTGGGGGGGGGGGGGGGTGAGAGAGAGAGAGACATCCATGTGAGAGAGACACATAGATTGGTTACCTCCCACACAGATACATGCCCTTGAATGAGAATCAAACCTGTGACCCTTCAGTCTGTGGGCCAACTCTCTGACACTGCCCAAACTCTCTGCCCAAACCAGCTAGGGCAGTTTGCTCATTTTTAAAGGTAAGGAAGTTAAGGCTCAGAGAGGCTAAGTACCTGATCTGAAGTTCCAAAACTAGAAAGTGACAGAGCCAGGATTTGAGTTCAGGTCTGGCTGACTTGAGTCAATGTGGTGTGTTTTCTTCCTTTTCAGATAACTGTGGGCATTGCTCATGTGCTAAGGATGGCCTTTTTCCTGAAATATCTCCTAGGCTTTTTAAAAATAGGGTAGTATTCTCTGTGAGATTAGCACTTTTATTTTGAATGGGAACACCTTTTCACTGTACCTCTAGAACATTATTTTCCATAAAAGTCTCTCTAGAAGTTAATTAGTAATATTTACTTCATTTTACTTCTTTTAACAAACTTTCACAATTTTTTCAGATCTCCATCTTAAAAAACAAAAAAAATAACAAAAACTATCTCTTCAAATAAAGTCTATACATTTCTTTCAATTCCTCTGAGTATGACTAAGCAACTATACTTTTATAGCTTGGAGGCAGAGAGTCTTGGGCTGTGGTCTGAGCATATATTATCTATGTGGTTTTAAGCAAGTTCTCCAAGTGCTGCAAGCCTCAGTATTTCTATCTGTGCAATGAGAATAATAAACCTACTTCATGGTAGCAGCAAGGGAATGATTTGGGGGGTGTTGACCTCCATATAATTTTTTTTCAGCAACACCTCCATTCCTTGCGGTAGACAATTGATATTTTGTTAATTGTATGTAAAAAGACTATGCCAATGAGCTTCGTGGTAAGCCATTCCATCACCCCTTTCCAATCAGATACCACCCCTAAGCCATTCTTATGTAGCAAATATTGGAGCAGCCATTTTGGGAATGCTTAAATGAGTTAATGACTAAATCATTGAACAAAGAGCCTGGCACAATGAAAGTGCTCACTAAGTGGTAGCTATTATAACAATTATTATAGAATAAAGTATACTATCTGATTTCCTCAAACTGATAATCGTAGTCAAATGGCAACTAGTGTCAGGGTAAAGTTGGATCATTCCAGTTTGATGCTAAGTAGGGATGCAGCTTTTGAATGAATGCTATTGGGTTCAATTCAGCAGATACTTTTTTTCAAATTAATTAATTAATTAATTTTTGTTACAGATGTTTCTCCTTTTTCCTCCACTGATTCCCCTCTCCTCCTCTTTCCCCACCCTGTCCCCAGCTTTGTTGTCCATGTCCATTGTTCATGCATACATGCATATGAGTTCTGTGGTTTATCTCTCCCCCACCACTCCCTCTTCTGGGCATTGTCAGTCTGTACCCCACTTCCATGTCTCTGGGACTACCCCATTCCTCAGACTGTTATGTTCATTATATTCCACAAATAAGTGAGATCATATGATACTTGCCTTTCTCTGTTTGGCTTGTTTCATTTAGGATGATACTTTCCAGGTCCCTCCATGTCTTCTCAAAGGATAAGAGATCTTTCTTTCTTATAGCTACATAGTACTCCATTGTGTATATGTACCATTGCTTTTTTATCCGTTTGCCTACTGATGGACATTTGGGCTGTTCCCAGATCTTAGCTATTGTAAATAGTGCTGCTACAAACATGGGGGTACATATATTCTTTCTGATTGGTGTTTCAGGCTTCTTAGGGTATATTCCTAGAAGTGGGATCACTGGGTCAAATGGAAGTTCAATTTTTAAGTTTTTGAGGTAACACCATATTGTTTTCCATAGTGGCTGCACCAGTCTGCATTCCCACCAGCAGTGTACTAGAGTCCCCTTTTCTCCACACCCTCGCCAACACTTGTTGTTTGATGATTTGTTGATGGCGGCCATTCTGATAGGTATCAGGTGATACCTGTCATTGTTGTTTTAATTTGCATCTCTCTGATGATTAGTGATGTTGAGCATTTCTTCATATGTCTCTTAGCCATTTGTATGTCCTGTTTGGAGAGGTGTCTATTTAGTTCCTCTGCCTATTTTTTAATTGGTTTTTTTTGTTTTCCTTTTGTTGAGTTGTATGAGCACTCTCTATATATTGGAAATGAACCCCTTATCTGATATATCATTGGCAGTTATGCTCTCCCATACAGGGGGTTGCCTTTCCATTTTGATGATTGTATCTTTTGCTGTGCAGAAGCTTTTTAGTTTGATGTAGTCCCATGTGTTCATTTTCTCCTTTGTTTCTGTTGCCTTAGTTGATGTGTCAGTGAAAATTCTGCTGCGTATGATGTCTGAAATTTTGTTGTGTACAGTTTCTTCTAGGATTTTTATGGATTCATGAGTCACATTTAAGTCTTTTATCCATTTTGAGTTTATTCTTGTGTATAGTGTAAGTTGATGTTCTAGTTTCATTTTTTTGCATGTAGCTGTCCAATTTTTCCAACACCATTTATTAAAGAGGCTGTCTTTACTTCACTGTATGCTCTTGCCACCTTTGTCAAATATTAATTGAGCATATTGTCTTGGGTCCATTTCTGGGTTCTCTGTTCTGTTCCACTGGTCTATATGCCTGTTCTTGTGCCAGTACCAGGCTGTTTTGATTACAGTGGCTTTGTAGTACAACCTGAAATCTGGTAATGTGATCCCTCCTACTTTGTTCTTCTTTTTCAAGATCAGTTCTGCAGATATTTGTTGAAGGCCTGTCATATACAAGACACACAACTATCTTCCCTTTCAGTGGACTCTGGCTGCTTTCATGGAAGACAGCATTGTGTGGGGAGGACCAGGTAGACTGAAAGGGCTTAAAGACCAAAGCATGTTTGTGGGGACCCCTCACTACTTCTGGAGCTTTTGCTGGCCAGCAACCTTCTTGTCCGTCATCTCTTCAGCTGGTCTGGGTTTGTCCTTTTCCACTCTTCCTTCTCCTCCTCTAAATGGCTGAGGAGCCCTGGCAACAGATTGTGCAAGTCACATGTCCAGCTAAGTGATTTTAAAATAAAGATGGGTTTACAGATATACAACGAATGAACAAATAATGAGCCCACTGGGTCGTCTAGGGACAGAAGAATCTCTAAGTTCCCTTTTAGTCCTGTAAGAAACCTGGATTAATCAAAGCGAAAGAGTCTCCTTTTTTTTCCCCCATTTATTTTCAGACAGAGTGGGAGGGAGGGAGGAAGAGAGGGAGTGAGGGAGGGGGGGAGAGAGAGGGGGGGAGAGAGAGAGAGAGGGAGAGAGACATCAATGTGAGAGAGATACATTAATTGGTTACCTCCCACACGACCCTGACCAGGGCTGGGAACCAAACTGCAACCAAGGTATGTGCCCTTGATAGGAATCGAACCTGAGACTGGTCAACAGACCAACGCTCAAACCACTGAAACAAACTGGCCAGGGCCAAAGTCTATTCTTTTAATGAGATGTGAGTAGGGTCAAGGATGATGGCAAAAACCAGTAGGAACTGGGAGTTCAGGGTCTATTAATTCATCATCAAGTTTTCTGTCAGTCTTTGCTTTAAAGTATTGTGGAGCTCATGAAACACATTTGATAGAAACAACTGCTCCACCTTCACAATTGCCCTCTGGCCTAGTGTCTTATCAAAAGAAAGTGATTGAGAGCCTGTTTATCTTCCCAGGGTTAGTGAAATCTTTTCTTTAGTCTGAAGGGAACTCCAGAAGCTAACAAGGAAAGCCCTGCTTTGATGAGGTCTTTATTAATAAGGGCCCAGGAGTGTTTGGGTGGGCCTAGGTAAAGAGGGGAGATGTAGGGCATTGGGAAATATTTTGAGGTTTCTCCCAACTCCATAGCTCTAGAAATCATGTGTCCTACCCAGAAGACAGAGATCAGAATAGCCAGAAGACAGTATGGGTAAACTCACCTAGATATTTTAAATCTACATGTAAATTCCCACCTAGTGATCAAAAATAAGTACTCAGACTAAGAGGGGGAGCACAGAAAGGAATAGTCTCAGAGGCCATTTATACATTTGGTGAATATAAGAGTTTATTGGTACAATGTTAGCTTGGTTTCAGCTGCAGATATATGGGAACTTGCATTGGTTTAAAGGAATCTATATAAGAAGTCTCTAGAGATAGACAATGCAAAGAAGCTTTTTTTTTTTTTGCATGTTGGGAATAATGAGCATGAGGAGTTTGAGAAGACATATCTTCTTATGTGAAACTGAGGCCAGTCTTTAACGACTTGGAGGTAATCAAACCTATCAGCTCCAGTGTACAGCAGAACAAACCCACACTCACACCAGTTCCACGCCTTCATATTTATCACCTGGCTGTTTCAGTACTTTTTACCTCTTGGCAATATTCTTTTTCCTTCTCCAATCTCTCATTTTTCAGGGACCTGCTGGTTTCCCCCGTTTGCTGGGCTTACCTGTGAATTCCTGTCCCCGGGGGAAGGGAAAGCGGGTGGTGTCCACAGGCACGCAGAGCACGGGGCTTTGTGCTGGGTTCCACCTGCTTCCTTCCCTCCGAGGCTCTCCAGCACACCTTTTCTGGCATCCCTGTGGGCAGGTTGGACTTTGGGTGCCCATTTAATGACTGTTTATAAAAAATTTTCTGAATTTGGTAACTTCTCAAATTTGATAATCCTGATGGTAAAAATGAAAAATAATTTCTAATCAACAATTGCAACTCTTCAGACTTATTCACATGCAAAAAATTCAAATGCACTGAATTAAAACATATTAGGTTAAATAAAGGAAGTAAGGAACAGGAATTCGGGGCCCTCCTTATTTTTGTTGATTAGGAAAAGGAATCAGGATCCTTTGGGGAAGGCATTGTGATTTGTCTGGGGCCTGAAGTCTGGGGCTCTGACACCAGGCTCTACTCTTCTCCTGGCTGAAAAATCTCCCTGCCCCCTTGCCTCCCAAGAGAGAAGCAGTCCTATGAGATGCCTGGATAGAGGCCTATCCAGTTAAATAGGGTTGGGTGGCTAAAAATGAAATAAGACATGATCAGAAACTATATTTGAAAATATGTATTTTAAAATTCCTGTTCTTATTTTGCCTACATATACTAGGATGGTAGATTCTCATTTTACTGTTACTTTATCTTTCTTTAGGCTATTTTGAGTATGCTTATATATTTACTAGGTGGGATGCTGCCTGATTCATGAATTGTTGAATAAAGTTAATTAGATCTTTAACTAAAAACAAAAAAGATATAAATTACTTTATGCTATTAAAAAATTTTTTTTCTTTATTGATTTTAGAGAGAGAGGAAGGGAGAAGGAGAGTGAGATAGAAACATCGATGAAAGAGAACATTGATCGGCCACCTCCTGCTTGCCCCTCACTGGGGACTGGGCCCACCACCTGGGCAGGTGCCCTGACCAGGAATCGAACCAGTGGTCTCTTGGTGCATGGGTCAACGCTCAACCACTGAGCCACACCAGCCGGGCTAAATTACTTTATGCTATTTTTGATGTTTATAAGGTATAGACTACTTTGTAAAAATTGACTTTAACTTTTTGTTGTTGTTAATCTTCACCTGAGGATATTTTTCCATTGATATTTTAGATAGAGTGGAAGAGGGGGTTGGGAGAGAGAGAGGAATATTCATGTGAGAGAGACGCATCAATTGGTTGCCTCCCACATGACCCTGACTGGGGCCAGGGATTGAACCTGAAACCCAAGTATGTGCCCTTTACTGGGAATCAAACCCGAGATGCTTTGGTCCTCAGGCTGATGCTCTGACCACTGAGTCAAACCAGCTAGGGCAGCTTTCACTTTTTGTTGTTATTGATGGTAACATTTTAAAAAGGGCATCCAAAGTTTAAAATAACAACTTGTTTTCTTGGCAAGGAAAGATGTTTCATTTGTGATAACCTGCTGTTTTCTGACAGATTGTGCTTTCTTTGTGGGTGGGTCCTTAATCACTTTGGATAGGCAGAAATGCAAGACTGAATTGCAAGGGTAAACAAATAAGGCCATTTTAAAGTTGAACAGACCCCCTGATACTTCTGCTAGTGTTTGTCCCCAAACTATTAAATATGTATTATTTAGGATTATTTCTGTTATGAGAGAATAAAAACCAGCTTAATCTAGATTAAGCAATAAAGGTAATTTATTAACTCCCAACTAAAGAGTTTGAGGGTATTATCTGGCTTGCTGCTAGCAGCCTCAAATTTATATTCTTATGGACATTCTTATGGATTTTAATGCATAAGAAATAAAATTTCTCTCTCATCAAATGCTCACATATAAATCTCAAGAACAAGTCTTTTTGCCCTTCTTGGATCATATACCCAATCCAGTCACTGTGACCGGCATGGGTTATGTGATCACTTCATGTGGCAGTAAGGCCCAGCAATTGACAGCACTTTGAAAGCCTCAATGGCATCATATCTGGCTCAAGAATGAAGAATTAGTTGAACTTTTTGGTGCCAGTTTGTTTCTCCAGCTTCTGTAAATGCATGAATACAGAGCCCCGTAGAGCTAATCCCTGTAGACATTTTTTTTTTTTTTTTTTTTTTGCCATTTATTATTTCAGCAGTTTTCCTTCTTTTTTTCTTCTAGTTATTGGGGAATCATGAGCTGTACCTCAAGTTAACAGTGACCACGATCTTTTCATTTTCCCACCTTAATAGGAGATCAGATGACAAATCTCAAATTCAGGGACCTTCATTTTTTTGTTTTTAATCCTCACCCGAGGATATGTTTTTATCTGTTTTAGAGAGGAAGGAAGGGACAGAGAGAAACATCATTGTGGGAGAGAAACAATGATCTGCTGCCTTCCATACACACCCCGAGTGGGGATCAAAAACCTGCAGCTCAGGTATGTGCCCTGACTGGGAATTGAACCCATAACCTTTTGGTGTACAGGATGATACTCCAACCAACTAAGCCACCCAGCCAGGGCAGGGACCTTTTTATAAAGAGGCTCGTCTCTTGCTTTCTACATTTCAAACATCTTGCTAAGCTTTTGGTTACTAACACAGCAAGCCAATTTGAGTTTTTGTTAGTTGAAGAAAATACTTCTGCCCATTTTTCTTTTTCTTCTTTTAAATGCCTTGAGTTAGAAAATTAAAATTTCTATGGGTCTTGTACACTTCTTGATGACATTTTAGCTACAAATGCAATCTCCATTTGCAATGTGAAAAATTGGAGAAATTACCATAATCAGAAAATTCTACATTTGAACTTTTCTAAATCACACCTGAACATCCTCTTATGCTGTGTTTTCTGGATAATGCCTTATTTCTTTTTCAAGATTTTTTTGTAATCTGTACCCGAGGATTTTTTTTTTTTAAATTGATTTAGAGAGATAGGAAGGGAGATGGAGAGAGAGAGAGAGAGAGAGAGAGAGAGAAAAGAAACATCCTTTGGTTTCTTCCTGTATGCATTCCAACCGGGGACTGAACCCACAACCTGGGTAAATGCCCTGACTGGTAATTGAACTCACCACCCTTCAGTGTATGGGGTGATGCTCCAACCAAGCCACACTGGCCATGGCTGGATAATGCCTAATTTCTTGATTCTATTTCACGTAGGCCATTCTCAAGAGTTTTTCTGTTGATTCTTAGTGAATGTTGGGGATAAACATATAAGCAAGTAAGCAAGGCCTAAAAAGAAGCAGTGGATAAAATGTCATGTTTGAATAAGCCATGTAAATATTGAGCCCTGGAAAATTTCTGCTTCAAACACTTTTGTCAGTAAGGCAAGGCTTACTGTGTGATGTGCAGGTGCCTGAGACAGGGTCTGACATGTATTAGCTTCTTGGTAAATACTTAAGTAAAGAACTATTTGATAAACACAGAAAGTTGGTAGAATTGCTACATTCAAAAGGGAATCTTGTCTGGCTGTAAGATGGCACCTCACCAGGTGATGGGGAGGACCATCTGAGCAGTACTTCTTTGCCCCCATGAAAATGATTCTGTGCTGATGTAAAATTCCCAAACTTTTGGGCAATAGCTCAGAACTAGGTCTGGTTTGGGATTAGAGAGATTGTTATCACCTTCCCCAAGAAGGGCCCAGCATATTGTGACTGGAAGCACCATCTTGGCTTCCCTGTCACCCTCAAAATGCTGCTGCCTTGTCAGTTGTCTGCTTGTTCAGTAAATGTGTAATACACACTGGAGGTTTATGATTGATTTTCAGAAAGGAAGAAAACCATTTCTTTTGGCAGCTAAGAGGGGCCATGTCGAAATGATAGAAGAACTTATCTTCCTTAATCTGCATACTTCAGAGAAGGACAAGGTGAGTTGGACTTTTCTTTCTTTCTTTTTTTTTTTGACCTTCTGTTTCTTCAAAGAACAAGAGAAAGGGGATTGGCAGTTGTATATTTTGGTGATGGCATTGGTTAGCAGTAGATTTTTTAGTTGTTACTACAGTCAGAGAAAATCGTGGAATATCCAGATGAAATGAACCTACTTTTGCAGTGGATTGCCCAGATTGCCAAGTTTTGCTCCATAAATGATTGTGAAGTCAATAGACTACCTAGATTTTTCCCCCTAGTGTTTACTTCACACCTCTCTTTTCTTCCCACGAGGTCTGCTGGAGAGTCAACCCCACCTGACTGGGGAGCGAAACCCCAGATGGACAGCTACATCTATGAATACATCTTTGATTATTTTCTTAGGACAAATTCCTTGATGTGAAATTATGGGTCTCAGAGTTCTGCATATTTTTAAATATTTCAGTATACATTACTAAAATTTTCACTAGTTTACCTTCACAAAGGTTATAGGGAATTACTTTTATTGTCCTACTTTTTGCTAGCAAATTAGCAGCAAAGATTGAACAAAGAATATGGAGAATTTTTTCTACTCATTCAAACAGTATTTTCATTTAAAACTTTAAAACATTATAAATTTCATTTAAAACTGTGGATAACATGGTCCACACTCTGGACCACAGCTTTAACCAAATGAAACCCCCCAGAAGCCCCATTGCAACCTGACCCGTGAAGGGACATGATCCTCGGAGCGGGGGACTCTACCCTGAATGTACCTGTGTTGCAGGAGGGAAACGCTGCCCTGCACCTCGCAGCGAAGCATGGTCACAGTTCTGTGGTAAGGGTGCTGCTAGCCCAGTGGGAAGAAGTAAATGAGACCAATGAGGTATGTGGAAGTGCAAAATATTGTGCTCTGTGCCTTCAAAGGGGCTGTGACACAGCATTTCTTCAAAGGGTGCCCCACTTTTGTTTCTGAGATTTTCTAAACCAGTGACAGCCATTCTGCACACAACAAGCAATGACAGTGCTATCACGTCTGCTGCCTGGTCAGCTAAGATTGGGAGATGGTGGGTCTTTTTTTATCCTTACCCGAGGACATTTTTTTTATTTTTTTATCCTCACCCGAGGACACTTTTTGCATTCATCTTCAGACAGAGCAGGAGGAAGAGAGAGAGAGGAACATCCATGTGAAAGAGACACATCGAGTGGTTGCCACCCACATGACCCCAACCAGGACGGGGGCCAAACTGCAACCGAGGATACGGGCCCTTAGTGGGAACCGAACCCAGAACTCTCTGGTCTGCAGGCTGATGCTCTAACTGCTGAGCCAAACTGGCCAGGGCGGGAGATGGTGGGTCTTGATCTCAGATAGGTTAACATGTGGAAGAACACGTGACTTAGAATTGGTGGGGTGTGGTCATAAAAATAGCAACTATGGGTAACATAATGGAAACTGAAGGCTATGAAAGTGAGTATGTGTGGTTCCTATGAGAGGTCAGTACTCCCTTTGGACCAGGGAAGCCCATCAGCCTGGTCCCATGCATCCCTGGACCTGGGCATGCAGAAGTTAAAAGCAGGGCTTTGACTGCTGATCCTGGCTCTATCACTCTTCCAGCTGGCTGACCTTGGGCACCTTACTTAGTAAGCCCCCTTCCAGCCTCAATGTCCTCATCTATAAAATAGCCTCATGAAGCCACAGTGAACTTTAAATGGAAATGCTGTGTTGCACATGTGGCAAATGTGCAGCAAGTGGTATCTGCTGTTAATATTGGTGCTTTCTGGGTGCAGTGAGTGGGATCATGGTTATTGTTGGAATCAGCAGTATATGTTGTGACCACCCTCATTATCTTCTCTTCCAGTTTCTAGGAGAATGTAAGCCAGGCTTTTATTGAGGATCCTGGCCAAAAATAGAGCCTCCATTTGTTTATTTTTCTGTATGTGTTCACTCTTTTCTGTCCATCTGGCATGATGATCAAGTTTAATTTGTTTAGCTTAATTAAAGAAGATCCCAGGGAGAGTGTTGGAGGAGGGAGGTAGAGGGACTGAGCAAAAAAGGGAAAAAAAAGAGAGAAAACTTATGGACATGGATAACAGTGTGGTGATTGCAGGGTGGGGGGAGGGGGAGGGGGAAGAGGGCATAGAGGGGATAAATGGTGATGGAAAAAATTAAATTAAATTACATTTAAAAAAATAAAGACAATTCTAGGAACTTGGTCTATTTGGATGAAAGTTAGGACCAATGTTTTAGAAACTCAGAAAGAACATGAATCACCTTAGGTAAATCATAGGCATGATTTGCCTTCACAAATCAATGTAGAGATGGAGTCCTGTAGTTACAGGATTAAATTTAAAGTCTTAGTCGGGCTCGCCCTGTTCTGTTTTAATGCTTTACCACTGGAATGTGTGCACTTGGGTTTCATCCACCTTTTAGCTATTTTTGAGTCAGGGCACATTGGGGAGAACTCATAATATCCAACAAACTGTAATTACAGATTATGATAGGCTTCATTTGCACAAGGTAAGGTATCTGGTGATATTAGCCTTTCGAATAAGGCCCATGTTACTCATACTGTCTTGGGAGGCCTCTGTTTCTTTTCTTTTTATTTCTTTATTTTTTAAATATATATATATATTTTAGACAGAGAGGAAGAGAGAGAGATAGAAACATTGATGTGAGCGAGAAACATCAATTGGCTGCCTCCTGAATGCCCCCCATCGGGGATTGAACCCAAAACCTGGGCATGTGCCCTGACCGGGAATTGAACCAGAACCTCTCAGTCCATGGGACAACACTCAATCCTCTGAGCCACACCGGCCAGGATGCCTCTGTTTTTTTAAAGAAGCTGCTGCCAGAGCAGCTGGAGTGACCCATGTGAATATGCTCTAAAGCAATTGTCTCCAAACATTTTTGTAGCAAACTCATATCAGTAAAGAAAGTCTATGCATGCGCCTATCACATATATATTTATGATTAAGTTAATACACTATAAAAACATATGCCAGAAATAAACATTTAAAAAATTTGAGACGAGAATCATCATAAATAGCAGTTCTCATAATTTCCCCACTGAAAGGATTATCTTGTATACTTCTGACGTGTTTTCCTGCCAGTTTTCTTTGAGTTCCTATGCATGTATATATTGTAGTGGCTGCCCCAAATTCATTTAGCTTACTACTTATTTATTTAGTTTATTCCAGTTTTTCTTTATTATATGCTATCATGAACCTCTTTGTATATAAACCGTAGTTTGAATTCCTCTCTATTCCCTTTGGGTATATTCTTAGAGGTAGTATTGTTGGATTAAAGATAGGAATGTTTATTAGGCTCTTAATATGTTAAAGATGTGAATTCTTTCCTTCACATTTTTTGCAAATATTTTTCCACTGGGGTTTGCCTTTTGGCATCTCTTCTCCTGGAAAAATGAGAAGATAGATTATGAAGAGAAATTCCATTGTAACAGATGGCTGTCCCAGGCACTCAGGTAAAGCAGCCTGGGATACAGTTTTTCCATCTTGTTGGAATGGGTACACTGGTTCCATGCTCCTGCATCCCTGTTAACATGACTGTTCCTATCTAAATAGCTGCCAGTGAAACCTCTGAACGTGTCCTAATGCAGTTTTTAAGGATGTTATTCTTCACATCCAACAGGGGAAATGGTTGGGGAGTAGGGAAGGAATTCTGCGTTCCTTCCCAATATTTTAGGAAAGAATCTGCACAAGGAGGGGGAAATATTCAACTGCTATTGTGTGAGACCAGTTCCTTCTTTGCTATGTTTTGGCTTAATCTAAGCTCACTTTGTCCTACTAGTGTTTATCACGAGTTTCAGGAAACGTAATTACTGAGTTAGCATATTACTTTTTTAAATGACAGACACTTTTTAAAATTAGTTTTAAAGGTTAAAGCTGTACTTGGTACAAATGTGCTTCTATTTTTATGTTTCACTGCATCATAATTCCTTATTTCTGTGATGATCTTTTTTTTTTTATCCTCACTCGAGGATATTTTTCCATTTTTTGTACAGATAGAGTGGGAGGGAGAGAGAGGAAGGGAGAGAGAGTGAGAAACATCGACGTGAAGGGACACATCGAGTGGCTGCCACCCGCACGACCAACCAGGGCCGGGGACAAACTGCAACCAAAGTACGTGCCCTTAGCGGGAACCGAACCCCGGTCTCTCCGGACCGCAGGCCGACGCTCTAACCGCTGAGCCAAACTGGCCAGGGTTGTGATGATCTTTCTTAACAAGCAATTTCTGTCTGGTAGGTAGGATCTGTGTCCTATTTGTCTTTCCAATTCCAATACCTAGTAGAATCTGACAGATAGTAGGTGTCTAATAAGTGTCTTTTGGCTAAATTAATAAAGGTTAGGAGTATGAATGGTGGAGGGAAAGTCAGAAAGGAGGGAGCATAACAGAGTAGTTAAGAGTGCAGGTTTGGGAGCCAAACAAGCTGAACTTCCATCCTAGTTTTGTCACTTTACAGTGTAGGCTCAGTTTTCTTGTCTGTGAATTGGGGATAATATTAATCCTGATCTCATAAACTGTTGTACAGTTTAATTTTGCCAAAGCATATAGTCTTGGTAATATAAGCTGGCACTTAGATGCTTAATAAATACTATTCATTATCAAGAATAATGCACAGCCCTGGCCGGTTTGGCTCAGCAGTTGGAGCGACAGCCTATGGACCAGAGGGTCCCAGGTTTGGTTCCCGCTAGGGTCATGTACCAAAAAAAAACAAAAAACCAGAACAGAATATTTGCCCTGGCCAGTTTGGTTCAGTGGTTAGAGTGTAGGCCTACGGTCCAGAGAGACCCAGGTTTGGTTTCCGTTAAGGGCACGGCATGTGCCTTGGTTGCGGTTTGTCCCTGGCCCTGGTGGGTGGTGCAGGAGGAGCCACTTCAGGTGTTTCTTTCACGTCGATGTTTCTCTCTCTTAAGAAAAAATGAAAAAATGTCCTCGGGTGAGGATAAAAAAAAGAAAACCTTTTGAGTGACCTTGCAGAACTGAAATTTGTAGAGTTGGACATTAAATAACTCATAGTACTCAGCCTATGTTAACTCAAAAAAAAAAGAGAGAGAGAATAATGCACAAAAGACAGAGAAAGCACACTGGTTCTCAAGTAATTTCTTCCATAGCAAAAAGTAATTAACTTTAACATTTTTCCTTTTTCTAGAATGGAGAAACACCATTCTTCCTGGCTGTTGCAGGAGGTCATGAAGAATGCAGCAAAGTGCTGCTGGCAGCAGGAAGTGATATCAACATTCCAAATAAAGTATGTGCTCCATGCCCTGTTCACTCACACAGTGGGAGGGGGACTCAGGGTGCGCTTTGGGTAATCTGGTCCTGTGTTGATCTACTCACTGAGCTTTTGTAGAATTAATATTTATAATTTGCTTTGTTTTGGGTAAGAATTAGTGATTCATTTCCGATATTCCCTAATTAATGTCTCCTCAAAAACAATGACATTCTCCTTATTTATTTGGGGAAGGAATAATTGAAAATGGGGCAAAAGGAGCATACAGTTGTTACTTTTCAAATACAGAGATAATCTTATTCTGCTTAGTTTTTGCCCTGGTGACTACTACATGTCTGGCTTATTCATAGTAGATATTGGAAAAAAAAAAAATTATTGTGTGAAAGCCCAGGGGTCAGTCTGGAGCCTGGAGAAGACAGACGGTGCCTTCTTTTAAATACAAAATATTTCGGTGCTAAGATCCTTTGACACCTCCCTTCATTTAAATGAGAAAACTTGTGTTTAGAAAAGTTAAGGAACTCATGCAGGATACATGACTAGTTAATGGCAGTGCAGAGATTCAAGCTCAGTGCCTGGGCTTCTGACCACTGCTATGGCCTTGTCTTCAGATGATTTTACTTCCTTTATCTATTTTTCTAATTAATTTTATATTATAATGAAAATAAAAAATCTTGAATAGCATCTTATTGCACCTCCCCATCTCAATTTCAACTCCTCCGAATTAACATTATTAAGAATTTATTTAATGTTACATGGGAAATGTGTTAAACACATGCACATATACACACCGACACTGCAATAAACGGTGGCCATATATGCTGCTCTGCACCTTGTTTTTGTTTAAATTGCCAATATATCTTGGCGAGCTCTCCATGTCAGCACAATGTAGAAATAAATAAATAAATAAATAAATACATAAATAACAATAACAAGAAACAAACAAACAGATGTTAAAGTTACCTCCAGTGGCCAAGAATTAGATACAACCTATAAGTGCAATGAATAGTAGGGAAAGGCTGAAAAAATATTTGGTTCACCTATTTCTTGAAGAATATGCACCCATTAAAAAATATTAAAGGTAAATACTAAATATAATATAGAAAAATGTTCATGATAGAACACTAATTGAAAAAACAATGTTTTTGTACATATATTTTTACCATATAAAATTTATATATACATGGACAAGATTGTGAGAGTGTAGAAAATGAAGATAGTATGAGGTGAGTCCCATTGATGTTACAGTAAATGAACACAAAGTTAAGGTTTCATGGGGTCCAAGAAGTGTTAGAATGTGTGCCCTCCTGTACTTAATTATTTGGCCCTCAGAGGCAGTTTGCTCTGTAACGTCTTTTACAAGCTCACTTCTCCCCACCTGACTAAGACGGCAGGCTCCACGTTGTGCACATTCTTATGGCCTTGGGCTCATCTAGGCAGCCTGGAAGTTGTCCTGAGTCCGCTTCTCAGCTTTCACCTTGAGTTTTCTCTGAGTTTCACTAGCATACTTCCTGGATCTATGGCCTCAGCTCTCACTGGCAGTCTGCACCTGTCTCCGCCCAGTCTGTCAAGGAGCCCGGACACAGACAGTGTGAAGCAAGGAGCCAGCAGCATGGACGCACATTACTGAGGGGACACGCTGGACTCCTTTTGCTTTCCCATCTGTAGGCGATTACTGTGTGTGATCTTGGAAGTGCTTCACCTGCCGACATTGATTAGATTTGGTCTCCAGGAGATTGCTTGTGTGTCCCCACCCCCAACCAGGGGGGTGGTAAAGGGTTGAGTCATTTCTGAGGAGGTAATTGAAGTAGATTATATACTTAGCTGATGGTAGAGACTTCCTCCATTAGTGCCGGATGAACAGGCTGCCCAGCTGGGGCAGTCGGCTTTCTTCAGGGCTGTGCCAACTGCCTGGGTCCAGTGAAGACTGGAGTAGACCCTACCAGTTCATCTTTCTAGAGGCCCTACACTCACATCTTATTAAACATATTCAAATTTTCCCACATTTCACATTACTTTTTTTTCTTTTTTTCTTTTGCTGAAATTTATTTTTAAAGGCTCTTTTTATTTGTGCTTTCATAATTTTTTGGATATGGTAAACTCCCCTAATTTATGATGGACTGATTTTTTAGACCTCTGTTCATACTTGGGAATTTCAAGAAGATGAAAAATTTAATCTACAGATTGTTTACAAATGTAATGAATATTTTATGAATATTACATTTAACAGTCAATGAAGTATGAATATGTCACTTAAATATTCATTTACTTCAGTTTTGTGGTTTTTGTAAGGAATCGGGGGCGCCGTCGAATAAAACAGAGAAGAGACTGGAGAGCCAATCAGCCGAATAAACAGGGATCAGGCTTTATTGGGTGCACTCCGGGCAGGTTCACAGACTCCGGGGGTCGAGTCCTAGAAGCCGCGCTCAATGTAGGGGCTCATGTCTTTTATATCTGCCTGTTGTAGCTGGAATTTGTCCCTTAGGGTTTGGCCCTGCGGGGGCTATGCATGGAGCCTCTGGAATGTGAATCGATAAGAGCAAGATGGGAGTTAATCTACAAGCTCGAGGTAGGCTGTTCAGGGTGGGAGACAAGGCTGAGCAAGCGAGACAATGGTCGAGCACTTTGCCTGGCGCCAGTCCCCAGGCCATCGGACATTCCCGACTCTGTGATAATGACAAAGGGGCGCAGGTGTCTTTCTGGCTACTTCGTGCTGGACAGGGGCGGCATGATCCGAGCCTGAGGATCTGGAGAGAGGTTGATAATGGCTTAGCATCATGATCTCGTGCACCGTCTGGCTGGTGAAGGCCTTCAGTCGGTTTTGTAGTAGGGAGGAGAGTAGTCGTAGGAGACAGGGTCCGAAGGCTAGGGCTAGAAAAAGGAGAGTTAGGGGACCCATAAGTGGCAAAACCCAGTGTGCCCAGTTGGAATCGAACCAGGTGCTCCAAGATTGATCTCGCCTTTCCCGAATGCGTTGTGCTCTTTCTTTTAAGTTATTGGCAGCACTTCGGACGAGGCCTGACTGGTTAAGATAGAAGCAGCATTGCTCTTCTAGGAAAACACATATACCTCCCTTTTCTGCAGTGAGGAGATCTAGGCCCCTTCGATTTTGAAGGGTGACTGCTGCTAAGGAGTCTAGTTGATCTTGGATGCTGAGAAGGGTGGAGGCTATTTCTTCTAAAGAATTTTGTGGGTCTTCAGATAGGATGTGGAAATATGATAGAGAGGTTCCTAGCCCACCTTCCCCGAGTCCCAAAGCTCCTGTAATGCTTAGGGCAGTGAGGAGGGGTACCAGCTGTATAGCCCGTTTGTGTCTGCTTGTATTAATCAGGGTGACGTCAGAAACAGGCAGGGAGGCGTCCTGGGGGACTATATTGATGTTGGGGGTGAGATATACCAAGGTGCAGGTGCCGGTCCAGTTAGTGGGGAGACACATATAGGTGGTGGACCCACACATATGGCAGAGTAGGCTGAGGAGGACAGGGATAGGCAGACCCAAAAGTCAGGCGCAAATGTGGAGTTGGCCTTATAGAGGAGGCGTTGGGTCAAATTCAGGGTACGGAACAGATGGGAGGATTCCAGAAGCGAAGGAGAGAAGGCGGCAAGAATGAGTGGGCAACCAGGGGCGAGGCCAGAGTCAGAAAGATGTATAGCAGAATCATAATGACTTATCATGGATGATCCAGTTAGGGCGTCTTGTGTATTCTGATTTTCGTCGGCCCCAATGGAGTGCAGGTGAGGCGAGGCTCCAGGACTGGTTGCTCTTCTGGAATCGGGGCTTTCTTTATCCTAGAGAGATGGATCCAGGCGGAGATCCCCAACACCTTAACTGCAGAGGGAGTAATCAGAACAACGGTGTACGGTCCCTCCCATTTAGGGTGTAGGGGTCGGGGAGAGAGGGTCTTGATTAGTACCCGGTCTCCGGGTGAAATGGGTTGGGAGAGCTCCGATCCCAGGTCAGGTCCAGGTTTAGGAAGGGTACGGTTAGCGTGTTCTCGGAGGAGGGAGCAAAGGAGGGAGAGAAAGGGCAGGATTGAGGCCAGAGGGGGTAGGGAGTCTATAGACGGGCAGAAGGGTTGCTGGGTTGAGGGAGCCACAGCTTGAAAGAGAGATTGAAGGGTTTTTTAATTTGATGAGGATGGGGGCGTGATGTGAGGCAACGGAGGGGGTGTTTGTGTCCCAGACCCCAGGGTGGACTGCCGGTAAGAGCTGGACCGCGGAAGCTGAGGCAGTAGCCTGGGTAGGGCCAGAGAGTAAAGCTATTAGATGCGGCTGCTGGGGGAGGAAAGAGATGGTAGTATGGAGTTTAGATAAGATATCTCTCCCCAGAGTGGAACTGGGCAGACAGGCATTACTAAAAAGGAATGGGAGAACGGGTGGCCTTCGAAGATGCAGTTAAGTAGGGCCGTTCGTTTGGGGGTTGTAGGGAGCCCATCAATTCCCATAACCGAGACCTGGGAAGGAAAAGTGAGGCCCGAATGGGAGGGGAGGACAGAGTAGGTAGCCCCCGTGTCTATTAAGAAGGAAATAGACTTACCCGCTACCTGGAGCGTGACCCTGGGCTCGGCGAGGGTGACCAGAGTCGCAGAACCAGGGCCGCCTCAGTCGTCCATGAGCCGTAGTAGCTCCAATGCTGGGAAATCCTGGGTCTCATTTCCCCCGCATTGAGGTGCTGAGGATTGAGCCAGGGTCGGGCAGTCCGACTTCCAGTGTCCCATTTGTTTGCATTGGGGGCAGGGCTCGGTAGGTGGCCTGGACTGTGGGCAGGCTTTGGCCCAGTGGCCTTCCTTGCCGCATTTGAAACAGGCGCCTGGAGGCGAGCGAGGTCCCCCTTTTGGGGCCTGGTGTCTTTTCGGGTCCCCTGCTGGCCGTAGGGCAGCTACCAGAGCCTGGGTTTGGAGGCTTACCTTCTGCTGGAGCCTCGCCTTGCGGGCTGCTTCAGCAGTCTCCTCCCGGGCATTAAAAACCTTAAAGGCCATTTTTACCAGGTCTTGGATGGGAGTTTCAGGGCCCCCTTCAGCCTTCTTGAGCTTTTTTCTGATATCAGGGGCGGACTGGGAGATGAAGTGGGAGGCAAGGACAGTGGCCCCGTGGGTGTGCGGGACTGGGTGTGGGCAGCGACAGGGGAACTGAGGGGATTATCTAGGGGGCGGGGGGGCGGAGTGTATCCAACAAAGCCTGAATATAAGGGACTTCAGAATCTTTTCTGGTGCCTTGTGTAGACTCTGAGAATATCCCAATTTGGAAAAATTTTCGAGGAGACACCTGAGGGGGATCTTATGGTTAAGTCTGGATTCGGAATTGCCCATGGCAACAGATTAGAGGGGCTACAGGGGAGATGGGTATGACCGCTGAATTAATTCTGCGAAGGTCTTGGACAAGGCGGTACTGCCCCGAGGGTTTCTTAACAGGCAGAATGGGGGAATTACAGGGGGAGTTGGTAGGAATGAGGAGGCCCTGGCTTCTGAGTTTAGATATAATGGGGTGGAGTCCTAGTTGGTGAGCCTGAGAGATGGGAAATTGGGGGCGATTGGGGTAAGATGATGGGTTTTTTAATTTGATAAGGACCAGATGTAAGGAATCGGGGGCGCCGCCGAATAAAACAGAGAAGAGACTGGAGAGCCAATCAGCCGAATAAACAGGGATCAGGCTTTATTGGGTGCACTCCGGGCAGGTTCACAGACTCCGGGGGTCGAGTCCTAGAAGCCGCGCTCAATGTAGGGGCTCATGTCTTTTATATCTGCCTGTTGCAGCTGGAATTTGTCCCTTAGGGTTTGGCCCTGCGGGGGCTATGCATGGAGCCTCTGGAATGTGAATCGATAAGAGCAAGATGGGAGTTAATCTACAAGCTCGAGGCAGGCTGTTCAGGGTGGGAGACAAGGCTGAGCAAGGTGACAATGGTCGAGCACTTTGCCTGGCGCCAGTCCCCAGGCCATCGGACAGTTTTCTTTTGGTATCTTGGAACCATTTTTTTTTTTTTTAAGATTTCAAATATTTCTTTGGCTCTGAAAGGTCTGCAGGCTCTGTAGTACCTTGCAGGTAAAATGCCGCAGGCTCCCACCCCTCTTCCTACCAGAGGGCTCCTGGCTTTGGGCTCTTCATAAACTTGTTTCTGCTTCAGATCTCCAACTGGGGTCCCTTCTAACCAGTCTGATCTCAGTCTAAATGTCACCTCATCACTCACTGGAAAGTAGTCATCCAGTTCCACTTTACTTCCCATTGTAGCACTTATCGGTAGCTGATATTATTCTTTTAATAACATCTAGAGTCTAATAAATTTATCCTAAATTTACTGATTACTATTCTGCCAATCTACGAATCTATAGATCAATTTATTGTTCACCCCCACTGGAATAATACCATTAACTAACATAATGCCTGTCACAGAATAAGTATGCAATAATATTTTGTGAAATTAATAAGGTGGTAATTATGATTACCATATACATTTACTAGCTCATTTATTATCCTGGTACTGCTGTGTTTTGAGGGAAAGAGGTAGGATGGTGTGATAGACAGAACAGTGGCCCCCAAAGATGTCCACAGCCTTATCCTTGGAATCTGTGAATATGTTATGTTACATGGCAAAGGGGAATTTAGGTTGCAGCTGGAATTAATGTTGCTCATCATCTGACCTTAAAATGAGATTGTTCTGAATTATCCAGTCAAGCCTGATGTAATCACAAGGGTCCTTTAAAGCAGAAGAGGGAGGCAGGCAAGGAGGTCAGGGGGCAGCATGAGGACTCAGTGCACGTTTGCCGGCTTTGAAGGTGGAGGGCGAGGCTGTGAGCCAAGGGATGTGGGTGGCTTCTATAAATTGGAAAAGGCAAAGAAATGGATTCTTCTGAAAGCCTCCAAAAGGCCTTTATTTTCGCCCTGTGAGACCTCCAGACCAGTAAGATGATATATTTGTACTATTTAAGCCACCAAGTTTGTGGTGGTTTGTTATGCGCAGCAATAGAAAATTAATACAGGTGGTAATACTTTTTTTTTTTTTTTACAGAGGAAGACAAAATGGCCCATACTTGAGAGGCCACTTATCCAAGGTCATAAAGACATTTGAACTTAGCTCAAGCTAGACTCCAGTTGGTCAGAATGTATATTACTCCTGTTAGCATCTGTTCTATTATCTGTTGCTTCATGACAGACCAACCCAAAGTGCAATGGCTTAAACAATGTATTGTTATCTTTCATGGCTCCGAGGGTTGAGTGGGCCCAGCTGGGAGATTCTTACTTTAGGTCTGTTATGTGGTTGCAGTCAGATGGCAGCCAGGCCTTTAGTCGTTTGAAGGCATAAGAGAAGTGGACATCCACGCGGCTCGCTCACATGCTTGGCAGAGAACCGACATGTGGTGTTTCCACATGCCTGGGCCTTCTCACAGCACCTGGTTCCTATGAGGCAGGGAGCAGAAGCTGCCAGGCCAGGTAGGGGCCACACCTGGAACTGGCACACTGCCACTTCTGCCCTATTCTATTGGTAAGAGCAGTTACAGGGTCCACCCAGAGTCAAGGGGGTGAGGAAATAAACTCCACTGCTTGATGGGGAAGTGGCAGGGCCACATTGCAGAAGAGCATGTGGGATGGGAGATACTTCTGCAGCCATTCTAGGAAAACATAGTCTGCCAGAGCACACTTAATTGGAGAACCTGAAAATGCTTTGTGGCAATCTTACAATGAATTAATCAATAACTATTCGTTGACCTTGCATTATTGTGAGGTACCTGCTAGGCCTTTTGGAGCATGGCAGGATCATTAAGAGCAGGCCCTGCCCTAAAGCAGCTTGGCATCTAACGTGGGCACCGAGTGAAGAACTGGAGCACGGGAGCTGTAGGAGGCAGCTGCTGGCGGTGGAGAGGAGGTGCGGAAGGAGTGGAGGAAAAGGGCTACGAGGGACTGCTGCACGTAGGTAGAAATCACACTGGGCTTTCGCAGGAGTGCGGAGGCCTTTCTTGGGACCAATACCAACTCAGCTTTGGCTGAAGGAGGGGGTTGCAGAGTGTATAGAGAGAAGACTTGGCTCTGGTGTTCTTTGTGCTTTCTGGAGAAGGGAAACAGATTTAAGTCCTATTTGCCTGAGGCGTGTAATACCTAGGACTCTGACTCTTTAATGAGAGACACTCAGAAGCAACAAAGAGCGCCCCCAAATTATCGAAAACACATTGGATTTTCCTTATTAAAGAGTCGTACTATTTCATTCTATTAATTGATTGCCATGTGATGAACACCAGAAAGCTTGCTGGATTTTTACGGGACCCCCTCTGTGCCCTCTCCATCTGTTTCTTGCAGCTCAATATCAGTGCTTTGCAGATAGCAACCCAGAATGGCCACGCATCCCTCGTCAGCTTTCTTCTCAGCGAGAACGTTGATCTGCACCAGAATGTGGGAGTGAGTATATTCCAGTGACTCTGGCTTTGATCATGGCGCTGTGAGGCGGCTGTGCCGGCAGATGCCCCTCACAGATACGTGGTGGGGTAGGGTGTTCACAAAGGAGGGATTCTTTCTGGGAAAGCCGACTGCCTTCTTTTGGAGACTGAGTCTTAATCTTGAGAAATAAAATCCGAGGGATGAATTTTAGAAAGTCATTGAAATTCCTGAACAAAATGAAATCTGTGTGTTTTAAATATTTATATTTGCTCGAACAAAACTTTCTCATGTGTCTAGAGATGCCATTATTCTTGTATTAAATTTATCAATCTGGGGAAATGATGAAGCTGCTGTCAATAGGAAGGAGAAGATAATTTTTTCCCCCTTCACTAAACAATCTTGTTTTTCTTTTGAAAGTCAATCCTTTATGCTGATTTATGTTTTCTGAAGTTTAAATTGGCTTTGGTAAATCGCACAAAGGTTCTCTGTGCTGGAATTAGATCGGAAACATTCCTCTATTTTTCACTCTATTTTCATTTCTCCTGTGAGGATATTATTTCCTCTAATCTTGCTTAGCTATTACTCTTTGTTGTATTAACTCGAGAGAAGGGATGTGATTTGAACCATGACTGGTAGTTTTTGGAGAACGGAGTTAAGGAAATTGGCTCTGAACTTGCCTGGTCCGTCCCAATATGCTTCCTGTTTCTCAGGAGGGGCTGGGCCCCTGCAAGGCTGGTGGTCCCAGCAGGAAGGACACTGCCCACTTCCTGGGAGGAGAGATGCTTTTTCTGTCTTTCTTTTTTTTCATGCTCTGTGTCAAGAGAGAAGGTTCTTCCTGAGCAGAAGGGGCCTGCACGGAAAGCCTTCCCCTCGCGTCGCCCCCTGCAGCCACATCTGTCTCCATTCCCCTTGCTCACCCTCAGACAATCTGACTTACATAGCCGTGGCATCCTACCTGCCCCTCCTCTCCTCTTCCTCTGTGTGCTGGCGACACCCTTGCCAGCTCACTACATCTCTATTCCATCAGGCTAGCCCTGTTTCCTGGGAAGGAGCCTGGTTCAGTGTTGGCATTAGGAAGATCTGGGTTCATATCCTGTCTCTGCCACTTCCTCACTCTGATGCCTAGTGAAAATTATTTAACCCCTCTGTGCCTCATATATACCTCAGGGAATGGAAGACCTAACTACTAGGGTTATTGTGAATAAAAAGTTGTGTTTAAAACAGAGTACGGTGTGGAAGTGAGTGCATAGTAAATAACATTATAAGAATACTTTGGTCCTGGCTGGTTTGGTTCAGTGGGTAGAGCGTTGGCCTGCAGACCAAAGAGTTGAGGGTTTGATTCCGGTCAAGGACACATGCCTTGGTTGCTGTTCAGTCCCTGGCCCTGGTCGGGGTGGTGAGGGAGGTAACCAGTTGTTGCGTCTCTCTCACATCAATGTTTTTTTCTCTCTCTTTCTCCCTCCCACTCTATCTGAACATAAATGGGAAAATATCCTCAGGGGAGGATTAAAAAAAAAAAAAGAATACTTTGGATGCATATAACTGGTGTTTATTAATATCTATTCCACTTGAGCAACACTGCCTGTGCCCTCCTCACCCACCCTCATACACATCTGCGTTCCCTTTCTCCATTCACTTTGCTTTCAGCTCAGTGACTGTTCTTCAACAGTCTCACTGGATCGTCTGCCCTGTTCTCTACACCTGTACCTTCCTTCTCTCCTCTCCACTGGGCGCCTCGCACCTCTCTCTCACACCTGTGTTCTCCCCAGTTTCCCCCTCTCAACTGCTTCTGTGCCATGGAAACTTGTTTTCTCTAGTACCTTCAGGGGCCAGAGGCAGCTGGGTGAGAGTGAGGCACCAGGAAGCCAAGTGTGTGGTCTTGGAGGTGGGCACCGCAGCCTGGAGGGTGGGTAAGAAGCATGAGGTAGAGATGAGTGAGAGCTTGGGGGTTGTGGCTGGAAAACAGGAATTTTAGCCACAAACAAGAAGGTAAGGGGAGCAGGATGCAAGGGCTTGGTGAATACTGGACTCTATACAGGTGGGGTGGGGGTGGGGGGGAAGGCTGGATACAAGATCAACGCCCCTGGGTGAGTGAGGAGAGCTTGAGATCAGATCAGTTTAGGAAATGCTAAATGTGAATGCCATTTCCTCCTGTGGCTCTTCCCACTGCACTGTCGCTCTTTGAAGGCTCTGAGAAGTTCTGCAGTTATGCTTGTTTAATACTTTCTTATCCTTCATATTTGAGCTCACATCTCAATTCTTCAGGAAAGCCTTTTCTGACCTACAGAAAAAGCTTGGCCCTCAGCCCACACCCACATAGGCTGTCATACTACTTTCTACTTTTCCTCCAAACACTTAACATAATTTGTAATTGTATACTTATTTTGTGACTGAAAAACAGTTCATATTTGCTTATCCCACTAGATTAGAAGATTCCTAAGAATGGGTCATATTCACCACTCAATCCCTAGCCTGCTGAAAAGAGCCCGGCCCACAGGAGGTGCTCAGCGTGTAGTTCTGGAATGAATGAACAGGGAGAACTGACCACTGCCCAGCAGGTTTGCTGCACAGCCGTGGGTGGAGATGACTGCTGAACACTCACTGTGGGCCAGTCACTGTGCTGGGCACTGTGCTGGATACGTAGAGATTATCAGAAAGTGTCTGCTGAAATGAGTTGCTTTTTGATCTGAATGATGAAGCCAGAATATTTTGGATTAGAAATTTTCGTTTCTTTCTGCAGCCTAAGGAGTCTGCTCTTCATTTAGCTGTTATCAACAACCACATCACCGTGGTAAACAGCTTATTAAATGCAAAGCATGATACTAACATCTTAAATCAGGTAAGTCAAGCAAGTCAGAACCTGGAATATTAATATCAGTGCCCTAAGCAAATTGGCCCTGTGCTCTGGTAGGAAGGGTACTGGGCTAGGTGCTGTTGCCCGGCTGTGTGACCCTGGGGAAGTTGCTTTCTCTCTCTGGTTTAGAGGTTGGGCTACGTTATAACCAATGTTCTTTCTGTCTTAATATTTTAGAAATGTTTTACATTAGCATTACTTTGGGTGGGAGGTTAAGATGGGTGAATTCCTATGATTTCATATGTTTCTTTGAAACACTCATTCTCTTGATAGGAAAATGATTATTCCAGAAAGAAATTAGAAGTCTTGTAGTCCTGTATACATTACAATGCAGGAAATTTACAAAATAGAAATACATAGAGAAGGCAATAAAAATAACCTCTAATCCCTTCGTCTAGATATTATCATTCTTAACATCATTGATGTATTTTCTTATATGTGTGTGTGTGTGTATACATTCTTATATATATATTGAGCTAGGCTAGATATAGTGTTGTTTCCTTGTTTTCTAAGGCTTTTAATGCTAAATAAGTATTTTTTCATTAAAAAAATAATCTTTGAAACTATTTTTTATTGTGCCAAAATACACATAACATAAAATTTACCTTTTTAACCATTTGTAAATATACAGTTCAGTGGCATTAACTATATTCACATTTTGTGCAACCATCATAAACATTCATTTTCCCAAACTGAAACTCTATACTCTTTAAAGAATAACTCCCAGCCCTCCTCCCCTCAGCCCCTGGCAACCACCATTCTACTTTCTGTCTCTATGAACTTGACTGTTCTAGGTACCTTACATTGAAATTATTTTTTATAGACTATTTTTAATAGTTGCCTACTCTTCCGATATGTGGGTATATCATAGTTTATCTAATGAAACTCCTTGCTAAACATGTAACTTCCTGTCAGGTTTTCACTGTCATAAACAATGCTGCCATGAATGTCCCCTGTACCTACTTAAGAATAGGTAATCTTATCTATTTTTACTAATGCGCATATAGGATACCTTTTCCCTTTTCATTGTGCTTGGATTACATTTTTTGAATTTTTCATGGCAGAGGCAGCAGACTCCTTTGCATGTAGCTGCTGATCTTGGAAATGTGGAGCTGGTGGAGACCCTGCTGAAGGCAGGCTGTGATCTGAAGGTTGTTGATAAGGTAATTTCATGGATGTCACTCTGTTCAGCTGAGATGGTTGCTAAGACCACCCTCTTGGCTATAAACCTTGAGCAGCAGCATAGCCTTTGTGAAATGGACAAAAATTAGAGAAACCTTGTATCTTGGTAGTCAGTAAAACATCCCAATTTTGATTACGCCAAGTCAGTAAGAATTTTTACTCTGAACAATATAATGTGTTTTTTATCCGGCTGGTGTGGCTCAATGGATTGAGCGTCGTCCCATGGACTGAGAGGGACTGGTTAGATTCCCAGTCATGGCAGATGCCTGGGTTGTGGGCTTGATCCCCAGTGGGGGGCATGCAGGAGGCAGCTGATAGATATGTTTTTCTCTCACATCAATGTTTCTATCTCTCTCTCCCTTCTTCTCTCTAAAAAAATCAATAAAAACATATTTTATAGTATATGTGTATATTTGTTGTTGTTGTTGTTAATCTCACCCAAGGATATTTTTCCGTTGATTTTTAGATAGAATGGAAGGGAGGGGGAGAGAGAGAGAAAAACAGTGATGTGAGAGACACATCAATTGATTGCCTCCCACATGACCCCAGCCAGGGCTAGGGATCAAACCTGCAACACAGGTACGTGCCCTTGACCAGGAATTGAACCCATGACCCTTTGGTCCATGGGCAGATGCTCTAACCACTGAGCAAAACAGGCCAGGCTAAAATGTATTTTTAAAATTCAAATTATTAATTTTTAAACATGTTTTTATTTTATTTTATTTTTTAGAGGGAGAGGGAGAGAAAGAAACATCAATGAGGGAGAGAAACATCCATCTGTGGCCTCCTACATGCTCCCTACCAGGATCAGCCCACAACATGGGCATGTGCCTTGACTGGGAATGGAACCAGCAACCTCATGGTGCATCGGTTATGATGCTCCACTAACTGACCAAGACACTTATTAATTTTTTTAAAAGATTATAGATTCACATGGTCTGAAAATAAAAAAATGTACGTAATTAGTAAAGGTTTGACAGTAAAAATTTTTTATTCCCCCAGTCCCCCCACTTACATTTTTCTGGTTTCCATACTACCTTTGCCATATATATCCATTATTATACATTTCTCTGTTCTTTCTAGGGTTTTTTTTTTTTTATCCTCACCCGAGGACATTTTTCCATTTTTTGCACAGATAGAGTGGTAGGGAGAGAGAGGGAGAGAGAGAGAGAAACATTGACGTGAAAGAGACACATCAAGTGGCTGCCACCCGCACTACCAACCAGGGCCGGGGACAAGCTGCAACCGAGGTACATGCCCTTAGCGGGAACCGAACCCGGGTCTCTCAGGACCGCAGGCCGACGCTCTAACCGCTGAGCCAAACTGGCCAGGGCCTTTCTAGGGTTTTTTTTAATGCAAAGACAAGTATGTGTGTGTGTGTGTGTGTGTGTGTGTGTGTGTGTGTGTGTGTGTGTGTATATATATATTACTCTTCTTTTATTCCTCTCTCCTTTTTACACAGAGGTAATATACCTCTACATATTGTTCTGCATGTAGGTTTTTTGCTTTAACAATATAAAGTGGAGATTGTTCCATATTAGTACATGGAGAATTTCTTCATTCTTTTTTGCACAGCTGCATAATACACTGTGGTATGGACATACCAGAATTTAACTAATCCTCAACTGATGGGCATTTAGGTTGTTCCTAAACTTTTACTGTTATCAACAGAGCCACAGTGAATAAATGTACACATGCATGTCTAAAGTTGTTTTTTATTTTTAATAGTTTGTAAGTTGTAAAATACACATAACATAAAATTTACCATCTTAACCATTTTTAAGTGTACAGTTTAGTGTGTTAAGTACATTCACACTGCTCTGCAGCTAGTCTCTAAAACTTTTTTATCTGCAAAACTGAAACTCTAAGAACAACTGCCCATTTCCTCCTCCACCCCACCCCACCCCCCAGGCCCTGGCAACCACGATTCACTTTGTCTTTATTTGAATTTGACTGCTCTATTTACCTCATATAAGTGGAATCATGCAGTATTTGCCCTTTTGTGACTGGTTTATTTCACTTAGCATAATGTCTCCAAGATTCGTCCACATTGTAGCATGTGTCAGAATTTCATTCCTTTTTAAGGCTGAATGATATTTATTGTATGTATATACCACATTTTACTTTTTCATCTGGGAATGGACATTTGGGTTGCTTCCACCTTTTGTCTAGCGCCTAGACTCATTTGATGAAGTAATGCAGGCTCAGCGTTGGAGGGTAGTGGGACGGCTGTTAGATTCCTGCTTTACCGAAAGGTGTAAACGCAGGAGGCCTGTGTGTGGCGGTCCTGTGAAGTGCTCACACGTGTCATCTTCCTTCAAGCCCACATCCCCTCTGTGAGGTGGACAAAGTAATCCCAGTTTTCAAGACGAGATTTTAGAAATGTTAATGACAGCAGGGGCACACACATACATAGTAAGAGCCTGGCTTCAAAGCGAAGGCTGTTGGCTGCTTGGTTATCCAGCGCTTTCCTACTCATGTCTGCAAAGGTGGCTGCTTCCAGAACTGGCAGTTTTTCCTGTCCTTCCTCAGCTCAGCACATCCCTCATTCCCAGTGCCAGCCTGAATCTGCCCTACTCTATTTCAGAATCACACCTCTCACATGTGTAGGATCTGAAGTAGTGATATGCTTTTTACTTTTCTCTGTATGCCAGTTTTTAAAATTAACTCTTTTTTTCTGATCATAAAAATTCTTCTTCAGACACTCTGGAAAACATAGAGAAGCATGAGGAGAGCACAGCCACCATAATTCCATCGCTTAGGTGGAATCCCAGCAGCTCATTAGCTTCTGATAACATTTAGCATTCGTATTAACATTTGGTGTTAGTATTTTCCTGTGTTATCTTTTTTACTTTATTCTACTTTTTCATTAATACATAATACCTCCAGGGCTGTCTTGTGGGTGGAGGATCTATATAGCGTTGGCAGGAAATGCATGCTGGGTCCCCGGGTGCTAGTGGACTGGCTATTCCAGTAAGCACCGTTAAATGCTACAACTTGACTGTGTTTTCAGAACAGAAGTCCCCAGTTTACTTGACCTCACAATTTGATTCTCCCAGATTTCCCTGCTCCTCCTCCCTTTTTCTTCTCAGGGTCCAGAATATAGTTGGCACAAAATACATATTTAATTAATGAATAAAAGCTACCTTTTCTATCTGCTCCCACAATTTTTACCAAAGATAATTGACTGTTTTTAAGACCAAATTAAGATCTGGATGGAAAAAAGGAGCCAAGGTTTGGTGTAAATTTGACATTCCCAGAAACCTGTTCTTGGGCCTGAGATGTAACAAGGTTTCCCAAGGGCTTTCCACCCTCAGTGGGATATGTATTTGAAGTTCCACTCCTGCACACGCTACCGGGAAAGGTTTTCTATGAGACTGAAAACTGGCTCTCAGAATGTTGTCTTTCCAAAATAGGCTAATTATGGTGATGTGAATGGCTTTACAAGCTAGAATTTACACAGTGTACAATTAGAGGCTTGCTAAATGCCTACAAAATGCAGTGCTTTATAATTTCATTACTGTCTCTTTTTCTGATTACTCCCAGCCCTAATTTTCAGGCTCACCTGGATCTTAGTGCCTGGACTGACAGCCAGATCATTTGGGTTGATGGGAGTTGCAAATAGTCAGATGTGAGAGAATTATTGGGATACATTTCTGGATCCCTAAGCATAGAAACATGGGTTCCTAAGATGGAAGTTCTGGGCTTATGTCTGACCATTTTTATTTTTGTCAGGATTCTTAAGCAAATTTTTCATGGGTCATTGGCAAAGCAAATGAGAATCACCACCTTTTACATAGGAAAACATCTATAGACATCTAATTTGTGCACTGCATAAAATCTAGGGGAAATATACCAACGGGACACTGCTTACAACGCTGTATACCCTGGCTTCGAGCTATATCCATCTTGACAAAAGTGTGCCTTCTGTAATTTGTATCAGGTACCATATGAGCTTCAGGCCACTCATGCTCCAAATTATGTCTAGAAGAGCCCTTGTCGATCAGTCTATTTGGTTAAGAGTCCAACTCTCACCCTTGGTTAGAGGCAGTATGATATAATAGAAAAAAAGTTCTAGTTATGAATCTAGCAAGCTGAATTCTGTATTCTGAATTAGTCGTTTTGTCATGATTGATATTACTTTTAATAAGATCGAGACCTTTTTCTGTCTTATTTCTCTGCCCTCCTCAACACATGACTTCCACTTCCTGGGCTAAGGTGGCTGTTTAAGCTCCTGCCCTCATGCCAGCATTCCACTCAGGAGAGGAGGAAAGGAAGGAGAATGACATCCCTCCTCTCTTTAAAGATACTTCCCAGAAGTTGCATGTACCACTTCCATTTACATACCTTTGGCCAGAACTTAGGTCACATACCTATGTGCAAAGGAGGCTAGGAAATGTTAGGAGTGGCCAAGTGCCCAGCTAAAATTAAGAGGTCTTTCTATAGAAGAAAGGAAGAAAAGTCTGTAGAGGGGTTGGGGCACGGCAGCTTGCTAAAGCCTCTGCCACAGGCGGAGTTGGCTTTTGGAGGAGAAAAATGTGCAGTCATATTATTTATTTGCTGAGGACATCCCAGTGCAGGGAGCCAGGGAGACCCCTGGGGGTACTGGAGAATGTGTTCCTTCTCATTGATAAAGCATTGTAAAACATTACTTGTTGATGGTGGGTCCCAAAGTCCAAGCTCTTTCCCTTGCCTAGTTGACACAGCATCAGACACTATCCATATCTAGCATTTCTTGGAGAATTCACATGTATCATGCATGACATGTCCTAAGGGCATTACATGCATTGTCATATATACCTCTCACCACTGCACCATAGCATAGGCGTTGAGATGGAGAGAAGCTAAGGACTGGCCCAAGTTCACCTTGCAAGAAAGCAGTAGGGTTAGAATTCGAAATCAGGCTCCCTTGTTCCAAAACTAGAGCTTCTAACCACTAGGGCCATACCATCTGACACTTTCATTTTTAACTTTTAGCAAGGGAAGACTGCTTTGGCTGTGGCTTCCAGAAGCAACCACAGCCTTGTTGTGGACATGCTCATAAAAGCAGAGAGATACTATGCCTGGAGAGAGGTAAGGAAGGAAAATTCCATTAAAGATGCATTTGCTGTCGTGACATTTCCTTAACCAAGGCATCACCTCTGTTTTCTTTGGGGGTGGATAAAAAGCAGCGTTTTGTGACAGAAGCAAGGGACATGATACTGTTACCTTACATTTCCTATGTCAGACAGTACTCAGACTTTTTATTTCAGACATTTGTCTCCATCTTGAATGACAGAAATGATCCAGTGATAGATAACATTGAAAATGTAGTCTTGGTTACCACTTTACCAGTTATATCTGAAAATATATATTCTGAAATAAGGCAATAGGCAGAAAATGTTTGAAATCATCTGATAAAATTATTTTCAATTTAGAAGCATGGTGAGAACATCAGGGACCCAATAACCAACTTGTCTCTGACATTCAAGCAAGATCACAGTCAGGAGACCAGGCAAATTCGCAGTCTCCTGTGGAACCTGGCTTATCGTCAGCTGAAGGCCAACGAGTGGCAGAGGCTGGCCCGTGTGTGGAACTTCACAGATGACCAGATCAGAGCCATCGAGGAACAGTGGTCAGGTGAGCATGACCTGGGTGATGTGGGTGGGAGGCATTCACTGTTAGCAACAGCAGCCCTTCCTGGTGGCAGATCTTCCAAGTAAGTGCCAGGGAGACAGACTCGGGCCTCTCTCGGAGGATTCCAGCCCATGGGCTCATTTCAGCCAGACTCCAACTGTCAGAATTCGTGATGTCACATCAGCTGGAATCCTTAGGTTTTTTAAAAAAATAATTTGGCCAAAACTTAGGAAATATAGAAAGTTTGGCATTAATCAACTAATTAACTTTACAAACAAAGAAGCAAACATTTTTCTTGGCAAACCTTTCTGTTTATAGCACTTTCCATACATGGATATCATGAGATGTGAATGAGTCTCATGATAGGATTGACTCGAATTACTGATTGCCGGGGATTGGATACAGAAGCACAGCCCATGAACAGGTGCTACTTGTACCACAGATTATGGCACTTTTTATGGCTAACTTTAAGGACCCATTTTCATGTGAAAAAAATGGAAGATGTTGAATATTGTCTTTAGTTTCTGAAAAGAATTCCTTGTAATTGCTACTTTGTTGCTCATTAGACCTGTAGTGTTCTGTAAAGTCTTTAGGAAAGTTGTCTTCTGGAAATCTCTCTTGACCTAAAGGAATGATTTGGAAATATATGTACCCTCAGAGTGCTTGCCATCAGGGTAAGGGGGATTTAAACTGTTCAAGCCAACATTACCGAGGGCCTAGAGTGTGTTCAGCTCTGCCGGGTGAGGGTGCATGAGCTCGGTGGGCCATGGTGCATGTTTGATGGAGTTTATTCCCTAGTTGGCATGATAACAGTAACATTAACAATCCACCTACATTGTGACCCATGTAATGGCACCAGGGAGTTGGTGAAATTTTGAGCAAAGGAGTGACATGTTAGTGGTGTATTTAAGGAAAATTAGTTTGGCAAGGGCAAGATTAGGAGAATTCACATAGGAGTACCTTCTTGATGTGTGCAGTTTGCTCTCCCTGAAACACCTGCCCCTCTAACAGTCTGTCCAGTGAACTCCCTCCCCAGAGCTCAGAGCCCTCCTCTTGTGGCATCTGTCTGCTCCTGGGCACACACACAATGGAGCTGGACGCCTGTCATGTGTTTGCAACTGTGAACTTCTCCTGTTGGGAGTGCCAGTGGCTTCTCACCTCCACATCCCAGCACTTCCCCCAACACTTCTCAGGAATTAGGGATCCAGGGAGTATTTCCCCAGGATTCGCTGGCCCAGAAAGGGTGGGGCGATACAGACTTCATCAGAAGCTGGAGTGGCAGGATGCTGCATGCCGGCTGCTCAGTATGTGGCTGACGGACAGCAGCAACAGCAGCAGCACTCGGGAGCGTATTAGACATGCAGAGTCTTACCCCAGACCAGCTGGATTTTAACACGATGCCCAGGTGAAATAGGCACTTTAAGTTTGAATTTGAAAAGCTCCACGTCTCATTAAGATTGTCCTTTACCGCAGGGCAGGGATGCAGCTGTACAATCTTCAGTCTGTTCCTTTAGGCTGTGTCAAGCACAGTAGGTGCATGGCAAGTGCTAGAGTGAGTCCAAACACTGGTCACCCAAAAGAAACACCAGTGAGGGCAGCAGGAAGGGCTTTTATCCCTGGGCCTTTGGTCTAACAGTTGTCAAAAGAGGAGTGAATTTGTAACCACAGTCATAGAGAAAATTCAGTTGGAATTGAGATCACAGTAATAAAAACACACCATTAGCAGGTGAGGTTTTGCCTCTGACCTTTTGTGTGTGGCACAGGAAAGGACAGCTTCCGTGAACATGGCCACAGGGCTCTGCTCACCTGGCTGCATGGGATCCTGATAATGCAGGACACGCCGATCAAGCACCTGCATGAAGGGCTGGTACGCGCAGGTTTCCCGGAGCTAGCTGGTGAGTGACAGTTTTCAATAAACAGATACCCCTGGCCCTTTCAAATGTTAGGGGACCATTGACAGAAATAATACTACCCTGAAAAGCAGTGGTCCCAGCTTGATGTTCACTGTGACTCAGGCAGAATATGCAGCAGCTTTGGTGAATGACTCAGTCAGTACTTGTTCTGTTTTTAGCCCTGTGGTTCTCAGTGTCAACTGGACACTGAAAAAGTATAGGACTATTTTTGTTTATATGTCCGTGGGGGTGGGGGTGGGAGGGTGGGGAAGGTGACAAGGGGACAGGAACACTGAACCATGTCATAAGGTTATAGGATAGTTCTCCACAACGAAGAATTATCTTGCTCCAAATGCTATTTGGCCCCTGCTGTGAAACTGCGTTAGTGTGTTTGGAAATGTTATCTCCAGGTTGAAAGAAAAGAGCAGACAGGCTATTACTTTGCCAGCTGAGGGTACTGCTAAAAATTACTCTGTCAAAGATTATATTGTCAGGGAAGATGCTTTGAAAACTTATCAACAGTTTTCAACAGTGGTGTTACGACTTGCATGTAATAATAACCATTCAGGTGAAATATAGCAACATCTGCTATTATTTTCATGATGCGACTTTACCTGAAGCTGAGAACACACATGCATGAATCAGACCACTGATTCAATATTCAAATTCAAGTACAAGGAATAGTGAATGGATGATGCCTACCTTTCATGACATTATTCTCACAGCACTGGGGAAAGTGTGTACCTCCCAGGGGGAGACCAGAGGGAGTCCTCTGAAGTGGATAGGGCATGGGCTCTGGACCTGGGCCTGAACTCCAACGCTAAGACTTTGTGATCTTGAGAAGTTCTATAACCTCGTTGTGCCAGTATTCTCATTTATTAACTAGGAAAAAAAAGGTTTCTATGGCAAAAGGCTATTTTGGGATTAAGTGTGTAATAGTGCTAGGTACATAGTGTTTTATAAATGTTAGCTGTTAGTAATAAATGTTATGCTATTTTTTTTTTCCAGAAAAGATCCGTCAATTCAAAAGTGAAACGGACTCAAAGCCCAAGAAATGTACAGTTTCATAAATGCCTAGAGAAATTGTGTTTAAATGATTTTCCACTCAGCATCCAGTTCTTTTAAGTTCAGTTCTTCAATGCCGTAAAGTTCCTCTAGCAGTAGGATTAATTTTCAACTATGAAGATGGTGGTAATGGATCCTCTAACAGAAGAAAAAATGGTACTATTCTTTCCAACCACTGAAATGAAAAGTCAAAAAATTTTTTTGGATTTTGCTTAAGGAAAGTTGTATGTGATTTTCCCATGCCTGCCATTTGATGAAACATATGTGATAACATAATCTAGGAGGATTTTGTACCTCATGTTTTAAAAAATATGGTAGGAGCAGCATTATGGCCTATGGGAAAACAGGGGGTCCTAAGATAGACATGATTTTGAGTCGTGATTTTGCCACTTTTCAGTTATGAAGCTTTGGGCATTCTAATATTCAAATTCCCAAATCTTCAGTTTCCTTCTCCATAAAATGGAAGAAATACCTGCCATAGCATTTCGGGGAGGACGAAGGAGACTGCCTGTAACCTCACGCCCATAGTATTGACGTTGTTATTTCTTTTCTAGGAGAAACTGGCTTTGGAAATTTATAGTTGCTGTTGGCTTTAAATAACACATATGTATAATATATTACTTAGAGAAGGCCAGAAGTATACATACTAATATTTTTTCTCTCTTGGTGATTAAATTATAGGTGACTTTATTTTCTGTGTACTTTTTGGGTTCCAAATTTTTTCACAATGAACTTGTATTATTTTTGTAATCTGAGAAAATTATTGAGTACCAATTTATGCAGCATATATGCACCTATTCATTATAATTTAAGGCTCTCCATTCTCAAATTCAGGCTCTAGGTCTCTAAGGCCAGAAATAATATTGTGAGAAATTTCAGTCCAGTTATTCTATCCCGAATTTATAGTTCTACATCTTTGGCCCACTTAATGTTATGTTTAAAACAGGTAATATGTTCACATGATTTCCAAGTTTTAACAAAAGTATTTAGTGAAAAGTCCTGTCTCCATCTGTTCTTCAGTCTGGCCAGTTTCCACTGACTTTGCTATTCTCTGCCCCCCCCCCCCCCAAGTCTGGGTAACCTCTTTATATAAAAATAAATATGAATACATACTCTTATTGTATAAAGTGTTTTAATTGTTGAATCTAAGTTAAACTAACACTAATTACTTGATGCTTTATACAATATGTAGTTTCCAGAGAAAGTTTAAAAAGATTTATAACATTCTTAATTACAGTATTATAATATTGACTTCAGTTTGTGCACATGGTCATGGCTTGCATACTGAAAACTTCCTACTTGTAATCTAGGTTCTTAGAAAAGCAGAGCCTGCAGCCAAAGCTTACCTGCCACTGCTTTTTCAGGAGGGCAGGCCCAAGGAAGCAGGGCTGAGCGATGAGAGGTGATACGGGGCAGGGAGAGACAAGACTAGGGTGAATTACTAACTTGGCCACTGCTTGGTATCAAGCACAAGTGATTCGACCTCAAGGGTACTCTCTTCCAAGAGATGAGAGACGGGATGGCTGTGCACACGGGGAGGAGCTGATCTGCTCACCACATGGGTGTTAGTTCGGGCTGTGAGTGGACTCAAGTAGAGCCTGCCTGTCTCTGGTGACTGGACGGGGAGTGCAGGAAGCCCTGGGGAGGGGTATGCCCTCTATACTGGCAGATGAGATGCTGTTGGTTTGTGCTTGTTGAAACCCATGAACTGTTTGCCACAGTAGTGGCTGGGCCAGAACCGAGAACAAGTGTTGCATAAGGATATAATACTCTTTGTGTTGTTGTTGTTAATCCTCACCTGAGGATATTTTTTCCATTGGTTTTTGAGGGAGAGGGAAAGGGGAAGAGAGAGAGAGAAAGGGAGAGACAAATATCTATTTGAGAGACATTGATTGGTTGCCTCCCGCATGAGATGGGAATTGAACCTACAACCCAGGTATGTGCCCTTGACCAGGAATTGAACCTGCAACCCTTCAGTGTGTGGGCTGACACTTTAACCACCGAGCAACATTGGCCAGGGTGGATCTAATACTCTTTTAAGACATGACAAGATACTTTTAATAATTTAAAAATGCTTTGGTTTGCCCCTTTAGGAAATGGGATATCTCACATTCTCTGATGTCCTGTTAACAATGTAAGGTCATAAGAAACTGTTTCCTGTAATACAATTAGAGCGTAGAGCTAGGTCATATTAAAAATGAAAGAGGCTTCAGATTATTAAATCCATCCATTTCTGTTAAAGATACGGAAATTGAGGCTCTAGACAGATTTTTCAGAACCTACTCATCTTTATGTAACCCATAAGTACTTTAACCCAGGCAGCCAGCAGTAAAACCAATAGAAGCCTGGTCTGTCTCCTTGATTAGTTTTGCCAGGTGGTTTCTTTCTGTTGGCCAGCCATGGAAAAGTCTCTACCCAGGCTTGGAAGATTTGCTGAGTTGCCCAGGGCTATACCACCACAGGACACTGTTTGAATGTTCAGAGAGAACAATATGGATTTAAAACTGTACAGTTTCAAGAGACAAGGAAGAAGAGCAGAAATAGGATCACTCTAAGAGGAAAATTTCTTCTAATGCTTTTGTAACTGTTTTCACGCTGATAAAATTTTTTCCCTTTTAACATTAAAAATTATTCATAGATGTTGCCATTTCCCCCTATTTTTAATTGTCAGAATACTAGAAAATGAAAACAAATATACGGCAATTACATAAAACTGTGATAAAAATATCATTACTTTTGGTCTTTATCTTTCTCATTTAAAAATAAAAATATCTTAATTTCTATTAGTTTTAATACATTTTAAAATAAACTCTTAAAGTTTACGTAGTAACAATGGAATGATTTAGCCTTTTGGAATAATATAGAGAAAACAGGATTTATATACTTTGATGATATAATCAGCCACAGGCTGAAGCTATTAAAAAATATAGTCCAGTTTCTTTTATTTTAATTTAAAAAAGTTTTACTTAATTGCTTAAATTAAAAAATAACATTAAAATAATCTTACATATAGTTACAAAGGATGGTGTGGCTTTAAAAAGTCTCTTGTAATTTTGAAAGATGAACATGATGTATCCATGATGTTCTAAGAATATGGAAAAATTAGAAACGAAAGACTTCTAATTCTTGGTAAAACCAGATGACTTAAAAAATCTTAATGTGAACATTTTCACTTTAGTCAACCACTTTGATGGAATGAACACTTGTGAGAGACTGGGTGTGAGCTGATCTGGTTCCGAGAGGTCTGGAAGCTGAGGTAGCACTTTCAGGATGAATAGTCCGGGAGTATTTTGCTGCAGCAGCCTGAGGAATGGTTTGCTGAAAAGATGAAAATCTGTTTAAATAATCCCATAAAATTATCATTTTATCATTTATAATTTAACTCAACATTTGCTAAGTGTCAGTGGATACAAGTGATGAATTCGATGAAGTAGCCAGTGCAACAACCAAGATGTCCTTTTCCATAAGGAACCCACAGCCAGTCAGACCGATATGCTCAACAGCCACAATCCTGTAAGAGCTGTATTCCAGGGGAGCACAAAAGCCATGGGAGCCAGGCATGCGTCAAGGAGGACTCAGCTGGATGGAATCTTGTAATGTTTATACAGGCTCAGTATAGAAAGGAACGCTGGGTGTTTGGAAGAAGGCCTCCCCCTCCCCAAACCTTCCCCTCTGCTAATTCTATCCAACTTCCTCCTCTCTCTCTCTGTATTTGACTGATAATACGTGGAGTCCAGTCCTGGGGAACATGCGGGAAGCCCTGAGGAATCCAGTATGGTCCTTGCTTCAAACCAGCGTAAAGCAGGTCCCTCATACTTCACCTGGGAGCTGACTAAACCTTTTATGGTCACACATGAGGCAGACTTCTCAGAGGCCTGGTGCTCCTCAGTCCATGCCACTGACTAGCACAAGTAGGTTGGTTCTCATTAGGGTCTTCCACTAAGAAAAGTCGTCTCTAAAATATTTGAGGTAAAATTATATTTGACCAAAACATTCACTATGTATTTCAAAAGCTCTGTGATATAGCTATGCGGGTCTTCATTGCAGATTCTGTTTTCTTCTTTAAAGAATTGGGAAAATAACCTCCTTAAAGTATTTTATGTAAATATTTCTTTGTACATAAACTGACTAGGTAATCATTACAGATGGGAGATGTTCTCACCACTGCTATGAAATTTTACTCGCTAACCACCTAATCTGACCTGGTTGAAAGAGGTATTTTTCCTTGGGGAGGATGGGCAAGAGGAACTGTAGAAATAGATTCACGTGACCACTGGTATCATGATCTACAAAATCCAGTAGAGAATGAAGTAGCACCAGGAGCAAGCAATTATCCAGCAGATGGGGCTAAAGTGTCAGAGATCTGACTAGTGGTTTAGTAGTAGTAACTGTTTCTGGTAGTTCTGGATCTTGATTCCTGGGAAAAAGGAAAAATTGTACAGAGGACCACCATTGTGTCTCTCACATAATCCAAATTAGGTAACAATGGGTAACAATTAGGTAAAATTAGGTAACAACGTTTATGGCGTTCTAACTCATGGTCAGTTCATTATTGGAGAAGTACTACACATGCTGAGTTAAGCAAAGGGCAGTTTGGGAGATAAACATCAGAAACGGGTTATAAGAATTTAGTTCCTTATTTTTCTTCTGTAAAATATGAATTTCTATTGTTAATCAAAAACAAAGGCTGTCTAAATTACAAATAAACACGTGTGTTCGCTTTAAAGCCTTCTTCATCTTAGTGGACATCTTTATATACATTGTAAGTGCTGATAAATAGAAATGAGTTCATTTGTTCTCATTTTTGATTATCTCACATATTCAAAAATATACAGAGAAGTCATCTAAGAACTTTCTGTCCAGTTTCTGAAGGCAACAGTAATCTTCCACCCCCATGTCCTGTCTGGACTGCATGCCTCCATCTTACTCTTCCACTTCACTGTGGTCACACTTCACCTGAGAATAGATTTAAATAATCCAGCTTCTCGTGATTTAATCTAGTAACCAAATAATGATTTAAAATCACTTCGTATATCTTTTTTGCCAATACTTATTAACATAGTAAGTAGAAAGAATGTTGTCTAATATTGAGAATTTATATAGAGGGCATTCTCTTTGAAAACCAATCCTGTTTCTCTTTAGGGATATGTTCTTGTAACTTGTAAAAATTAAACATTTTGAGGTAATTGTTGATTACATACAGTTATAAGAAATAGTAGAGGTATCCCTGTATCCTTCTTTAGTAATTTAAATTAAATTAAATTGTTTATGGTTTTACAGCTTACAAAACGCCTTTCTACAACTCATTTAATTTTCACATTATCTTGTTTAATCCTGCATTCTGACAATAAACCCTAGGAGCTAAGTACTCTTATCACTCCCTTTCTGCCTAAGAGAAAAAGGAGGCTCATGTATTTTACTTGTTTTGTATCTGATCACAAAGGCAGTATGTGGAATAATTGGGGCATTATCTTGGGGTTTTTTTTTGTTTTTTTTTTTTTGCTTAATTTCCATGTACTTTCCTTTATATCACATGAATTTATTGCAATTTGATTTTTTTTTCCAAACTAGAAATATGCTGATAATTATACTGAAAAAGGGGAAGAAGAATTTAAAATAAGGAGCAAAAGTTAAAAGCTATAAAAGTATGGAAGTGTTTCTTGTAATAAAAAACCTGCTATATGAACAGCTAGTTAATGAGTCAACAATTTCTGCCTCTTTTTTAAATGAATGAAAAGTCATTTATATATATTTACTGTTCTGACCACTGACACACTGGCTTACTTTTTATATTTGATCATTTTTATATGTTTGAGAAGAAACAATTGTTTCTGAAATTAATTTCCTAAAAGAGGAAAGGCATACTCAGGGCAGGTATGATAATTATAAGCACAGAAGACATAATAGTAAAAGGCAGAATAAGAACCAGTTATTATGAATGTTGATCTCTTCAACAAGTTACTTCAGTGTCTACTAGTCTATAAGTCCCAGGACAAAGATTTTGACAAAATCAGATGTGGACTCACCACTGTGACTGGATGATGTTTTTCCACAACAACTGAGCTCATGGGAGGAGAAACTCCCATTATAGCTAAACTGCTACTAATTCTATTTTTTGAAGCAAAATCACATCTTCCTGTGATCCGGGCTGTAATTGTTCTTCCAGCTTTCTGCTGTGCAGATGTCACAACTCTGGGTACATACTGAAAAAGCAAAGAAATATCCAGTTGGTAGAAAAATCCATCGCAAAATTTATACTACTTTTGATTCTATAACATATGAAGAAAATACATAGGTACCTAAAATAATTGTACATTAAATCAACTTTAACGTGGAAAAAAAAAAACGAGACAAAAATCACAACATAAAACTGAGTACTGCAAAGCATCCCTTTAACTTTGGTATACCAACAATTTTATAGGACTTCACAAACTTTAAAAATCTTTTTGTTTAGAAATAATTAGAGATTTATAGGAAGTCGCAAAGACAATGTAGCGAGATCCTGTGTAATTTTCACCCAGTTTCTGGAAATGATTACGTTTTACATAATTATAGGATAATTATGATATCAAAAACAAGAAGCTGACATTGGTACAATGCCTGGGTATAGTTCTACATCACTTTAGTTCATGTGTGGATTCCTGTCACTATCACAGCAATCAAGGTACAGAACTATTCCAGCACAATAAAGATCTCCCTCCTGCTCCCCTTTAGTCAAATCCATCTCCCTTCCCCCACCATCCCTAAACCTTGGCAACCAGTCATCTGTTTTATGAACTCTTTTGATCCTTATGCATAATTAATATCATTATTACACACAAGCTTTTGTGTTCTGCCTTTTTTATCGCTTTGTTAATATACTTTTTTCCCCCCATGAATAGAAAACTACAATTTTTGAGAGATTTTAATACCAACAAACTACAGTTTTTCTAATTATCTGTTCTTTCTCTATTTAGCAAAGTTTTGTAAAAAAAGGATTCCCCCTTTCTTTTGAGAATTATTTCTGTAGAATATACTGCAAAAAAATGCATTGATCAGATCAAAAGGTAATGGTAGCTTTTACTGCTTACTACTGGACAATATTCCATAAAAAATTACATTTACATCAGCAGTAATACATATGTGTACTCAATTTTTCCCACTGTCAACTAATTACATTAGCTGGGCAAAATCAAAAGGAATAAAAGAAAGGGAATTGACATGTTCTATTTCTATCACTGTCTACAGGCAAGTTACTCTAAGCCTCAGTTTCCACATTTATAAAATGGGAAAGCAGCACCAACCACCTAATGATACCCTTTCATTTTCATTCAGATGAAGAGTAAGTCAGAAGACAAACTACTAAATAGCTTAAAAATACAGTTGAAATCCCTCAATTATTCCAAATGGAGTTAGAAAAAACAAAGTGCCATCTATTGTTCAACCTCATGAACTGCAATATATTTGCTTGTGTAACTGCCTAATGTATTTTTTTAAACATTTCCCAAATGAAATTCTGACATTTTATTTAACGTATTGAGGATGTGTGCGGAAAGGAATTTTACAAATGAGGATATTATTGCAGTAGAATGGTAATCCTCCTTTCTCCAGTTATTTGTTTCCCAGATCTCTGCAGTTTACTTTCTGTGTACACACCTCCCTTTAGTTACTGGAAATACTGAGGAAGACTGGAAAAAGTTTTGAATGTTCACAGGAAGCTTCTGTGATTAAAATGGAGAGAAAGATAACCAGGCTGGATCACAAATCTCTCTTCTTTTCCTGTTCCTAACAATGATGGTTTCACATTAGGTAAGTTATCCAACTAATATACAGGATGGGGCCAAAGTAGGTTTCCAGTTTTGAGTACACGAAAAACAGAGTTTATTCTTGTATTATTATTATTTAATTATTGTGTTGTTTTCCATACAAACAACTGTAAATCTACTTTAGCCCCACCCTGCTTTAAAAAATTATTTTTCTTCATTAATTTTTAGAGAGAGAGAGGAAGGGAGAGGGAAAGATAGAAACATCAATGAGAGAGAACATCAGCTGGCTGCCTCCTGCATGCCCCCCACTGGGGATTTGGCCCACAACCTGGGCATGTGCCCCGACTGGGAATTAAACCTGCGACCTCTTGGTGCATGGGTCAACGCTCAAACACTGAGCCACATCAGCTGGGCTTGCCCCACCCTACTTTTATTAATTATTGTATTATTTTCCATGTGAACAACTGTAAATCCTACTTTTGTTATTATGGTTATTTTTAAAAAGAAGAAGACAGCCCTGCCTGGTTTTGCTCAGTGGTTGGAGTGTTGGCCCTTGGACCAGAGAGTTGTGAGTTTAATTCCAGTCAGGGGCATGTACCTTGGTTGCGGTTTGGTCCCCAACCCTGGTTGGGGTTGTGAGGGAGGCAACAAATCAATGTATCTTTCTCACATCGATGTTTCTCTCTCTCTCTTTCTTTGTCCCTCCCACTCTATCTGAAGATAAGTAGGAAAATATCCTTGGGTGAGGATTAAAAAAAAAAAAAGACATATTGAGGTGAATCTGAGTATTATAATTTATAAGGAAGGACAAAACTAGCATTACACTTTGATTGATTTTTTATTCTCCTCTCTCCCTTGCCCTAGAGGCTGTACGTATGTCAGTGAACTTGAATGTGTATCTGTTTCTGAAGGGTTAGATGCAGTTGGAGGGGTAGGGAAGAAGAAGGGTTGTCTATACAATATTGTGTTTTTCAAGTTTCAAAGACTTCAAAATTATCTCGGGTGATCAAATTATTTTAAAAAGTTAGTAACAAAAAGAGTGGTAAGCACACTCATTCATTCAGTTCTTCCCGTGCATTTTCAGATTTACATATAAATGCAGATCGTAAATGATGTAGTCATATTTTAAGAAGGGAATTTTGAAAAATCTAGTTCTTGTGTGCATTATCTGAATATGCAAAGTAATGAGAAACCAGAAATCTGTACAGGTTCACACTTCAAAATGTGTAATCATGAAATGTAAACACAGCTGAACATACTTATATTTAGAGTTGAATTTTAGTGTCTTACTTCTAAGTTAAAGCTCCCTCACACATTCACATTTCTCTTAACAGCCATATTTTCTAAAACTTCTTTGAATTAAGAGAAAACATGATAAATAGCAAAACTCAATATATTTTCCCCTAAAGTTAGTAGTTCCTAAAAGGCAGAAGAGTTCAAGTCAGCTGGAATACTAAAGATGACCAACTGTCTGGTTGATTCTGAGCAATGGCACCTTCTGATGGCCTGCCAGGGGGCCTGTCAGACCTAAAACCTATTCTGCCAGCATCTTTCCTCTCGGGTTAGTGGTTAGGGTGGGGATGAAGAGGGAGACAAGCAAATCAAAACCATCTCGGGACCTTTACAGAATTATACATGCCTTTGTGCCAAGCTAGAGGAGGGAAGGGTATAATGGTTAAAAAACAAACAAACAAACAAACAAACAAACAAACACAAAAACCCTGCAGAGGTGAGTCTGATAAGCCTGATTTGTATCCCTACACCTTTCTCTCTTGAGAGACACTGAAGAATACAGGTTGAACACCAGGAAGCGGAAGAGTCAGAACCATGACCTGCTCTGTAACTCTTATCATATTAATAGCATAGTCAATTTCACTTCAGGCCAATGTTCTTCCTCTCTAAACACTTCTCTAATGGTAACTCTAGGAAAAACTATTCCTATCTTCATTCCAATTATGAATTAAAAGTTAAAACCTAATCAATTAAGATGGAGTTACTACAGAGTAGTAGTGTTAATGATATGTCTGTATCCAGGAAAAGAGAAAGCTGTAGTTGAACAGAAAATATATAAAACATACAAAAGAGCCATTAACCTACTAAGCCCTTGAATATACCCATGATTTTTCTTCAAAATTAAAAACAACGAACTCTAAATTTAGATCTTTTTTTTCTGAATAGTTTTTGAAAAATGTAAGATGAAAAAGTCCTACATTTTTGTTCAATCATCACTACTGTAACAGATCTTTCAATAGAACTCAAAAATTAATGTTTTTTTAGCCACTGTGTATTAAATATTTTCTGTGACTTGGCCTAAAACCGTATAGGTTTTTTCTCCACAAGATAACATGTTCTGAGTTCAAAATACCCAATGTACTGACAAGCTGGGAAACCTTTCCCACGCAGGCGCCTGCAGGAACTGTACTAACCGTGTCTTCTGGTGCAGCAGGAGCTGTGGGCCCGGCACCAGCAGAAACAGAGGAGGCGGAAGCAGCCCCGGCGGAAGTGATGGAAGTGGCAGAGGGAAAGGCAGCAGCGCTGGTCACTCCCATGGTCGCTGCTGACAGGGACGGTGCTGGTGCAGCTGCTGAGGGTATGGGAGCCGAAGGATCCAAACGAGCAGGATGTTCTTTTCCTTGAACGCCAGGCCCATAATCTTCCTTTTGGTCTTAACAGAAATGTAGAAATTTGTCATATATTGGATACAATGTTCAGTTAGTGTGTCAGTATTAACTGGTTAATGTCAGCATTAACCACTGAAGACTTCAGAACAATTCCTTCAACAGGTGATAGCTCATGAATGATTTGCTCTTAAAAGATAAAAATAAATTATGTACTCTGCTGGAACTTCAGTTAAGTGTATTGCCATCACAACCATTACAATAATAAGGTCACATTGAGCCTAAGGATCTATGTCCTTTCGTTATTTCATGCAATTATCCTGGTAAATGGCTTGATATTTCAATCTTTGGAATAATTTTGTGATATCACCATACCCTCTCATTTCCTTCCATTACTCCTATCCTAACGAAAGCAATGTATTTTTTTAAATCCTCATCCGAGGATATTTTTCCATTTATCTTCAGATAGAGTGGGAGGGAAGGAGAGAGGAAGGGGAAGAGAGAAACAGAGAAACATCAATGTGAGAGAGACACATGGACTGGCTGTCTCCCACACAGCACGACCAAGGCCGAGGACCAAACTGTAACTGAGGTACATGCCCTTGACCGAAGTCGAACCTGCGACTCTTTGGTCTGTAGGCAGACGCTCCAACTGCTGAGCCAAACTGGCCAGGGCAAGCAATGTATTTTTATTTTTTAGTTTTCAGCAAATAATAATAAACCAATAAAGTTTGACACTAAAAGAAATGAGCTCTTGCAGGTTATGTAAGTAATGAATTAAGAGCATATTTGCACACTTAACTGATTTTAGTGACACACATATAATTAACCTCCCCTTGAAATTGAACCTTAAACTTAGCTCACAGGAGTAAGTAACATCAGCTTCCAGAGAAGCTAGGACGAAGGGTCCTATTTTAGATTTTTCCCTCCCAGTATTAGAATTTGGTTAAAATTTCTACTTAAAACTTATCTATATGATACCAAAGTCCAGGGTGGGGGTTTTCAGAATATCTGAAAAGAGTAGATAAACCTATAAACAACATAATTTTCTATGTTGTCCTCTTTCCATCTAGAAATCTGGACTTTTGTGTAAGTCATTTTCTTAGACTACATTTATATAAAATATATAAACTTTATTAACAAAATTTAATGAGGATTTTAAAATCATTTGATGAAAGGGATTAATTCAATATAAATCACTGCTCTTGCTTTGAAATCAACACACACACAGGTTTAACATGTTTTTGATAGAAAGTGATTCTGACTCTTTTTAGGTGGGTTGTAGACTGTATCAGATGTGGGATCAGTCCACAGGTCAGTTCTGGCCAAGGCACTCCCTGTAAGAGAGGCAGGTGACCAACTCTTGTTAATGTGGGTGGAGTATACAGTTCCTGTTTGTCAGATAACTGTAAGTTTTAATAATTATTCTTGCTTTAACAGGGATAATTTTTTTTCAGTTGTGAAGTATTTTTCTACTCTTCCTAAAATTGCTTTGAAAATGGGCAGGTATCATTTTAAAGGCCATTTTTATTGTTACATATTGCCTTCTTCATAGAAATGCCTAATTTACAATCTATAAGATTTAGGATATTACACAACATGAGATGCATTGTATATGGTGAATAGCAGAAAATCAGGACAAATAAAAAAATCAAATTACTAGTTTTGTTCTAACAAGACAGATGCATAAGGAACATTGCATTATTAAAAACTGCATTATAACAAGCAATTGTTTTAAGGGAAGGGGGCCAGATATAATTTTTTTCTTGTGAGAATTAATAGTTGTTATTAAAATGCCACAAAACCTAAACATCACAGAGCAAATCCAGCATTAGATTACACTGAACTTTTGCCTTTGGTAGCTCCCCTAACACTGTTGCTTACTGTGTGTCTTCTTATTCCTGTTATCTTTATCCCTCACTGTTATGACAAAGCACAAAGCCACTCAAAACAGTTGGGTTCCCATAACTTGGCATTAGCTATAGAAGATGGCAGATGTAAAAGCAACAGGAACAAAGCAAATCATGTTGAATAATTATCAGAATACATTTTTCCAAATCCTGTTATGGATGTTTGCCTGTAGGAGACCGAACTGTATTTGAATTTAAAATTTAAGATGGTCAATTTATAAAAGTGGCAAAACACTCTGTACTAAGTCAATTCACAATGTTCAGAAGTAGGTTATGAAAAACAGGTTACTTGTAATTACCAAGTTCTAATAATAATTTGTCGGCTTACTTGTGAAACCCAATCTCTCTTCTAAATAGATAATTAAATTCTTCAATTTAATACATATAATTTCTAACAATTAGAACTGAAAGCAAACTATTCTATTACTGGTGGTGGTGAGTCTGTTTTCAGCACTGATACTCAAAAGACCATTTATTAGAGAAACTAAGCACATTTTGGGGTCTTGGGGTATCAGTAAGATAAACTATTTAGCCTTGATAATCTATAATTCTAAATTTCTAGCCTACAGAGGCCACATACCCCAAGTGTTTCAGAGAGAAAACAATTTGCCTTACCTCACTGTTAACCACAACATGCACAATTTAAATAATAAACGTTTGTTGATGCTTTAAAATGAGGGCACAACAAGCACAGAGAAGTTATTCACTGAAATGAAATCATGTTAATGACGTTACAAAATGAAACTGTCTCCTTGGTAAGTTAACTGTGAGTCTTAAACAGGATTTTTCTAAGGAACACTGCAAAAATGTTTGTGTTTTGTGTAAACCTGGGAGGCCAACTTGAATGAATGAAAACTGCAGTGATTATAGCATACTATCATCTTACATGCTGAAGTATTTTAAAAAAATGTCTTCAAGTATATTTCACTGCATTCCCACAAAAACCCCCTATTAAGCAGGGAAAGGTTTACAATATCTTCTTTGTTCAGAGAAGAAAACTAAAACCCAGTAAGGAAAACAGGCCTCATTGTAAATTGGTGGGAAAGTATTCTTGTCATGTGCTCTTGCAAGCCACACCGATGAAACTGACACAAACAACTTAGACCTGAGCTGATACCTGGACTTTTCTTGGAAAAAAATAAATAAATTTTTTTTTTTTACTTCTATAGATAGTCCTGTATTTATATCTGTTGAACATGAGTTTTAGTTGTGGTTTCTCTTAAACTGGAAAACAAGCAACTGGGAAACCATGACTAGGTAAGAAATATTTCATCAACAAAATAGTCCAAGGAATTTGGCTACACAGGAAGAAACAAAAATAGAAGTTTTTCACCTAAAGGCATTATAATTATTTAAAGAGCCTTAAAAATGTTACACATTCAAAGCATTATTGTAACAATGAATCTAAATACATAAGAGTTGACAGTTTATTTATTCGGATCTAAGATACCATAAGTAACCCTGAGTGAGTGAATTTAAAACTGGATACACCACCAGGAAGTTAAAAATACTGTGCCTGGATGAGACATATTCATTGCAGAAAATTAGTACTGTAGACCATACCAATCCCTGAAATCACAAATCCTTTTTGAAAGTAGGCAGAGAATCTTAAGCAAAACACTAACCTGTATCATTTCTGTTTTGAAATATCGTCATGGCTTCAAGATTTAATGCACACACCCCCCGCATGAAAGCTTTCTTCATGGAATCTTCGAAGTGCTCTTTTTCATGCTGCATTCTTTGGATCTCAGCTTTTGCATTTTCTAAAGCTCCAGATAACTAAAATAAAGAGAATTAAAAAATATATAAGATTTGTGATACAAGGAAGAATATTATTTATTGTTCAAAAGTAGACTTAAACTGTGAAGTTATTTTTAGGTGAAAAAAATTTTTTTTTATCCTCCCCCGAGGATATTTTCTGATATTTTGTTCAGACAGAGTGGGAGGGAGAGAGAGAGAGAAACATTGACGTGAAAGGGACACATCGAGTGGTTGCCACCCACACGACCCAACCAGGGCCAGGGCCAAACTGCAACCGAGGTATGTGCCCTTAGCGGGAACCGAACCCAGGTCTCTCCAGACTGCGGGCCAATGCTCTAACCGCTGAGCCAAACCAGCCAGGGCTTAGGTGAAATATTAAAAACACTTTCCCACATGCCTCTTCTGCTACACTTCTCAATTCATTTTAAAAGGTGCATCTTAACTCATTGTCAACAAACCAATTTCACTTCTAATCATAAAGTCAAGGTTCAAACAAGGGAAATTTTATACCAGTCCCACTGAAGGTTGGTGATGTATTTTAATTATATAAAAATATATGCCATTTCTTACCATAAATCTTTTATGTAGATATTAAACAAAATACATTAAGAACCACAGACAGCCCTCACCCCTTTAGAAAACAACAACACAACGAAATGCCTGCAATATAAATAAAATTTTTAAAAGCTAAATGTTACTATAGAATTTAAGGTGCAAAGTGATATTAGTTATAGCACACTTTCCCATAGACCAAATCTAAAGGGACTCCATTTTTGCTTGTCATTTTCAATGCAGAAAATGATCTTTTATGACACTGATTTTTAACATTATGAATTTAGTACTATAATGATGAAATATATTTTCCTTTTAGTATTTGATTTCAAGAGGCCTACTGCATTCTTCAGTATGGTTTTTATTTCATTTTGAGTCTCAAATGTTTTCCCATGGAAACAATGTTAATTTTATTATTAAAAGATCAATGGGAGCCCTAGCCAGTTTGGCTCAGCGGTTGGAGCGTCGGCCTGCGGTCCAGAGAGACCCGGGTTCGGTTCCCGCTAAGGGCACGTACTTCGGTTGCAGTTTGTCCCCGGCCCTGGTCAGTCGTGCGGGTGGCAGCCACTCGATGTGTCCCTTCACATCGATGTTTCTCTCTCTCTCTCTCTCCCTCCTGCTCTATCTGAACAAAAAATGGAAAAATTTCCTCAGGTGAGGATTAAAAAAAAAAAAAGATCAATGGGAAATTAATTCCAATTTGTATACAACTGCTTTAAGTCAACTTTGTATGAACGAAGTTTATTTAAACTAACAAGAGGATAAACACTTCTGTTTTGGGCCTCTATTCTTGACTAAATAAAAGCCAAAAGAAGAAGCATAAGAAAGTATGCTTTCTTAGACCCATAAGGATCTATGGGTGATTTGCACTTTCAAGACAAATGTACACACAAGAGATCCAACACAAGTTTGAAGACCAGAGTTATAACTTTTGACAGAAAAAATAAATCTGGAAATCTGACTCATTAGTGTTATTCTTTCCCAAATAGTCAAGTAGTCTCATTTGAAGATATACTGCAGTAAATGGAATTAGAAATGGGTAACTCTGCCTAACTATAAACTAACAGTAAGTGATGCTACTCATCTTTTTTATTTCTATTAAAGGAAAGTAAAAATTAAAATAAAATAGAAGTGTTACCACAGCAAATTTGGTTTCATAATCATTGGAAATCTGGACACAAACTTCTTCAGCTCTGGCTTGACAAGCTCGTTCCACCACATCTTTCCACTTCTTTTGCACCGTGGAATGCCAGCCTTTCCAGACTTTCTTCAGTAAAGTTCTCTGGAAGTACTGGTCAGCTAGTTTACCTTCATAAACCTGAATGAGAGTAATATAATCTTAAAACAAAGTGTACTGGTAAATACACCGGCAGCAATAACACAGTGGTAGGCAGTTACATACATTATGATTTAATCCTGTGAAATTATTCTCATCTGCATACAGGAGAGCAGGCTGAGAGAGGTTAAGTAACCGCCCAGGTCACACAAGTAGACAAGGAAAAGCCGTCATTGCCTCATTCAGGAGCCTAAGCTCGCTCTTATCCATGACATCATTGTTTATGTAACTAATCAAGTTAGAGGGAAAACAACAACAACAACAAATAAATGAAAGAAAACAAACTTGCCACTTGCTATCTCAGCTCTGAATTTGCATGACCTCTTAGCCGAAACCAGCTGGAGGAACAGCAGAGTGGCTGGAAGGCAGGAAGGTGACTGTGGCTTCAGACGGCATTGTTCTCTTCAGCTTGGTGCCCACCACCATAAGCAAATTTAGTTTACTTTGCACCATATACAGTGCCAAACTGATCCAAACAGGAACATATGCTACTCTTTTTATTAATGAATTTAAATTCTTTTGAAGAAGTAGTTCCAATTTTTAATTTTCTTAAATTTGAAAAACTATTCAAAAAGCAATGGCGGCCTCAACTACTTCAGCTCACATTTAAACCATATATTCTCGTTAAGTCAGTTGATAAATAATGTTCAAAATATGGTATACTCATTTTAAATAGCTCTTTTCAGTCTGATTAATAAAAAAAATGAAAGCACTAGGAAGTATGCTTAAAGGAGGAATCCTATTCTATGATAGTGGAATATTAAATTAATAATACTAATATTTAATATTAATTTCTTGGAATGAAATACACAGAGATTACTTGATGGCTCACATGAGCATTATATAAAAATATATATATATAAATATCCATCCTCTATCTTGAGTTTTAATACCCTGTGTTCTTTTTTTTTTTTTTTTTTTTAAATACTCACCCAAGGATATTTTTCCATTTATCTTCATGTACAGTGTGTATATGTGTGGGAGAGAGAGAGCGGGAGAGACAGACATTGATGTGAGAGAGACATATCGACTGGTTGCCTCCCAAACAACCCCAATGAGGGCCGGGGACCTTACTACAACTGAGGTACATGTCCTGGACTGGAACTGAGCTTGAGACTCTTTGGTCTGTGGGCTGATGCTCTAACTACTGAGCCAAACAGGGCTATACCCTCTGTTCTTGTAGGATATATACATACTCATACTTTTCCACTTTTAGTACAATAATGTATTATTCTCTGTCAGTTTGTATTTACTCAGATATACTGATTCAGCTCTTATTTAATTAAAATGAACAATGTTCACATTTAAATTATATACAAACTAAGGATCATTTTTATAAACCAATACAGTCTTGGCCGGTTTGGCTCAGTGATTAGAGCATCGGCCCAAGGACCAAAGAATCATGGGTTCAATTCCAGTCAAGGGCACATACCTTGGTTTTGGTTTGGACCCTAACCCTGGTCTGGGCGTGGGCGAGGCGACTGGTTGATGTATCTCTCTCCCATCGATGTTTCTGTCTCTCTCTCACCCTCCCACTTTATCTGAAGATAAATGGAAAAATATCCTCAGGTGAGGACTAAAAAAAAAAAGTTATATAGACATGGCTTTCTTTAATTCTCACTCTACGGCAAGTCTACACAACAAACATTTATATAATTTTATAGAGTATAACTATAGTATTGCCTCTTTTTGGGGAGAATATATTGAGACATTTTAGAAGTACAGATAATATAGGAAGCATATGATATGGTAAATATTGTAAATTCTTTCTCCACATAATCATATCTGAGTCAAATTGTTAAAGGTGTTCCATTACAGGGCGTTTGTAATTTGGGTACACTCTCTATTAATCAATTATGAAGTAGGAAATATGTATCAATAGATCTATAAAATATGAGGTATTTTTTCCCAAACTATACCTTTGAATCAAATTCCTTTGAAATCAAAGCAACATTAAGTTATAAATTCACTTTGACTTATTAGAAAATAAATCCTTCTTTAACTATAACAAGAGTTCTAATATGTGATTCTAAACACTTTTGAGTTCAGAGGTCTAATATTTCTCAGTTGTCTTTTTGTTTTTATACTTACATCCTGTCTGGATTTGACATGGCCAATTCGCCAGTGGAAGAATGTTCTCATCAACTCTATCCTTTCCTTTTGCTTGCCTATGGCATGAGACAAGCTGGAAATCACCTGGAAACAGCAATTAAGCCAATTATTGTGGTGTTACAATAACTACTGGTAAAGTGATTTTTCTCATATATCAAAAAATGCTAGCAAATACCAATGGATCACTACTACATTCATCCAGTTAACCTCATTATCTTTTAAAAGACCAAAAAACTTCCCAACATGAACACAGTACATATCAAAGGATGAAGGAGAACAAAAGAGGAAAGAAATCTCATTATGTGTATCTTGGTAATCACCAAAAAAATTATGTACATGAAAATGAGACTTCCGGTCAAGATGGCGGGTAGGTAAACGCGGTATCGCGTCCTCCCACAACCACATCAGAGTTACAACTACAGAACAACCATCATTCAAAACTGCCTGAAATCAAGCTGAATGGAAGTCCTACAACTACGGAATTAAAGCAGCAGCCACATCCAGACTGGTAGGAGGGGCGGCGGCGGACGGGCTGGTCCCACACCCACGTGTGGCGGATAAAAATCAGGAGGACACCTTGGCTGGGAAGGTCCTTCCTGAGGATTGAGGTGTCCCCGTTCCACACCAGGTGCCTCGCTCAGGGTTCCAGTGCCAGGAAGAGAAGTCCCCATAACCTCTGGCTGGAAAAACCAGTGGGAACTGAGGCTCAGGGAGGCTGAGGCGGCTGGAGCCCCAGGCAGCTCCTTAAAGGGCCCGCGCACGGACTTATCGGACTCTCTCCCTCTAAGCTTGGAGGGGAGGCAGCTCAAGGGGCACCAGAGACACACAAGGAAGAACTGAGCTGTTTGGCACTGGAGCGAGGGCTGGAGAGGGGGCTTTCTCCGGGACAGACGTGCTGTCAGAAGCCTCTGTTCCTTTGGTGAGCCCTTCCCTGGGGCGGCAGACAGTCGCCATATCTGGGACTCCAGCAACCTGGCTCACACTGGTAGCCCCGCCCTGCTGACTCCCTGAGGCCCCGCCCTGCGCCACCCAACTTTCAGGCCCACCCAAGCTGTTGCCACTTGCTTAACCATAGGATTGGCCTGTCCTGGATCCTGCTTTAGGTTTTCCTAAATTCTTTCAAACAAGCAGCGTCTGGTCTCAGATAGCCCCATACCTCTCGTTAAGTAATACACTGAAACAAACACAGGGAGGCAGCCAAAATGAGGAGACAAAGAAACAGGTCCCAAATGAAAGAACAGAACAAAACCCCAAGAAAAGAACTAAGTGAAATGGAGATAAGCAACCTAACAGATGCTGAGTTCAAAATATTGCTTATAAGGATGCTCAATGAAGTTAGTGAGAACCATAGTGAACTTAGTGAGGGCCTCAAGAGCATAGGAAGGAGGCACTAACTGAAATAAAGAATAATTTACACAGATTCAATAGTAGAGTACGCAAATCCAAGAAGCAAACCATTGATTTGGAATATAAGGAAGCAAAAAATGCCCAATCAGAACAGCAAAAAGAAAAAAGAATCCAAAAACATGAGGATAGTGTAAGGAGCCTCTGGGACAACTTCAACTGTGCTAACATTCGCATCTTCAGGGTGCCAGAAGGAGGAGAGAGAGAACAAGAAATTGAAAACCTGTTTGAAACAATAATGGCAGAAAACTTTCCTAACTTGGTGAAGGAAACAGACATACAAATCCAGAAAGCACAGAGAGTCCCAAACAAGATGAATCCCAAGAGGCCCACACCAAGACACATCATCATCAAAATGCAAAAGGTTCAAGACAAAGAGAGAATCTTAAAAGCAGCAAGAGAAAAGCAGTTAGTTACCTACAAGGGAGTTCCCATAAGGCTGTCAGCTGATTTCTCAAAAGAAACTTTGCAGGCCAGAAGGGAGTGGCAAGAAATATTCACAGTGATGAAAAGCAAGAACCTACAACCAAGATTACTCTATCCTGCAAAGCTGTCATTTAGAATCGATGGCCATATAAAGACTTTCCCAGACAAGAAAAAGTTAAAGGAGTTCATCACCACCAAACTGTTATTATATGAAATGATGAAGGGTCTTTTTGAAGAAAAAGATACAAATATATGAACAAACAAAATGGCAATGAATACATATCTATCGACAATTGAATCTACAAACAAAATGAACAGGCAGAACAGAAACATTTTCATAGATACAGAGAAAATTTTGTTGGTTGCCAGATGGGAGGGGGTTTGGGGGAATGGGTGAAAAAGGTGAAGAGATTAAGAAGTACAAATTCATTGCTAGACTGACAAACCTCAGAGGGAAAGGGGTTGGGGGGTAGGAGGAAATAAACCAAAGAACCTATATGCATAACCAATGGACACAGACAACAGTGTGAGAAAAGGTGGAAAGGGGGCGGGAGTGGGGAGGAGGGGGTCAATGGGGGAAAAATGAGGAACATGTGTAATACATTCAACAATAAAGATTAAAAAAAAGAAAATGAATACAGGGTGGGCAAAAGTAGGTTTGCAGTTGTTCATATGAAAAATAATACAATAATTAAAAAATAAATAAGAAACACTGTTGTGTTTCACGTACTCATAACTGTAAACCTACTTTTGCCAAACCCTGTATGGTCATTGACATTTAATTCAAGAAAAATAACCATACCCTGAAAGTTTTTCTACATATACGAAAAATCTTTATTGAGCAGATTTTAAATATTTTTGTAGTCCCTAAATACTTTTAGTACTTTGGATTAGAAGTTTCTCAATAACTGTTTAATGATTTTCTTCTGGATTCAACAAACTCATAAAAGCAAATAACTGTTATACTTTGATGTAATTCTTCAGTGATATTATTCTTGTTCTTAAAAAAAAGTGTATGGAGGCTTTTGAATCCTAATACAATACCCTCTCTTTTAAAGAACCGAGTAACTAAAGTATATATCTAAAAATGGCCGCCAAAAGAGATTTTGTAAATTGGGCACTTTTACTGAGAGATTTATTCTGGTTCTTTAAATTTTTAAAAGTGGGAAAGGGCACACATTCTAAGATATTGTTAATATTCTCTTTCTTAAGCTTTATTGTGGCAGATGGCTACTCATTTTAAAAAATGTGACATATATACAACTCTTTTTACGTGTGATACTTTAAAATTAAAAACAATTAAAATATTTAAAAACCTTAGGACAGAGTTTTGTGGGTAATAAGAGAAAATGACTGATATTAATATTTATTGTTTCAAAAAAGTAAACTATGAAAAATGTTCATTTTTGTATTACACCTCGCAATTCCAAAATGAGTTTTTACAAACTCCATCATCTTTTTCCAGGGAGTTAAAGCAGTGAGCGTGCCTCTGCGGACAAGCAGCGGGGGTGTTTGCTCTGAGTCCCTCTCTGAAAGCACCATCGGCCCGGGGGCAGCCACAGAGCTGCTGCCCACCTGTTTCGTTCAGGTGTTGTCCGGAGGCACAAAATCAGTGCACGCTAAACCTTCCTCTCAAGTTCTTAACAGGTTAACAGGAAGTGAAATAAAAGGTGCTGTTTATCAATAAAAGAATATCAGACCATCAGTGAATAAAGACATGTATCTCACAGAAAGAATGTGACATATTTAAAATGACTCCTGAAAGAATGGTTTAAAATGTGGATAATGCTGGCTCCCTGATGTTCTCTTTAGAGCAGTTAGGAAGAAAAAATTAGTGTTTCAAATTTAGCATGCACTCTTAAAACTTCAAGCACACCAAAGTTGATCTCAAAGAAAAAAAGGTGTGACCATGGCACGTTTAACAGGAAGAATAAATTGTATATCTATGTACCTGTTTTCCCTCAGTTTCTGAAGTGATCTTCCCTTTTTATCTTGCATGCCCTAAAAAATCACTTCCTGGCATTTATTATCTAGCAAGACATTTACTCAATCTCAGTTAAAAAGAAATATAAAACAGAACACCTCATCTTTTCTCCCAATGGAGATTTCATAGGCTTTTTGCAGTTCCTTCAAGCTGTTGATCTGGTTGCACAGTTGTTTTAAATGTGCTGCATGTTTTTCTTTCTCTTTTTTCATTTCCATACGGTGCCAATCAATAAAATTTAGTCTCCATTTTGTTAGTTCAGATATGACGTTTGTCTGAAAAATAAATATACTGATAACTAAGCAGTCTGTTCCCTATTAGTGCTTCTTAAAATTACACTGAAAAAAAAATCAAAACAAGCAATCAACATGAAAGCTATTTAAAAAACCCCAATGAAAATGTTTACAAGTTCAACAGTCACAGCTCCTCTTAGTCCACATTCACCATACTAAGCATATGAATTTTTTCTCATTTTAGTTACTTTGTATTAAATCTTGTTGTCATTAAAAAAAAAAATTCAGGTCTCATTCACTAGTAAATAGGTTCTTTGTTTATTCAAGGACTTTAATGTCCATATTAAGATGGACCAGGAAAAAAGAAATGTAGGCTATGCCCTAGGCTGAGCCACAGGACTGGGAACTTATTTAGACAGAGGTGCATAGTGGGAACCATGGGAGTTGATGCTTTCTTTCCCCAAATCATTTATCACAATGGCCACCTTAACAAATAGCTAAGTCTGATCCCTTTACATTCTACTGACTGGCATAATTAAAAAAGAGAAAATAATCATGTTATACAAAGTTAGGTAACATGGTTAATTGAACATAGAACAATTTAAATGGTTGGTGGTACACTACTCCAGTTGACTTACACCATGATTAGAGGTATGAAAGCTGTTCCATGGGGGAAATGGTAGAACCTATATTAAATGATTATATCTGGAATTTATAGTTCAAATAACAGAGAAAGATAAATGCCAAAGAATCCCCACGACCATAATTTCTCCATGCATGTGAATACTCAGCTGCGTTTTCTCAAACTATGTTTCAGAAAAATGGTTATTTTCTCAACTATATTTTAAATAGCAAAAAAAAAACAAAAACCCTGCCACTTCTGTAATACTTTGTTTTACTTAAAGGCCACTAACATCACTAAAATAAAAATCACTTTTTATAGATATATCAGTTATACACTGTGGTTACTATAAGAGTGGCTATAAAATGAATATACATTGCTAAATTGGATTTTGTATTTCTTTTTTTGTTGTTGTTAATCCTCACCTGAGGACATTTTCCCATTGATTTTTTTTTAAATAGAGTGGAAGGGGCGGGGGGGAGGGGGGGGGGAGAGAAACATTGATGTGAGAGAGACACATCAATTGGCCGCTTCCCACACGACCCTGACCAGGGCTGAGGATAGAACCTGCAATCCAGGTACTTGCCCATGACTGGGATTCAAACCCGAGGCTCTTTGGCCCTTGGGCCAATGCTCTAATTGTTGAGCCAAATCGGCCAGAGCTGTATTTCATTTTTAAAGGAGACACTGTCATTAGTTATAGCTATGATATAGTAATAGGGTGAGTCTTTCAAAAACATCTGAGAAATTCAATAGAATGTTCAGTGCTGTTTCAACAACTATTTAAAACCTTGCTATTCAAAGTATGTTTTCTGAACCAGCAGCATCACCTGGGAGCATGTTAGAAATGCAGAATCTCAGGCCCTCAAGATCGAATGAATACAAAGCTGCAGTTGAACAGGATTACCAGGTGATTCATATGGACTTTAAAGACTGAGAAGCATAGATTTAAGACACTGAACTGATCTCATAAAACTAAAGATTAAAATAAAAACTTTTAATTTAAAGAAAAGAAAAACTGGAATTAAGAGCAAAACTATTATAATTCAACAATACCTTAAGACCTGAGCTCCAAAGATCCAATACATTTTCCACCTTCTGAAGGTTTTCTTCAGAAACAAGAAAATCGCCCACAACTATTTCATGGACACCTGCATGACTAGAATTAGAACCTGGTGAGGAAGAGTCACCGAAAAGATTCGAACTGAAAAAATCCATGACAGGATGAGAAGGTTTCCTTGGTGATGACACCGGAGATGACCCTAGAATAAAAATTAAAAACAACTCAAATTGGTGAGGACTTACATTGGAAGGCTAGAAGATGTCAGTTACTACAGAGGCTAAGAAAAATGCAGAGAAATGACTTTTCAGTGTACATAATCTAGCTATTTTTAATTTCAGTATTGTCACTGATTTAGGACTGACCAGCATGAGATGCCTCCTACACTCAAAAGGATGCTGAAACTATTAACAAGTGTGTTATCAGATCAACATTTTCTAAGTGCTTTGAATGTTTCTATAACAAAAATGTTATCAAGATTAGCTTTCATAATACATACTGCCTTAGGAAATAGGTATTTTTATCTCCATTTTACTGATGAAGAAACTGAGGTTCAGAAAAGTTAAGTAATTGACCAATGTCAGAGTGTTTGTATATAGGTCATTATTACTTTATGTAAAACACTGGGATGTGTTTTAACACTACTAAAATTCAACACTATAGGTAGAAAACAGTCTAGCAATTTAGTCTATAAGACACTCAACTGTAAGGCACCCTGTTTGCCTTCACCATACAGGTGAGAAATGTATATATCCCCGTCTCCTGCCCATACACCTGGGGATGGGGATGTGGGTGAGAGCCAGAGCCAGAAAGAGAACTATTTTATCACACATGTATGTTGGAATTAGAGACTGTTTACCATCATCTCTCACATATCACACTTTTGTTATGAGGGCCCTACAACTAAGACTGAGGGGCTTTTCTCTCTTCCTTACTGGCTCAAAGATAAATCGACTATAGAACTTGTTACTTAAAAGTAAATCAAGAATTCTTTGCAAAAGGAAAAATCATTTCCTAATATATATGTTTTACATAAAAATGTATCAACAAATGGTGAAGCTAGTCACACTATTAAACACTACCTACATATTCTGAAAATGGTTTAGGAACTCAAAGGGTAAGAAAGAATGACAAAGTACATTGGTAGTCTCTTTTACTAGATTTTACCAACTAGATCTGCACTCAGGAAAAGCAATAGGCTCTTGTTTTTTTGTTTAATATACTCACCTTAAAATAAAAAAAAGAATCATGTAACTTAAGAACTTGGGCTCTTCCTGAAAATGGCCTGAGGTGACTTCTGAAAATGGTTCACTATTCACTTGACCCAGAAGACCCCACAAAACCATGCAAATCAAGTGGTTCAAATCTTTGAATTCACTTTAAGAAACCTCATGAAACTGCCCAGGCCATCAAGGGTATGTACATCCAAAAAGCCACCAAGTATTTGAAGTATGTCACTTTACAGAAGCAATGTGTGCCATTCTGTCCTTACAATGGTGGAGTTGGTAGGTGTGTCCAGGCCAAACAGTGGGACTGGACATAGGGTCAGTGGCCCAAAAAGAGTGCTGAGTTTTTGCTGCACATGCTTAAAAATGCAGAGAGCAATGCTGAACATAAGGGTTTAGATGTAGGTTCTCTGGTATTGAGCACAGCCAGGTGAACAAAGCTACATGAATGCTGCGCAGAACTGACAGAGCTCAGGGGCGGGTAAACCCACACTCGAGCTCTCCCCAGCACATTGAGATGATCCTACTGAAAAAGAACAGGTTGCTCCTGAACCAGAAGAGGAGGTTGCACAGAAGAAAAATATACCCCAGAAGAAACAAAAACTCATGGCCCGGGAGTAAATTCAGCATGAAATAAATACTGCTAAATGTAAAAACAGGAAAAAAATTAAAGAACTTGGAAGGTCTCTCAGAGATTACATTGCCCAAGCCGTCTATTTCCAAGTGAGGAAACTAAAGGATAGAGGCATTTCTTCTATGGTGGCTTAAATGGTCACTACATTAAATATCACTGACTCACATAGTACAAAAAGTGTTCTATTTTTTTTTTTTTTTAATTCTCACCCGAGGACATTTATTGTTCAGAAAGAATGGGGGAGAGAGGGAGAGAGAAGGAGAGAGAGAGAGAGAGAGAGAGAGAAACATTGACGTGAAAGGGACACATCGAGGGCTGCCACCCACATGACCAACCAGGGCCGGGGACAAACTGCAACCAAGATATGCGCCCTTAGCGGGAACTGAACCCGGGTCTCTCTGGACCACAGGCTGACACTCTAACCGTTGAGCCAAACTGGCCAGGGCAAAAGTGTTCTATTTTTATTATATTAATTATTTATATCAAAGATAGTTTCAATCTGGTGCTAGTATGCTTTTAAAACCCCTGTAATACTTGCTTATCTCTCAACAAAGAAAAAGCAGACTTAAGGCTCAACATAACACCACCAATGGTATTCAACCAAACTTTAATAACTTTGTTTTAGTTGCATTTGTTTTTACCACTGCTTTCTATTTGTAACAAGTGTGTATTAGTTTCATGTGATAACCTGTAATATATGTAAATTTTTCTTTTAAAATAAATTTAAGCTAAAGATGAATATATCTGAAGAAAAACTCTTAATGATAGAATAGGTGGCATAAAGATAGGATGCAAATCATTAAGTTGGTACACAAATGCTTGAAAATTGGGAAATGATGTATTGGTTTATGAAAAAACTTATATCAGCCAAACTATCTGATATCCCCTTGAATCTTTAAAAATATTTGCTCTCTAATCTAGCAGATTGAAGAAAAGATGTCACACACTATAATATATAAACCTGTTTGTCTTAATTATACTACCTTGAATCTTATAAAATTATTTTAAATAGTATTACTCAATAAATTAGCAACAACAGCATTTTAAAATCCTGCCAATAAGTAATATGCTAAAATTATTCTTTTTACTACATAAATAATATTCATCAAACCACAAAATGTATATTAATAAAAACAAGCTAAGGAAAAGTAATACCTTCTGTCTTTGAACGACTTGAAATATTTAAATCACATCCTTTTCCAACTTCGGTCCTTGTTTCTCTTTCTACCAGGCTATTTCTTACTGAAAGAAAAAGGTATTTAAAAAAAAATTAAACCAAAGCATTCTTAAATAAAATATCTAATCACACACACCTTATTTAAGAAGGTTGAGGTACACCAGATTTTAGCACAAGGGTTACAGCAACATTAAAACGAGTAACAAGAATAAAGAAAAGACTCTGAAACTAGAAAAAGTCTTATTATATCATTAATAAGCTCAATTTCACCCACCAGATATGGAGGAAAGAGAATTCAATCTACTATGGCATTCAATTCACATTAAGAGAATCAGTGGATGGTTGACATTAGAACTTAGAAAAGGCTATGCTATCTAACAATGTTGAGTATTTCCAGGGGCCTGCTGCTTTTCACCAGCTGTAATCAAACTAAAGTGACACCGGTTCCACCCAAAACAGGGACTTCCTTATTTCCACCTCAGGAATCTTTAGTCAATACATGGTGAAAAGGAAACTGGGAAAAACTTCACAACAATGACTTTGCCAACTTTGACACATCTCGCTTATACCAAACAATGGCAATACTAAGAGGAAAGAGAATGGGATGATAAATTTACATAGTCCGTTCTAATCAAGTCTCTGTGTGAATCAGGATAATCTAATTTGACTGCATGTTGTATGCTTAGGTCTCAAGTCCTTTTTGATGAAGGCAGAGCATAAACAAATATTATCTTATGTACTAGAAAAGATCAGGGGTCTTAAATCCCAAGTGATTACCTTGAAAGATCAGAGTTGTAACAAGGAAAGGACTCCTGTGTTGTGTCACTGGGAACAACTGTACAGTGGTACTGTAGCCAATGGAAAAGGAAACAAGCTTTTGGTGACCACCTCAGGGCAGAGGTTTAGAGGGCTAACGTGCTAATTGCCTATATACATTTGTGAGAGAGTATGCAGCATTTTGTTTGGGTTTGCTCTATGTTGAGGTGCCAGTGTAATCAAAACATGGTCAAGATCACTGATGTAGAATGAATAAATCCAAGGGTCATATCTCTTGAAGATCAATAAAATTGGGGTAGAAAATATTCAGTGTTAAAATGTTTCAGTGATAGAATACATGTATGTATTTTACGATTGTGGTCTTTCTGTTGATCCAATGCAGTAGGCCGAAGATTGAGAAGCAATGAAAACTCCATGTCTATAGAGGGAGAAAGACAACAGACACTAGGACTGTGACTTACCAGAAACTCAGGAGCCTGCTGACTGAGTAGACTGTGTCATGTGCCTTCAAAGAGGGTTCCTTAGATTTATACTTACTTGATAAATGCCCATTATCAGGGCTGTTTTTTACAGGGCTTTCTGTATCCTTATTTAGATTAAGCTGTTTGGGATCCTGTACTTTACTAAATAAGGAACAAATAGGTAAAAGGAGCTTCATCCTCCTTTTTCAACGTTTTACTCATCTATCAACATACATTCTGATTTGTATTAGCTTTCAGTTCTGTCATGGACACTCCAAAGATGGGTTCATGTTTCCAGTGATAATTCAAACAGTCCTTCATGCCCATATAAATACTGCTGACAAAGTCCCAGCACATGGTTCATAAACTTAAGGGGTTCTGAGGGCTACCTATGGACCATCTTTAATTTGGGGGATTGGGCATTTATTTTTCAAGATAATCCTCTCAAACCACCATTGGAACAAATACAGAGATGTAACATATTCCACTAAGACTCATGAAATGACTACAGTGTTGCTTTAATTTTATAACTTTTCATAAACAGTCAAAGGAAGCACAAATAAAAACCCAGCTGTCATATAAAGCCAAGAATAACACATTAAAATGTAAAAAATTTCCCCATATAACAGTGATATACACCATTGACTAAGAAGAATCACTGGAGAAGCATTTTCACAATCGTAAGTCAACAGCATATTGAGCTCAAATAACATCTTAAATTAAGAGATATCTTGAAAAATATACATAACCTTGATTATGAAGAATATAATCAATTACAGGAGGAAATCTAACATCTGGCACCACTTCTCCCTTAGAATGAGATGGTTGTGAAGCACCGGATTCAATATTTGGAGTCACTACAGCATAACGAAGCAGCTCTTCATACTCTTCCTATGAGAAACCAGTAATAAATAATGTTTATAACACTGCTACAATGGGCACCCAGGCAAAAGAACAACAAAGGTTGTACATGTTTACTATATATAAAAGTGAATAGCTATTTTATGTTATATTATTTTTAACACCATTTTTGGTATTTATATCTCGAAATGTTTTCAACAATAGGACATGGTTAGGCTTTCAACTGTAGTCAAGAACCAATAGGGTCATGAGTTGAGGGTTACTAATAAACAAAATCTTAGCTGGGTTGACATTCTAAGCTAATAACACAAAAATGATTTCTGGCACGTCTAGAAGATCTTTCCCTGTCCCTCTCTTAAATTCTACTCTAGAGATGTATTCTTTTCATGTAAAGCTTTGTCTCCTGACAAAAACATCAACTTGAGATCTTACAACATGTTTACATTTTAGTAATAAAGGGTTCTGGACCTAACAATTACAATTATATGGTTTCTCCCCCATCACCAACAAGCAATTCTTGGACACCAGCTGGGTATCTTACAATTCAACTCAATTCTGACACTATCCACCAGAGTTAGTATGAACTCACACAGGTTAAGGGTTCATTCCCTCAAGACTGCTCCCCGCAATCCCAACTTCAGGTCCACCTGTGCCTGACAGACCAGCTATGGATTGGAGGTTCCAATGACCACCTCCCCAGGTTCAATGAATTCCCTACAGTGGCTCACAGAACTCAAACATTTTACTTACTAGATCACTGGTATATTATAAAAGGATGTAACTCAGGAACAGCCAGATGGAACTGAGGCCTAGGGCAAGAAATGGGGAAGAGGCATGGACCTTCCATGCCTCTCCTAGCATGCCAGTCACCCAGCACCTCCACATGCTCACCAACCCAGAAGTTCCCTGAATTCTCTTTTTTTGGGTTTCTGTGGAGGCTCCATTACATAGGCATGACTCATTAAATCATGGCCATTGGTGATTGAACTCCATATCCAGCCCCTCTCCCTGCCCAGGAAATTGGAGGTTGGGGGTGGGACTGAAAGTTCCAACCCTCTAATCACGTTTGGTTCCTCTGGCAACCAGCCCCCATCCTTAGGTGAGGGTTCAAAAGTCACCTCATAACAACAGACACCTTCATTATTCTCATCGCTTAAGAAATTCCAAAGATTTTAGGACCTCTATAACGGAAACTATAATGAAGACCAAATATATATTTCTTATTATAAATCATGTCACAAGTATAAATGAGTGAATCAGTTCTATCTAAAAAGAAGTTTGGATAAGGCAGAGATGAAGGGTACAGGAAAGCACTGTCACCTCAAAGGATAGCACTAGGTGGGAGAGGTACCATCCAAAGGGAAGGCAAGGATAAAATTCTGTCACAATTCCAGATGCTCTTTTACTAGTAAATAATCACGGATATTTAAAACATAGCTTTCCAACTTCTAAATCTATAATTTCAATTAAAGGAACACATTTGTTTCATAAAATATCTTCCTAAAGCTTTTCTCATACCATACAGTGCCAATAAGAACTTACTCAACATACATAATATCCAGTTTTTTTCCTAAGTGATATAACTGTAATACTTAAGATATACCATGTTAGTACTCTCTCAATTAAAATCTGCTCTAGAAATCTGAATCCATATTTTGATGCTAAAATAGTTAGAAATAAAAGAAATTCAAACTGTTTCATGTAAAATCCACACCTCTGTAGTCCATGGATCTGTCACTGTCCAGGTCCTGGGCAGCAGAATGTGCTCACAGACTGTTGTGGCAACAAGGACTAGAACCTCGAGTAGAACACTAAGGAATCTAGGCCTCAGAACTTTGGATGGTTTGATATTGTATTAATTGGCATTAAAGTGAAAGCAGCAGTCATAAGAGATAGCTACAATGAGAAAATTTCAAGAAAAAAAAATGTTTCTTGAGATTTCCAGCTTGTCCTCTCATTGTGTTGTTTGAAGACTTTGTAGAAAGAGTTGAAGAGCTCACGATTATTCTCTGAAAGGTTACAACAATGAAAAGTATTTCTCAAAGTTTGTAAAATAATTCCCAGTTTGGTATAATTTGATATACATTATATACACATTATAATTATAAATGTAAATGGCATGAATGATCAAAAAAATGTATTCCTGATTTTCCCTCGTACTGTTACTTGTTGAAAATAAATAAGTCGTGACAAATTTAAACATGTCCTCCTACCTGAAGATCTGAAGAGACTGAACTGCCCTGGTTGGAGTCATTCTGCATAACTGGAACTGAGCACTTCTCCTCATCTGATGACATTCTGCACAAATACTATAAAACAAAAGTTAACTTTCATTTCTTGCTGCCTTAATATTTAAACTAAAATAAAATGTTTAATATAGTGATGGAACACCATCCTAACCTGTAAAAAATAATTGTGATATGCTAAAATCATTCAACATATTGAGCAACCTTGGACAAAATCATTGGGCAAGAAAAAATAGTTCAACACTCAATTGTCAAAATTAGTGAGTTTATAAGGTAGCAAAGGAGATGAGACAAATACATGAAAGTTAAAGAAAAATGGAAGGTCCTCAGAAAAATCTACAGTAGAGCCTGTTGAGAATAATCAGATTGTGATCACTATTATTCAACAATGTGTGACAGCCTGGATGCTGTGTACTTTCTTTGAAGATACTCAGCCAAGGAGAATGAATAATTTGTGCAAATGCCCTGCTTGGGAAACTTAACCGTTTGGGAGTATTATTTTAAGAAAATCAAGCTTATACAAAACAACAGATTCTAATACACACATAGAAAAATTGTTGAAAGTCTTAACCAAAAATATAAAGAATAAAAGTACTTTTAGTAACAAGTAAATACATAATTTAAAAGACAAGTAGTGAGTATTCAAATTATCTGAATATTAGTAAAATGTAAGACATTGGTAGAGAAGTTAAGATGAAGAGTCCTGAAGGATTTTACAATCTATAGAGAGGGATATATATATATAGCCATTTCTCGTGGGGTGAGATAGTGAGGGAGTGAAGAGGTAGAAATGGAACCAGGAAAAATTTAATAGAGAAGATGACCCCAGTGTTGAGACCTGAAGGACAGATAAAAGATATCAGGATATGCTGGACAGCAGAGCAGCATAAGCAAAGACACAGAGGCATGGACATGTATGCTAGGAACATAAGTAGTTTGTAAGGCCGAAGCAAAGGGTGCAAAACAAGGCTTGGCTAAGGATGAAACAGGCACATTATGAGCAGCCAGATCATGGAAGATCATGATTTTCATGTTAAAAAGTTTGGTCTTTAGCAATGACCACTTTGCTCAGTTGTTAGAACACTGGCCTGTGGACCAAAGGGTCACGGGTTCGATTCCTAGTCAAGGGCACATGCCTGGGTTGCCGGTTCCATTCCCAGCCCCAGTCAGGGTCATGCAGGAAGCAACCAATCGATGTGTGTCTCTCACATCCATGTTTTTTTTTCTCTCTCTCTCTCCCTCCCTCCTTCCTTCCCTTCTACTCTATCAAAATAATAATAATAATAATAATAATAATGGAAAAATATCCTTGGGTGAGGACTAACAACAACAAAAAAGATTGGTCTTTTTGAGAAGTTATTAAAATGTTTAAACAAGTGATAACTAGATCATGCTTGTCTTTTAGAAAGATCACTCTGGCAACTTTCAGGATGGAGAGTTGGGGTTCTGAAGAAAAGAGAGATCAATTGAGAGCTGAATACAGTATTCCAAGAAGTGTCTCCTCTGGCAGTAATCAAGGAGATAAATGAGGACCTGAATCTAGGAGTCATCAATGAAGAGTGGATGGAGGGTATGACTATGAGATCGTTGTGTTATGGCAATGAGGATGAGAGATCATGATCAATAATTAGTTAAAGGGTTAAAGAGAGAAATTTTTAAGATATCTGGCTTAAAAAACTAGATAGATGCTAGTTCCACTCACCAAGGCAAGAAATGTAGGAAGATGAGCCAGTTGGGAGGAAGACCAATGGGTTCAATATCAGATGTTTTGGATGCAAAGTACCTGTGAGGCACTGAGGTGAAGTTGCAGGTATGCAGTATATGGCCACACCTCTTATGCTGTGCACCACTCCAAGGACTGCCATTCACAGTGACTGCAATGTGTATGGCGTTTCCTAGAGTTAAGCAATGTGGGAGTCCTGTATTGGATCTTTAGGTAGACATACAGTTTGAGGAATCATCAGCATAATGGGAAATGCTGAAAAAAGGAGAGGATAAGATCACCTATGTAAAGGAGTGTGAGAAAGAGTTCTTACTCTTAAGTACATACACCCAAACTGTATGCAATATTTTTAGTATAACTGCACCCATGTGTATTTTTCTAGCAAGAGGATCCTTAGCTTCCGATATGTATTCGGAGGGAACTATAAACCTATTAAAGTTAAGGACCACTATCATGGTGAGAAGGGGGCCAAAACCAGAACCACTAACATTTATTTATTTTTTTAATCCTTACCCAAGGATATTTTTTCAAATATCTTCAGATAGAGTGGGAGGGGGAGAGAGAGAGAGAGAAAGAAAGAGAAACATGATGTGAGAGAGACATATCGATTGGCTACCTCCCACATGACACTGACCAGGCCGGCACAAACCACAACCGAGGTACGTGCCCTTGGCTGGAATCAAACCCGCGACTCTTTGGTCCTCGGGCCCACGCTCTAACCATTGAATCAAACCAGGGCCAGAACCACTAACATTTAAAGGGGGAAGAGAAAAGCCAGCAAAGAAGACTGAAAAGGAAGTCAGACTGATAAGACTATTAGAAAGAACAGCATCACAAAAGCTTGGAGAAGGGAGAAGTCAGAGTCACATGCCACAGAAAGATGAGAATTGAGCTGAGTTCCTTGAATTTGGCAACCAGGAAGTTACTATGATATTTCCCTAATCAATTTCATTGGCCAGTAGAACAGGGGTTTTAATCGCAGAGGGCTGAAAAATAAGTGTGATGAGGAAATTGAAGTACAAAGGGCAGATACAGGGAAAGTGCAATATTAGAAGAAACATGGGTTGGGACTAGATTGTGGAAAGGATACTTCAACTTTACTCAATGAGTATTACTGAGTATACACATGACAAGTAAAATAAATCTCAGCATGACTGTCTTTAGTTAGGCCAATTAGGGAGGATAAAATAAGCACATGCATCTCAGCAAGAAATGGCTGCCTCACCGACTTCAAATCCAACACAGGGGTGACTTGGTCCATTTTATTCACGGTCGGTTTCCTTTAGGATGTGTTTGCTGACCAGATAGGTATAGGAGTTGGGGGTGGGGTGAAACTGATTACTTAAAAAACAAATGAACTAAAAAGTATGGTCCGACTTCAAAGAGTTTACGAATATAGATACTGCAGACACAAAACTACTGTTTGGAAAATACGCTATAAAACTTCCACCTGCCTTGCTTTGATGCCAACGAGGTATGGCAATTTATTTGAAACTCAACAACAGTAGCATTTTCTTTACTGCTTCTAGGTTCAGAAACAAAGGGAAAAAACTGAAGCTTGCTTTAGTGGTGGCCAATGTACATCTGTTCACTAATTTTTAGTATTCTCTAGCCCAAAACATTAGAAACCAGGAGATTAAAAGTTCTGCGTGCTTCTCTATTGCCTGAGAAATCAAATTACGTCTTGGTAATGACCTGGCTGATGGAGAAAGCGGGTTCCTTCCAGGAACCCGAAAGTAACCCCTAAGAGGCAGAAGAAGAGGGAATTAACGTGCAAGCTGACTTCCTGCGCCCTTCCAGGATCCTACCCGCAGGCAAGGTCAGCGAGCCCGAGGGCCGCTCCCCACGGGAAGGACTAGAGCGGAGGGGGAAACAGTTGAGTCAGCAAAGGGCTAGTTCTCTTCCATCCCTTTCCTACAGACCCCTGTTTTAATCAAATTCGTACTTAAAAACAGGAAGGCGTGAGACATGGTAATTTCCCCTTACGTTTTAAATGACCAGAACCTAAGGCAACAGTAGCCGCTATACTTCAGGCACCCTCCTCCTGCCCTCTCTTCTCCACGCCTCGGGGAGGAAAACCTCTGGACTTTGCAGCCCCGCAGAACAGCAGAAAGGCCCGCGTCTGGGGGACGGTGCTCCCAGCCCCGTCCGGTACGAGCCCCGGGAACGGAAATCCGGGCCAAGGCACTTTAAATCCCACTCCCCCGCCCCTGCCGGGGGCGCGGGGTGGGCCCGGGCGCTGCTACCCACCGTCGCGGCCCTGCAGGAACTCGGCCTCCTCCGTCCGCGTCCACTCGCCGCGTCCTGCGGAGATCACAGCCAGTACAGGGGCTACTTAGCAGCAACCTGACAGTTTCAAACTGCAGACAGGAATTAAGGACGGCCTTGAGCATTGGCCCCGACCTTCAGCAACCTGCCCTGTGATTGGTCAGCGGGCCGGGGGCGGGTTCTAGACCGAGGCAGAGAGACAGAGGAATTAGGTTACTAAGAAGCCCCGCCCTCTGGTCCTGAGTGGGCGGGGTCTTAAGGAGTCCTGCCCAGCTCCTGGGCGCGTGTGCTTAGTTCGGTCCCGCCGCTGCAGACTTCTGATCCGGGATTTGCTTAGAGGCTGCTGAGCAGGGCTGAAGTCAGCCAGGGCGGAATGCTGCTGTCTTTCGATAATACTCAGTCTGTGCGTGTGGTCCTCAGGTGTAAAAATGATCTGCGTCTACAGGTGCCCTGCAAGAGGATCACTTGGAGGTGCTTTTTTAAAGTACAGATTTCTGACGCTCCTCTGCTGATTACTTCGGTCTTGAGCAGGGCCAGACCGGAACACTGTACTCAACAGATCATCTCTGTGATAGAGATGCTGTTCGCATCCCCATTTTACAGATATGAAAACTGAAGCCCAGAGAGGTTCCACGACGTGCTTACGATCGCATGGCTAATAAGAGCAGAACTGGTATTCAAATTGAAGCCGTCTGAGCTCCATGTTCTTATCACTCAATAAGTCTGTTGGAAACCTCTGACTGTTACAGATTACATGATGTCTTAAAAATAAAAAGAATATATGTTCAAGTCCTAACCTCTAGTATCTGTGAATGTAACTGTACTTAGAAGCACAAATGTGATCAAGTTAAATTAGATCATACTGGATTGAGGTGAATCTAAATTCGATAACTAATGTCCTTATAGAAAGAAATTTAGACGCAGAAAGAGATACAGGGGAGAGATGGAGGCAGAGATTGGAGTGATGCATCTGAAAACTAAGAAACGAGGTTGCCAGCAACCATCGGCAGCTAGAAGAGGCAAGGAAAGATCAGCTAGAGCTTTCAGAGGGAGCACAGCCCCGACAACATGTCGGGGATTTGGGACTTCTGGCCTCCAGAACTGAGAATACATTTCTGTTGTTTAAGCCACCCAGTTTGTGGTAATTTGTTATGGCATCCCTGGGAAACAAATACAGTGGCCCAGACCTTGAGATAAGAAAGTGCTTATTGTACCTGGGTAATGAATAAAAGCCAGAAAGTAGTTTTAGTGAGGAACAGAGTGGCACAGGATGAGGCTTCAGATGGAGGTGGAGACCTAACTATGTTAAGGATTTGAAACTTTAAAGTTTAATGAGATGTTTTTAGATGTTATGGAAAGAGATGAAAATAACTTGAACTAAAGGGATGACAAGGGTACATTTCACTTCCACATATGTTACACTGCCTCACTTAACTTCAAGGTAGATTGGGAAATGTAGTCTAACAGCTATTTGCCCAGCTTCACTTTTTTTACTTTAGAAGGAGGGAATAAATTCTGAGTAATGGATTGATGGATATATATTTATTTATCTATTTCTATACCTAACCATCCATCCATCAAACAACAACAACAACAACAACAACAACAACAACAACAAACGGTAAATTATTTTTGGACAAGTGGCTCACAATGCATATCACCAAACAGATCTTCTGTAGCTGAACTACACAGTCTATTTAGAATCACTTCATATTCGCACATGAGAGCTGAAAAGATAGATTCATTGAATACATTTAAAAAAATTTTATTTATTGATTTTAGAGAACAAGAAGAAAGGAGAGAGAGAGAAACATCAATTTCTCGTTCCACTTATTTATGCATTCATTGGTTGATTCTTGTATGTACCCTGACGGGATCAAACCCACAACCTTGGTGTATCAGGACAATGCTCTAACCAACTGAACTACCCTGCCGGAGGCTCATTGAACACATTTAATTAAGTCAGAGCAGAGGAAAAAAGACTGTCAATAAGCAAAGACACAGATTGTTGGCAGGCATGAGGGCTGCAGTGGTCTACAGGTGAGGCAGCATGGCAGTGCTGTGCAGGGGTGGATATTTATAGTAGAGTAAGAGCTTATTTAGAATATTTTGATTTCCTGGATTCCATAGTTGCATTTTGTTACATAGCACTTCCTGGCTCTTTTATTGCAGAAAGGAGTTTATTTCTTAGCTCTCATCATCAGCCTTCTGTTCTTCCTAATTATAAAGACTCATACTTGAACTTCTTTGTTACCATCCTCTAGCCATATAAAAACCTTCTTACCCTTAGCATTTCTTTCTCCTGATAAAACAATCTGGAACTAGCTGTGAGGCAGGATTAATTAGTTTTTCAGAGAACAATCTTACTGAGTCCCACTGATGTTTGAGTTCTATACAGCTGCTGTATTCTTGGGTCTTTAGGACTTCTGAGGGTGGGTTTGCAGATCAGGGTAATTCAGTCCAGAGAGAAAGGACAGATCCTTACATTTTGGGGTGCTTAACCCAAAATGTACTTGAATACTTGTTATGTATCAAGCAATGTGCTAGGCCATTTCACATATATTTTGCTATTAGTTATTACAAAATTCTGCATAATTAAATGATGGGACCAGAGATACATTTACAATAAAATTTTAACTTCATACTATGCAAAAATTGTGATACAATATTAACCATTATTACATATTACAATACTGTATTGTATATTTATCTCTAAAGTTTAAAATTTATTTTTTATAATGATTTTTACCCTTTAGAATTTTTATTAAGAAAAAAAAACAAATACATAAAACCAGTTAAAGTTTATGTACATTCTACAAACATCCAGAAGAGAAATGACATAAAAAAATAAGATTTTGAAATCCTCAAGTGTTATATTTACCTATTAAGATATATAATATGCATAATCCAAATACTATATAAAGCAATCTCTATCATATAACTTAAAAATATATAGATTTTGTTAATATGAAAAAAGCAAAAAGTTTTTTTTTTAAGTCATGGGTTATGCCCCACCCAATGTGACTCAGTTAGTGTACCAAAAGGTTGCTGATTTGATTCCCAGTCAGGGCATGTGCCTGAGTTGTGGGCTCCATCCCCAGTAGAGGGTGTGCAGGAGGCAGCTGATCAATGTTTTGCTCTTTCTCTTTCCTCTCCCTTCCCCTCTCTCTAAAAATATCAATAAAATATTTTAAAAAGAAAGAAATATTTTAAGAAATTATTGGTTGATAGAATTTTATATTTAAAAAGCATTTTGTGCTGGGTATTATTCAATTTACATAAATCATTATTTTCCCAAAGTGGGTGTGTATATATTTGAACACTATTGTAATGAAAATACAAGTCATTTATTTTTATGGCTCTGAGCACTTATAAAATTTATGCAAACACCCCAGAATTCTAAGAAAAATATATACCAAGAGCATACTCTTCTGTAAAATCAAAATTTTAATTCAAGATTGCAGAAGAACATGACAGCCCTGTCTAAACTATTATTCAAGTAATTGAAATGACAGTTGAAGACATTGACATCTACAGTATAAAAGCATCCATTTTACCATGAGAACAAGGGGATAAACGTTGATTTGCTGAATTTCTATGAATCAACACTCAAGCATCTTTTAAAAAACACTGTAAAGCCCTGGCTGGTTTGGCTCAGTGGTTGGAGCATCAGGCAGTGGACCAGAGTCCTGGATTTGGTTCCTGCTAGGGGCACATACCAAAATAAATAAATAAATAAATAACACTGTAAAAGTGAATAGCTATTAATTCTTTTATGGCCAGTGAATATATAATTGTATTAACATAATATAAATATATTATATAAATTATTTTAAATTGTAAATAACCCCGTCTTAATAAAATGATAAAAAATTTTATAAGGGAGGCTTTTTCTTTTTTCTTTTTCAGGCAAAAGGGGTTTGAAGAAAACTTAATGGAAATATTGCTATCAAACACTATCATTTAGAAATTACTTTTTTAGGAAAAGCAAAATTTGATTGTCTAGCCCTGGCCAGTTTAGCTCAGCAGTTGGAGCGTTGGCAGTTGGAGAGTCTGTTCAATTCCTGGTCAGGAGCACATGCAGGTTCAACCCCATCCCTGGTTGGGATCGTGTGGAAGACAGCCAAATGATGTTTCTCTCTCTCTCCCTCCCTCCCTTCCACTCTATCTGGAAAATCAATGGAAAAATATCCTCTGGTGAGGATTAACAACAACGACAAAATTTTGATTATCAGTTTTGCAATTTAAATATTTTTATCCTTCTAATATTAGAATTCTAATCACAGATGATTGAAAAAACTGTAAATTTTCTCTTGTACACTTTGTTGAAGATAAAATAAGATAAAAATAAAATAAGACTTTTTTTTTTTAAAACTAGAGGTTTTAATTTATTATTTTTTCTTTGGTATGTATAGTTTCTCATCCTCTTCAGTTCCCTATCTCTGACCATAAAATCACAAATATTCTTCAAGATCTATTCCAAATACCACTCCTCTAAGAAGTCTGTCTTTGTTTTGTTTTGTTTTGATATTATTTCTTGTGATCTCTTACCCACTCATACACTTTTTATGCTTAACTCCTATTGTATTTTGCTGTAACTGCTAGATCCTCTAGGGCAGGGATTGTGCCTTCCTCATTTTTGGGTCACCTGTGGGACCGAGCACAGACCCTACCTGCGGTGGGCCTTTAATAAACATTTTTTAAAACATATTTTTATTGATTTTTTAGAGAGAGGAAGGGAGAGAGAAATAGAAACATCGATATGAGGGAGAAACATGGATCGGCTACCTCCAGCACACCCCCTACTGGGGATCGAGCCCACAATCCAGGCATGTGTCCTGCCAGGGAATCAAACTGGGACCTCTCAGTCCATGGGACAATGCTCAATCCACTGAGCCATGCTGGCCGGGCTTTAATAAACATTTGCTAAATTAAAAATGTTGAATACTTCCCTTCTCTATAAGATGATTTGTGTTTGCTGTTGATGCAAACCTCATTCTTTGTTTTCTGTAGGCCTGAAAATTCCTCCAGAACGGAGTTCAGCCTGCAGCATGACTCAGCAATGTAGGGTCTGAGTGTGGTCCCTGCCCTAG